CTGAAGATACGAGTTTTGTGGGAATGGCAAAGAAAATATCCTACTCTCCTTCCCCGTGGGATGTGCGTAGCGATGGCAGTGTCTCAATAGCTGCCTCTTGTGTGATCATGGAAGCAAAGGGTACGGAGATGTTGTATGCAGTGTATGTATATTTGAGCGGTGGCACGGTGGTTAGCGCACTGCGCTACGAACCCGAAAATCAGTAGCGAGTTATATCCAATGGTGCTGACGCTCCATATCCCCCATACGCTTCCCCAACCCGCACTCGCACTCGTAGTGAAGTATGGTTTAAAAACCCCCATGACTGACGCGGCGTGGAGAATATATCCAGCAGTGGATTTACATAGGGGCTGCGCAAAACATTTTTGCATCTGTACATTCTTTGCATTCTGGAAGTGCCATTGAGTTACGTTCATTGCCACTCAACCCTCCAATGTTATGCGACCAACTCATCCTGCAGGTGTCAGATCGAGTTAAATCTAAACTATTACAACTATATAAACTATATATATATTTTTTATTTTAGCAGGTAAGGCCCACTGAGCTATGTAGCTTTTTTTCTTCTTTGGTTCTTTCGGTAAAGTCACGTAGAATGAGAATAAAATAATAAATTGATAAAATAAAATAACACAATAAAATTCTCACGACGTTTCGGCCACAACACAAGCGGCCTTCATCAGGTGAAGGGACGAGACTGTCTGGAGGACAGCGAGACTGTCTGGAGGACAGCGCTGAAGGCCGCTTGTGTTGTGGCCGAAACGTCGTGAGAATTTTATTGTGTTATTTCATTTTATCAATGTATTATTTTATTCTCATTCTACGTGACTTTACCGAAAGAACCAAAGAAGATGAATCCTTGCAGTCACGAAAGCTTTAAATCGAAATCTATGTAGATTTTTTCAGAAGCGACTTGGCCACAAATGATAGCTCAATGAAGTGGCTTATCACGTGGTTATTTTGTAGCAGCCAAATACTCTAAACGCATGTTTCTAAATGTGGAGGCAAAAACCGGAGGACCCGGATAAAAACCTATGCACCCACCGGGAGACAGACACGCAAACTCCAAATATACAGACATCAGGGTCGGTATGGAACCCACGACCTTCTGTATACCAGGCAAGGAAATGAACATCTCGTCAACGCGGCAGGGTTGAGTCTGGTGAGTGCGGTACATCCAGGTGTTGTAGGCTCTGACTGCGAGGTGGCCAGGTAGCGTTACAGAAACACATTATTAAATCTACGAGCTTGTTAGCCCGTCCTAGGACGGAAGTTGTAATATTAAAGATGTAAATTAACGTTTTACTGTGTGATTGTTAATTTTATTAGGAAATGTAGCACATAGAGACTTTTTTTTTATTATTAACTTATTAAATGAAATGAAGGACTTTGGAAGATTTATTGGTATACGATAGTTTGTGTGAATCTCTTATCACCGTTCAAAAGGTTTCCCTGCAGTTGGCTATCCTTGATAAACACTTAGATCCGCTGAGCCTATTTTGATCTCGACAGAGCCACGTACAACTGGCCATGGGAAAATACGTTTTTTTTTAGATAAATACCCACATTTTCAAAAGTCTGACCCTGCGACTTGTTGATCGTCATCGCATACGCAGGAATTATCGGAATTTGTCGTCGTTTCAGTATGAAAGGAAGAGTGACATCACTGCTCGCAGCAGACGTCACGGCTATCGCGATTTTCACCTGAAGACGATGGCTTGTGTTGCTATCGAAACGTCGTGATTTGTTTTGTATTATTTCTACCTACGTGACTTTACCGAAAGAACCAAAGAGTATACACACAGCCTTGTTTGGCTCGTGATCTTAGTTACTGCGTTGATTTCTTAATTAGCTTTACTTTCCATAAAGAAAGGTTAAAATGAAAGCTAAATTTGCGTAAACAAATTTTGGTTTCCGCTGCACCTTCTTCATGCGGAGTGACGTCGCCCGTTCATGATTATTAATGACGGGGGAGGGGGTCCATGTGGAGGACCCCACCTGTTCATTATTGATTATTTATGAGGGGGGGGGGGGGGGGCTGGTCGACGTTCAGTGACGTCACGCGCGTTACACACAGACATTCTTGGCTCAGTAAATAACGTGCGAGGAGATTAAAGTGCAATTCCTCGTGTTAAGCAGTAGGGGTTCTCTGAGTACTCTTGTTTCATCCCCGCATGTCAAACGCTCACGAACGGGATAGATAAAAACATTCCAATGCAGGACCCTCGTGAAAACAAGTCTTGAGATGCATTCCCACTTTGCCGGGTAAGGGAAAATACTGTTGTATAGCTTAGCATAGCCACAGAGCCGCCTTCTCTCTTATGTAATTGCTACAATCCATTCCAGAGTCCACCAACCAGGATCAAGATGAATAGTCTATTGCTCGACAGATGGCATCAATTATTTTGTGACCGTGGGACCGGTTTATATTCATGTACACACACACACTCAGTACGTGCATCCATTTAAATCTAATTCTAGAATGAAAGGATTCTCAGTGGAGTCTGAAATTCAGCCGCGTTTGGAATGTTAAGGGCCCCACTGGTGGTCGTTGTTCGCCATCTGCCGACGGTGCAGCTCATTACGCCTGCAAACCGAGCATTTTTAGCCGACTGATAAGAAACATATATACTATAAGAATAGCCTTTCGCCCTTTCTGTGAAAGTAAAAACAGCAGGTGTGAAAGATGTTAGAACACCAAATAGACAACCTATTTCAAAGGCAACACGTCTCCATTGAGCACACATGCTTCTAGCGAAGCATGCAAACATGGTCTGATAATTATATGGGGCCGTCCATAAATGACGTCACGCACCTGGGGGGGGGGTTGAGATGTGTGACGAGGGGGGGGGGCGGTTTGAGAAATGTGACGTCACATCAAAATGCGCAACTTTAAATAAATATAGACAACACGTTCTACTTAATAAAATAGACTTGTTTAATAAATGTTTTCACCTACAACATCAGAGTGCAGCGCCACATTAAATACACACTACAATGACAATAGTTTAAAGCGATTTGAAGCATGTTTGATATATTTTTTTTGGAAGGGGGGGGGGGGCAGAGCTTTGTGACGTCATATTTGAGGGAGGGTCTGACTTTTTGTGACGCCGTGTGACAAAGGGGGGGGGGGGGGCAAAATCGTCCAAAATCGCGTGACGTCATTTACGGACGGCCCCTATTTGCATTGTTCTTCAAAACTGATTGGCCGACACCAGAGACAAGAAGCCTTCTTCTTTATGGGGTCGTCTCACCAGTGTCAGAACAGAGAACGACGCCAAAAGGCGAACAGCACAAAGACAATGCAGGTATCAAAGCACGAATAGCTCGGGTTGAGCAATTGCATCCATGGGACTATTTTGCCAGTACTGCATCAACAAAAACAACAGCTTGATACTGGCAAAAAGGTGCTATAGACCCTCACTGATTGTACCTGCATCCACGTAGTTCAAGGGATGCTTTGGAGCGAGCGTTGGTGTCGTGGTTAGCGCACAGCGATATGAACGTGATGGCCTGAATCTTTGGTTCTTTCGGTAGAAGTCGCGTAGGTAGACAATAATAGATCACGAGGGCCGACTTCAGCAGTTGTTTCTTGCTGTGGTTGTCCCACCTGATGACGATTGCTTGTGCTGCGATAGAAACGTCGCGATCTCTTATTTTTCTACCTACGTGACTTTACCGAAAGAACCAAAGAGTATGGGATTTCGATTTAAAGCTTTCGTGACTGCAAGGATTCATCTTCTTTGGTTCTTTCGGTAAAGTCACGTAGAATGAGAAAGCTTCAAATCAAGATTGATGGCCTGAGCTCGTTTTCTCGACCATGGCGAACATCAGTGGCCAGTTGTATATTGCATCAGTTGGATTCCTTCGTTTACAAAGACGATAATCCCAAATATGTTCAATTTAAGCTAAAATACTATCGCCTATGGCGATTGCAATGTAAACGTGATAACCTGTGGTTTTCACACCTGATGATGATTGCTTGTGTTGCAGTCGAAACGTCGTGAGAATTTTATTGTTTTATATTTTTATTATTTTGTTTCCCTTCTACACGTGACTTTACCGAAAGAACCAAGAATATTAATCCCTGCAGTCACGAAAGCTTTAAATCAAAATTCAAACCTGTACTTAGTCTCATCATGCCATGTCAAGAAACAACTCGGTTTATGAAATGATCTTTTTTAATGAATGTATATATGTGTGTACATATCCACGCGTGTGCGTGCCTAATTCTTTGCGTGGGGAGCGGTAGCGTAGTGGTTATGGTGAGTTCGATTCCCGCTCACGGCCAACAGCAGTGATGATTACTTGAACCGGTCCTGGGCCTCCCCTAGGTTGACTCAGCCTCACATGAGTACCTGGGGCAGTGCGTAAACATCGCCACCGGAGAGACAAAGGCGGCCGGGCGTGGTGCTAGCCACACCCATCGTGTGCCGTACCGGCATTCATAGGTGCTCGTTAACAGCACTTGCTTCAACAGTCCGTTGAGGCTATTAACGAGGGATCTTTGTCTTGTTTGTTGAACTTCTTTAGCACCGTACGTAGCCAACCGTGCTAATCGGAGGTGCGAACTAATAATATATTATAGCTTCCACTGCAGGCAATATGAACTTGATGGAGAAGCCTGCAAAGTTGGGTTTCGGGGTAGATTAATAAGTACTGTATTTATGATTAGTACGGCCGGCTACGTACGGTGCGAAAGAAGTTCAATACCATTGGATGGTGAATAAACGAATGCCAATCGACGTCGACTGAACACTGCTCGGATAATAAATACATCACCCCCTATGGGACCATTTTAACAGTATAACGAACTAACGCTACGATCAATAATGAATGAATGATAAGGAACGAATTGTAAGGAATGATCAAATGTTTTAGTACACCAACGAACGAATTTGAGCCACGTGGGCAGGCCTCACGTCGGCCCGGGCTTGCCCGGTATGCTAATGAGATGCTAATGAGGCGGGCGTCGAAACAACGCTCGCCGATTGGTCCGCCCGGGAGGCCGCGCCTTCTCCGTGACGTCACACCCCACCCCCCCCTCCACACACAAAATCGAGTGAGGTCGCTGTGGCGTTGCCAGGTCCCGGCGAGCGAGCGAGCTGAGGCGGCTCGCGCAGACCCGGCGGCCCGGCTTCAACAACACCGAGGTGAGTCCTGAATGAGGTCCCCCCCCTCCCCCGTCGGATCTGAGTGGGTCGATCTGCGACGCGAGGTTTTAATTTCGTACCGCGGATTAGTCGGGGGTCCGCGCCCGCGTCCGCCCGCCCCCCCCCCACGCGCACAGAGGGGGTCGCCTCCGATTGGTCGAGAGACCCGCCCGCGTGCGTGTGAACTGGGAGATGTAAATCGCCGTCTCTGGCGTGCGCACTTAGGCCGTAGGTGTGATGAATTGATAAATATAAACGCTTACATTTGTACATAGTGTACAAGGGGGGCTTTTTTTTGGAGTGGGAGGGGGGTGGGTGTTAGATCGCGTAAATATACGTGTGGTTAAAGCCGCCACCAGCCGACGAGTAAGGTTTGTCACGTACACAGAAAAGTGGTAATTCGTTACTAGTTCAGCACACCGGCGTGTTGGAGAGCAAAACCACGAACAACATTTGCAATCCGAGTTGGTTCCATTCGCTTCTCGTGACTTGTGCTGTTCTCGTTGTTGTGGGGGAATTTACGGACGTTGATCGTATTTGCGCGTGTCGACGCTGCGTATTCAGGGGGTGTTAGTTAAATGTGTTTTATGTGGTGGTGGTGGTGATTATAACGTCATGGCCCATTGGTGGCATCACCGCCGCCTTAACCTATTGGAGTTTGACAACGAGACGTCAGCGGAGTGCCATAATGACTTTAAAGTGACGAGGCTCTTTCATGCCTGTTTCGCAAGAGGACTGAGTTGATGAAATTCTGTTGAAGTCCCAAAAGGTCAACAAACGTCCCTTTATGGTGTCAAAGGGGCCGTCCATAAATGACGTCACGCGATTTTTTACGATTTTTTAACCCCCCCCCCCTTCGTCACGCGGCGTCACAAAAAGTCAGACCCCCCTCTCAAATTTGACGTCACAAAGCTCTGCCTCCCCCTCCCCCCAAAATATATAAAACATTTTGATTTAAAGCTTTCGTGACTGCAGTAATTCATATTCTTACTTTTTTCGGTAAAGTCACGTTGAAGAGAAACAACAAAATAACAAAATATATATAAAACAATAAAAAATTCTCACGACGTTTCGACCATAACTCAAACGGTCATCATCACATGCAAACCGACACACCTGATGATGACCGTTTGAGTTATGGTCGAAACGTCGTGAGAATTTTTTATTGTTTTATATATATTTTGTTATTTTGTTGTTTCTCTTCAACGTGACTTTACCGAAAAAACTAAGAATATATAAAACATGCTTCAAATCGCTTTAAACTATTGTCATTGTAGTGCGTATTTAATGTGGCACTGCACTCTGACGCACGAGAAAACATTTATTAAAAAGTCTATTTCATTAAGTAGAACGTGTTGTCTATATTTAAAGTTGCGAATTTTGATGTGACGTCACATTTATAAACCCCCCCCTCCCTCGTCACACATCGTCACAAATGTCTGAGCACCCCCCCCCCCTCAGGTGCGTGACGTCATTTACGGACGGCCCTTGACTGTGTTATTCCATTTCCTAAATGCGCGTCGATGACATTTTTCTGTACTCGTCCAGTCCCGAATCGAGCAGCTTATCGACGAACGGAGGCAGATGTCGACACGCGGCGCCAAGAAGAAAGTTCCACGGCAGTCGCGCTCGGCACGGGCGGGCCTGCTCTTCCCGGTGGGACGGATGCTGCGGTATCTACGGACAGGCATTTACCGCAAGCGCATCGCCATGGGCGCCCCCATCTACTTGGCGGCCGTCACGGAGTACCTGGCCGGTGCGGCTCCCGAGGCCCCCCCTTTCCCACTCGCCCTCACGTCGACGGGAGTCCCGTTTCCGCGTGGACCGGGTTGTCATTTATTTGCTTGGCTGCTGCTTGCGCGACAACCACCAGCTGGATGGTGGCATGTTTTAAAAAAAAAAAATCAAACCCAGGTGTTCTCTTTACTCGGATGATCTTTCACTAAATCGGTTTCAAAGTATAAATATACAAACATTTGTCAGTTTATTTGTCAGTGTAAGTTACACCATTTACTCAGAGTAATTTTCTTTGCACAAAGATGATTAAGGGTTCATTCTGCCAGAATAAACCAGGGACCTAATGTTTTGAAAATGAGCCGTGAACAACACGTGAACTTTAACCTCGGTAAGTAAACACGATCCAGCTTTTGGATAGCATGGGTCAACGACGGAATGGCTGGGGCAACAGAGCAGGTGATGAGTCATGTATAACCATTGAACTTGATAATAAAGGAAACTACATCATGGAGTGCACTAGCTGCTAGATAAGGAGTGATATTTGGCTTCGTGTAAACATCTGTCTATGCAGAATTATCAGGCAGCCAGTCTTACACTTGGACACAAAAAACAAGTGTCTCGGTGGATTTCAGATGTCACGTGACTGGTGTGGTGAGGGTCAGGTGTCAGCTGAGTGTCAAATTAACATGTTCATTGGACAAGTTGCCCTCTAGTTGTATATAAACCAATACATTTATTTCCATACACCGAAATACTCTTTCGGTGTATTGAATCAGAATATTTATCCTGGAGAAAGTCAATGAACAATGAAGTTCTTTCACAGATGTCCAGTTGGGACGGATTACGCAACTCAGTGATTCAATGGATTGCTCGTGCAGTGGAATAGGGTTGATATAAGAATGTCTGTGCTATGTTCACCAGCCGAAGTTCTGGAACTGGCAGGGAACATTGCACGCGACAGCATGAAGGCGCGCATCACCCCACGCCACATCCACTTGTCCATGGCCTTGGACGAGGAGCTACAGAAAGTAATTCCTGCTCAATGTTCCGTGCCATTGGTTCACACAAAATAAAAAAAAATCTACCTTTCGTGACTTTGCATTTGTTCTTTCATACACCAATTTATTATTTGCTTATTTTAAACAAAACCATTATTTTGGGTCATGGTTTCATTGGAGTTTTTCTGTTCATTCAATCGCTTTATAAAAAAAAACAATGTTCCCAAATACATTAATCACGTTATATCCAATTTGCATTATGACGTTATAGGAGAACAGACTATATGTTTCTGTGGCCAGAGGTATGTGTTGTGTCTGATGCAGATGCTGCGTGGTGTGACCATTGCGAGCAGCGGGGTGCTGCCCAGAGTCCACCCAGAGCTGCTGACCCACAGACCCTTCCAGAAAGCGAAACCGGTGCTCGTGGCCTCTGCGGATACACCACCTCCAGCGTCTAAGCCTGCTCGCAAGCCAAGCGCAACTGCGAAAAAGGTATTGAGCAAAAGTGTACTGTGCACACGTACTCTGTATATATGTCTCTACTAAAATGTATCATTTAGGGAAGTTTTTTGGGCAAATTGGCCGATAGCGCATCATTTAATTGAGTTTTCAGTTGAATCTCAGGGCATTTGCACTCAGTCATAGGGCATTTGAACAGAATCTTACCACACAGCCAAGCCTTTTTAAGCCTTCAATTTGAAAAACACACCGTAGAAATAAATAATTATTTTCAGCTTTGGTTGGTTATTGTCATATCTGATGTTATGAAAGTTTAATGTATATTTAAGAAAGTTTACCATTAATAAGGCGGTGATATTGAACTATGCTATTCATATTAAAATCTAAGGACTTTATCAGTGATGTGTAAAAACAATACCACTGCATTTGAATTTTTAACATGTAAAACAGTATTAATGAAGGTAGTAATTTCCTTAATTTATCCAAATTACATTTACATTCTCAAATGTGTTTCTCCTTATTCTAAATGCGATTGCTGTGCAAGTCAAATTCACGTTAAACTCTTGTTTGTAAAACGTGATCTCGACGCGGTAGGTGGATGTTGTTGTCTACCCAGGGTAAAGGCAGGAAAGCCGCAAGTCCTTCAGTAGGCGCATCAGGAGCTGTCACCGTTCTCTCTTCCAAAACCCTCTTCCTTGGGCAAAAGGTAACAAAAGCTAACTGATACGCCGCTTGCACCACGCGGCCGCACCTGCAAACTACGAACACAAACGCTCATCAAGTCCGCCTGTGCCCCGCGCAGCTGCAGGTTGTCAAGGCCGACATTGCCACCTTAAAATGCGACGCCGTCATCCATCCCACGGGCAACAACTTCTACATGGGTGGACAAGTCGGTGAGCGATGCCGGCGAGATAAATACCCGACAGAAACGTTTCGCCAAAAAACTTGTCGGGTGCTCAATACAACCCGACTCGTATTTTTTTAACCCTGCAAACTTCCATTGCTTTAAATGACAGAAGGGAAACGTCTACTCGGGTAATTTATGCAAACCAACCTCTGGCTTTTTTCACAATATTTTGTGCTTGCCTTTGGAGCAAATCACCGGGAATGTGCCCAATATCGTCAGGTCTCTGGGTATTGGGCAGAGTTGAGTGAATAGTGCTCGGACGGGCAACCACCTTGCACGGCAGTTTGTCGGCAGCGGAATTTTGCTAGCCTGCGAGCAGCAGACGGCAGTGTTGTTACTCTAAGCCTATGCTGCCACGTCCATGTTCCCCCACCTTCAGCAACCCGCACAGACCACTGCGGTTAAGTTTGGTCAAAGAACCTCCATGGCTCACAACAGCATTGGGGGAGGCTCTCGCCCAGCCGTGGATTGAAAAAGGGCTGTACATGTACTTTGTGTGCAGGGGAAGGTCGACTCGCTTGAGGAGTAAGTGTTTGCATTTGCAGGCAATGCTCTGGCAAAGAAAGGAGGAAAGGAGCTGGCGGATGCTGTGCAAAATCTTCGCAATAGCAACGGGCCACTGGATATTGCTGGAGGTTGGTATTCGCATTCATTAATCGTTCTACTCTTCTTTCATGAGCTGATGCATGCATGTGTGCACTTTGGCGATAGGCAGATACTTACAGGCCTGTTGCGCGTGCACACAAGCATATATGGAATAAGTAAACAATCTTTGTTTTTCCTTGTGAAGCTGGCGAGCATGGTGAAGTACAGCCAACGCATCATGGGGAGGCTTTCATTCGGCAGTGATTAAAAGCTTTGAATAACGATACACATTTCCATATATCATATAAACGTACGTATGTTATCTTCCTCTTGGTTACATTGGTTAATGGTCACCATCGCCATCCCTCAGTCCTGCGATGTTTTGCAATTCTTCTCAGTCCTGCACATGAACCGATCTCATCGCTGCATCTCGGCGGTAGTCGTCTTCTTTGGATATATTCCCTGCTTTGTCTGCCATTCTATCGCCAATCTTGTCCATTGGTCATCATCCTTCCCCTGGGGACATATTCTGCCCAAATTAATGTACTTTTTTTGTCTTCGTTTACAACATACGATTTTATTGCCTTTTATTTTGTTCGCCAATCCACGTTCTCCTCTTACTATCGGTGTAATTCAACGGTCGTAAACGGGCTGCATTATCCGCCAGAAAATTTTAAACCCGATAGCAACAGAGGCCAACAAGGGCGATAGTTTTTGTCACGCCCTGAAACGGGGGAGGCCTTTGTCCCGAATCGATGGACACTCACTCTCGTTGCCCCCGTACTTATTACATTCCTATCATTTGCACTATCGTGTTCATGTATTGTTGTCGTAACGTTCCGACCCGCTCCTACCGAACAAGTAGAATCGGAATAAATATCCCGATTCTACTTGCAGCTGCCATGAGCCTCGCACCAGGCCTGGAGGCCGAGAACGTGATCCACTGCAACAGCCCATCGTGGGGCACGGACCGGAGCGCGGAGCTCCTGGAGAAGACGGTCAAGAACTGTCTGGCACTGGCTGACGAAAAGAAGCTCGTCACGGTGGCACTGCCCTCTATTGGCAGTGGCGGGTAATGAAATATTTTTGTAGTTCCACCACCACCACCCCCTACCTCCCCCCCCACCATTATCCAAAAACACGCCTTCTCCAATATCCTTCGCAGAAATTATTTCATCGTATGACTCTTAATAGTCCACTTTCAGTGTGTCAACGTCATTGCATTTGCTATGAGCAACTATAGCAGCTCAAAATCAGAATGGCAGAATGATCGAGTTCTGAATCGCCAATGAAAACAGTGCATTTGTTGAGGTTATGTGGAGCACATAACCTCAGGTCGTAATGACCTAAAAGCACTGAACCTTGGGTATTCATGTGACCCATTTCCATTACCCATGAGGGAAATCATAAATGTTCTCTAGTCACCCTCGCAGCGGCTCTTGGCTAACCATTAAATATGATTGGTCACTGCATTGTGTGCTTTGATGTGCTTTTGTGGCCGTCTGGAACAATCTTCCAATATTAGGAAGCCACCGGAGCTATGCACATTTTAAATCGAGATTGAAAACAAATTATCGAACTGCTGTGTGTTTAGTTTTGTTGTCCTTCCCCCACACTTCCAATTAGCACTATTGGCTACGTCCGGTGTGAAACAAGTTCAACATGCATACAATGGTCAGATTTGGATTTTTATTTATATTCGTAAATGGTGCGCCAAGTAATGCTGGTAATAATTGACTGTGACAAGTGCCTTTAAAAAAACTGCTCTGCCGTACCATCACCTTACGCTCTGGAAACTATTCTTGTGAAAAATGTCAGCGTTACTCACGGCTGGATGCGATTCTGTCACCTGCAGAAATGGCTTTCCGAAACAGACGGCCGCTCAACTTATACTCAAGGCCATCTCCAACTACTTCATCTCCACCATGGACTCCTCGCTCAAGAACATCTACTTTGTGCTGTACGACAGTGAGAGCATTGGCATTTATGTGCACGAGATGGCGAAGTTGGACAGCAGCCAGCTGCAGCAGTGAGGCACGCATGCACGGAATTTGCCTAACGTTCGAGGGTGGCGTTATATGTATCCTCGCGTCGCATTTAAGGGCGTGTTATAGTGGGTATACTCAAACGTGGTATGCCGACTTTGAAATCTTAGGTTGCACATTGACTACCACCAAGCACCTTGTTACACACAATTACGCACCTTCCAAGGTCCGTGAACTACACGCCATGTCTAAGCTATCAAAGAGTGGTACCTGGCAATTCAAAAGAGTTAAAATATATTTTGTATCCATTCTTAGACGTGTGGAGAAATTACACTATATGCCTTACATAATGCATACACACCATTAAAATTACACTATTGGTATCACTACTGCATTTTTTGTTGCAGTCTACGCTGGGTGGTGCAGTGGTAACACTTGCGCTTCTCAGCAAGAAAGGCCTAGGTTCAATTCCCGACTTGGACACCTTTGTGTGTGGAGTTTGTATGCCCTCCTGTTTTGCATGGGGTTTCCTCTGTGTTTTCTGGTTTCCTCCCAAAGCTAAAAAATACAATAATGTAACTGGTGTTGACAAAACATCCCAATGCTGAATAATTACCTGTAATTTACTTGATTGGGAAAAGGCATCTATTGTCCGCCCTATACTGTCAACAACTTAGCAGATTCCTGCTGCCTTGAGACTCGGTGATGTTTTCCTGGGTAAACAATTGTAGTAATAATTAATGGAAATGTGCTGAACTGTAGAACATCACTGTTTTTTTTATTTATCCACGTGATAAGCATGATGTACTGCTGCATGAGTGCTTTGGTGTAAATGCGGGATCACACAAACTAATTTGGTGAGCCCCATAAACCAACAGTAGGATGCTTACTGGGCATTGTGTTAAAATTACTTATTTTTACAGTGTGATTCTGAAGTTAAACGTGTGACTGTTTTCCTGCAAAATTATATAAAATTTGAAAACGGTTCACACTTGGTTTACAATCACGAAATTGAATTCTATGAACGGCACTTTTTGCATTTAACTTCACGAAAGTTATGCATAGCCTTACAAGAGAATGTATACGAGCACTTGCATTGCATCTGATATGAATGTATTGTAATCATGTGTTAAAAATATGTCAACAATAAACATGATTAATCTTTGAATAATATTACTTTTCTTTATTGAATAACTCTTAATCGTAATTACACTTATAGATTTATTTCTTACAAAGTGAAAAGTACATTTTCTTCATGAGCTGAATGCTTTATATACAATTTAAGCAGTATGCCACTTTGCAAATGAGTAATTTGTCCTTTTTTGTGACAGTAAGCTATTCTGGATGAAATGCAAATAACAGCATCATACAATGCAGCTGCAAATGGCAAGCAGAGCTGTATTTTTAATTTATAAAGTAATACATTAACTTCCCATGCTACCCTGGTTATAACTTGTTATAGTTAGGTATGCCATCAGGTTTAAATAGTTTAACTCAGGACAGCCTTTGGTTAGCATTCACTGCAATGTGTAAAATGCGCATGCAGACTCAGTGTAGCCAATGATAATTCAGTTCTTTAAACAACTACAGTTTGCGACTACTCGCAGCTTGGAACTGAGCGAAAAAATGTCAAACGAAACAACTTTGTGGTTTAGCACGTGTGACACATTCTCCAGGGTTGTTTAGGGTTGACACTGGCTTCTGTGAGTTAGCTATCTGCGCCCAGAATTCATGGCCTAAACTTAAATTACTGTAAACACGTTGACCAGTCAAACCCTCTAGAGTTTACACAAAAAAAAAAGCCAGCCAGAATCACAGACCATTTTAAAATATGTTATAAGAGACAACGTTGCTCGTTAATTACAAGTAACTTTTACACGTAGCGACCGGAGGGCTCAGATGACGGCTTCAACGTGGCTACCCCGGGGGGGGACGGGCCGATGGACGCCGAGTGGCGGCGTCGGGTTCACTCGGCCTCCCCGGTCAGGGCTTTGGGCATGGCAGCGGTCTCAGCCACGGACACGCCGCGCGGTGCCGCGAGGAGCGGCACGGGCGACGTGGCCTCGATGAGCGCGGGGTTGAGGATAATCGGCAGCGCCATGGGCGGCAACGCCTCCTGGAGAGTAGGGCCGAGCGCCGGTAGCGGTGGCTGCAGGATGAAGGGCGACTGCGACAGCGCGTGCGACACCTCGCCCGCGGGGCTTCCCCCGGCTCTGCCACCGCTGCCACCCACCCGTGCAGGGCTGGAAGCCGGCGACGGCACGGGCGTCGCCGTTGTGCTGCCGGTGGCTGCCGAGGGCCTCTCTGCAAGCACAGGTGAAGGTACCGGGAGGGGGGGGGGGTTTGAGGGGTGAGCTAAGCTTGCTGCTACTGGGGCAAAGGATGCTATTCACGCTCGAGGATCCAAACGCCTCTTTCCCTACATGTATGTACTTTTAAAATATGTTAATTGGAACCAACTAACATTTTTTGCTTTAGCATGCACAGTACGCATTGCAGTAACAAATATCTAAGACGAATGAGTATTGCCAGATCTGTACCTTGAACTTTTTCCCAACAGCAACACTAATTATGACATCACCAATACACACTGACCGGGGTCGTAAAATCAAATGACCCCCATGAGTCGCACGGCGGCGTGGGGAGGCACTCAACCAGCAGTGGATTGATAAAAAGGGCTGTACATGTACAATACAACCAGAACAATTGCAGACGAGTTAATATTGGGGGGCGGGGGGGGGGTGGCGTGTTGTCGAGTTGGCGAGCCACACCTGGCTCCGTCGCAGGAGCCACGGGTGCCGTAGCAGAGGCAGCAGCAGCAGCAGCAGCCACGGTGTTGCTCGGCTCTGGAGTGGAGTGGCCGCCGGTGGAGGTGACGGGCTGACTGCTCACCACCTCCAGCACGACGGGCGGGGACGGGGCTCGTGCCGCGGACTCTGCCGACGGCAACGAACGCACAGGAGAGGGGGCGGGGGGGGGGGTCCGGTGACGCGGCCATTGAAATTTTATTAACAAGTGCGGGTGGTGATGTCACGGTGACCTCACGAGAGTGCGACAACACCGAGGTTGATCTTAACTTTTTAGAAGTGAGTGAAGTTCACAAGGCGTGCACGGCCACGCATGATACACGGCTTAGAAACGATCCACGAGTTTTGTACCGGGGATGACCGGCTGCCGGAAGAGCTCATCCCGCAGCTGAGGCAAGAAGCAGTCGATCCGCTCCCACGTAATCTCCCAGAGCTGGGAGAAGCCAGTGCGTGCCTCCGCGTTCTGAAAGATGCCTGCTGTGTCCATTACAAGCAGCATGTTCTTCAGCGACTCCGGGATCGCCTCCATCTCGGGTAGCAAAGACAAGGACACAGTGCAAGAAGGGTTGGTTTGGTGGCGGAACGGCCACCACCTCCACATGGGTATGAATCCCAGAGCAGCCCCCGTTGTGAGTAAACCGCTGGGGTTTTCAAGTGTGGCGGAGGCCATTGGTCTCGGGGCCCAGTCACCGATGGCTTCACGCGAAAAAATATATTAATTTTTCATGTTGCCTTAATGTGGATAAATTCCTACCCTGAGAATGAACACATATTGCCTTGACTATCGTGGACAGACAATCTCAAGGCAGAGAGTATGAGAAAGTGCAGCTGCTACTCTGTACTGGGGTACAATGTTCAGTCAAATTTCCACATCGATTCTTCCTTTTTATGACACAATGCCTCCGGGGTCGATAAAATGGGTACCTCACCCTTGATGGGAAGTCAAAAGTGGTTGTAAAATGAAATATGAAAATAAATTACCACCGCCAGAGGTCGCCATCAACGTACAGTCTCGGCTCACTCACCAACAGGTCGCTGTTGTCGGCGTGCATGTACTTGTCCATGAAGTCAAGGATGGTGAGCCACAGTGCGGCAAAGGTTGGCAGTGACAGCAGTGGAGACAGGTGCTGCAAGAACACCTGAAGGGGGAACGACACCAGAACGACAACCGTTGTTCGCCAGTGACACCGATATCACAAGCAGGCCTGAACCAACGCTTGGTGCCCTTGAAGGCCACGGGGAAGAGTCGAAGAGTCACTGGCAGGTCACGGAGCAGATCCGCTTGTTCTGAGTCAAGTGACTGAGATGACTGGCAGATGCATCACACTTGTGCTCCTCACTGTTCCAATCTTGCTAATACTAAAGACAAAGATCCCCCGTATTGCCTTAACAGACTGTTGGGGCTTGTGCTGTTAAGAGAGCATCTATGAAGGCCAGCGCGGTACACGAGGGGGTGGCTGGCCAGCACCACACCCGACCGCCTTTGTCTCCCTCGTGGTGATGTTTACACACCGCACCAGATACTCATTTGAGGCGGAGTCAACTTTAGGAGAGACCCAGGACCGGTTCAGATAATTGTCACTGGTGTTGGCCGTGAGCGGGAATCGAACTCAGGTCGCCGGGTTCATAGTGCAGCACGCTAATCACTACCCTACAGGTCCCCACACACACACACAGCACTACAATAGTCGCAGGCAGGGGGCATCAAGTCTCAATTGTGAGCAGAGTGCCCACACTTTTACTCCAAGGTAGACAACACGTGGCAATGTCACCACACTTGCCTTGCTCAGCAGTGTTGAGGTCCTCATGCGCGTTTCCTCCATGCCCGTCTGGTCAGCCGGGCTGATGTTCTCAAGCAGCTTGGTCAGCAGAGGGAACAGCACCTGAACCCAGGAAATATTGTCAGTGCAAAATGATGGGTCATTTCACTCATAACCACCAACATTATAATCTCAGGATGGCATGAATTTAATCTCGCAAAATCAAATTAAGTGATGGTTAGTGTTTTGATGAGTAACTGGTGAACAGATTAAGATAAAACTGGCTTTCATCTCAGGTTGCTGATAAGAATAAGCTTTAGCGGTGTCAGCTCAGTGCCGTGACTTGGGCATTAGCCAAGCATGGTGGCACATGCCTGTATTCTCGTGCTGTGGAATTAATAGTCAACAAAGTCACACACATTTGTGACACTGCCAAACCCGCCCAGCTTGGCCAGGAGATGGCGGTAGAGGTGTCAACAAAGTCACACACATTTGTGACACTGCCAAACCCGCCCAGCTTGGCCAGGAGATGGCGGTAGAGGTTGTGGGTTCCATGAATCCGTTTGCGCAGGCCTTTTGAGTGTTATCTCCAAGTACGTGTGGGTTTCCCCCGGGGAACTCCAGTCTCATCCCACACACATAACAACGCTTTACAGATTTACACCGAATATCAAAAAGCAGGACCCTCACAAAGAAAACACTCTTTGAGATTCAGTGTTTGTCAATTATTATCACCGAGTCCGCACAGCCACATGGCGGCTCCTGACTCGAGACCTTCAACCCTCTGCAAACAGGCTGGTGGCAGACTAAGTGGTAGGCCACCTGGTGCTGCTCACGGCGAGGGCCCCACCTTATTGAAGCAGGCCTCCCACTCGAGGGCGGACAGCGTCTGCAGGTCATGCATCAGCAGCGCCCGCTGCAGGTAGGTGAGCGCCTGAGTGCGCACCTGGCGCCGTGCGTCGCAGCACAGGCGCGCCGTGCCTGCGCACCGCACAGGCGGGGACGCGGCCGCTTTAGAAATGATGTTCAGAAGACGGGTCTCCCCCGGTTAAAGGGGGGCGCCATGGGAAGGCGCGTTCCGATGGAGGAGGACGGCACATTTGTGAAATCGCGGGTGTGTCCGCAAGCTATACATTTCCACATGATGATAAGCCGCTTCGTTGAGCTGTAATTTGTGGCCAGGTCACTTCTGAAAAAGTATCTAATAGCTCAGTGGGCTTTACCTGGTAAAATAAATAAATAAAAAAGTTTAGTTTTACGATTGTTGATGAAGGATGATGATTCTCCTGGATGATGCTGCTGTCTGGAACTCCCTCACTCTTAACGATTGCATTGCTCACTCAATTCCCATTCCAAATCCTTCCTCCACACTTTCCTCTTCCTTTCGACTTATAATCAACTAACCACTCTGAAGCAAACCTTATTTGTCACGAGCATCCATAATCATCCATTCATTCACTCATCGACACAACTTGCGTCTCCCCTTTCCTACACATTGTAATGATTTACCGTTGCTTTTAGATGTTCTCAAAAGTAACACTCCCTTGTAATTTTCAACCGGTGTTTTCATCCATTGTAAAGTGACCATTACTCAGAACACAGTATGCATGTTGAACATCTTTCGCACCATACGTAGCCAACCGTACTACAGCACCCACAGTTATATTGCAACGATGAACTCGAGCGATGTGCATTTAAATGTAACTCCAAAAAAATGCAAAGTGATGGTCGCACGTTGAGCGACAGGAGGCAGCAGTGACATTAGGCAATACACACAAAAACAAGATTTCAGGGGAGATTTGGCAGAATTACAATGGATGAGACCACATGCATTATACACATTTCCATACCATTGAGTTTAAAAAAAATGGCAAGACAGAATACATCCACGTTCTAACCGACCAGCTATAAAATGAACCCAGGAGTCATTTTGCAACAAATGCTCAATGACCGTTGTGCAAAATTAAACGCAGCTCGGTACTCCTGCTCAGTCGACAGCTCAACGTCTGTGGCATGTGAAGCTCTCGGCTGACAAACTCTCCCAGAGCTCACCCTGCAGTAAGGGGCACCAGCAGCTGGCCCACAGGGTACTGGCGTCGGCCTGCACCACGGCGTGTTTTGCAAGCCTGCCACCCGTTCTCTGCGCTGCCGTTTCGGCCGCGTCCGCCGTCGGCGTGGCTGCCTCCTGGCGGACCTGCTCCTCGGCCCACGAGCTGTAGATGCTGGCCGCTCGGGTGTGCAGCGTGTGCATCAGGTCCAGCAGCTGAGCGAGTCGAAGAGCGAGGAAAACACGCGGGCACACGCATGTAAATACAAAAAAAAAACAAGAGCCGCCGTTTGCGGTGGCATCACCACAGCGCTTGTGCCAGGCTAGATGTGCTTTGAGGCCAAGTGAAGTGAGGAAGGCTCACTGGGAGGAGGTCGCAGGACAGACCTTGGTGTTACATGGGTTGACTGGGATGACGAGCAGATACACACATGAAACACACACGTGCACACACACACAAGCTTGCACACGTGTATACGCACTAGCGCACGCAAGCTTGTATGCACACGTGCGTCCGCCCACATACACAAAAACCTGTAAGCACACACATGCAAAACAAATATCCCCAATAGCAATAGATTGTTTGGATAGGTGCTGTTAGCGAGTGTTTATCCGAAACAGCGTACGAAGGGGCGGTGTGGTCAGCACCACACCTGGCCACATTTCTCTCCAGGGTCAATATTTCAACACAGCATCATTGAGGGCGAAGTATATCTAGCGGATGCCCCGGACCGGTGCTGATATCACTCGCCGCTGATGTTAGCCATCGCTGGGGATGAAACTCAGATCACTGGGTTCATAGCCGAAGCACGTTAATCGCTGATCCTCACGCATACACGTCAACACACAAACACACATTTGACCATACGCAAATATTTTACAAAACTTCTAAGTGACGGCAAAAATACCAACTGTATTTGAGTCAGCAACTTTAAATTAACATGGCAAAATAATGAATGTACTCTAACACAAAAGTAACAATATGCTCATAATTTACATAAAACTTGGATACCCAATTAAATAATTACATCCAGATTTGGCATGTAAAACCTAATCGAGTGTGCAAGAAATAGTTTGTATACGCGGGCAGGGAATATTTTACTATTTTCATTGAACTGAAATTGTATGAGCACATTATTAACATAATTATAATTGGGTCAATTGCAACTAAAAATGATCAATAATTATTTGCAGTCGGAGATAACTTAACTAATTGCAGACAGCACTGATGAAAAAAACATTTTAAAAAATCTGGGAAAATCTGGAATTCGAAGCAAGCGGCATTTTCCCCGCCGGCTAAGATTACAAACGGAAACGCTCGCACTTCTTGGAGGAACAAAGAGTTCCCCCCCGTCTGGAGAAGCGCGACGGCCCTTCCCACAACAACCTTCCCCTCGAACCTGCACGGACCTCCCAACATCTCCAGCCCACAACGGCTGGCTGCTACAAACGGTGGGACCGCGCTCGCGTTTGAAGATGCGGTTAAAAAAAAAAAAGAGGTCAGAGTACTTACATGGTGACTGACCTGTAAAGACACGGTGTGGTAGCTGGCCGGCACGCTCTCGTCCTCGTCGTCGTCGTCATCGCTGTGTGCCGCCCCCTTGTGTACCGACCGCCCGCCGCCCCCGTTCCCTCTCCTGCCTCCTCCGCCGTCTCTGTCCTTGCCCTTCTTCTTGAGCCGCGACGGCTTTTCGTACTTGTGCGTCTTGGTTTTCTTGTCGCTGCCCTTGATTCCTGGAACAGGACAAAAAAAATAAGTCGAGTCAAGATGAAAATGGAGATGTGTGTATCACTTCACAGCACACCAAACTTCCCCCTGTAATCCTCGAGAATGTTTTAAAAGTTGCAAAAGTCCTGGCCATTAATTCATATAGCCAACAAAATGTACTTAAAGCTGACCACCCTCATGTTCCTGTGTGTCTAACTCTGCAGTCAAGAAAACGAATTAAAGTATATTTAAAAGGACACCAGTCAATATTCTACAAGTGCAAAGGGGGTAAACTACTCCTGCAGATTCTTCAGACCAGTGGAATGAATGGGTCTGGCTCGACTTCCACTAATCCGGGTACTCGTAACAACAACTCATGAACATTTAATCCCTTCTGTATAACGCAAAAGGGACACAAATTGGGTGAGCACCACTTAGTTTACTCCAAAATAAATAAAAAAACACCTAAACAGAAGAGAGTAGAGTTGAGGACACAATATGAGTGTGTGCATGCACGTGTGAATGGGTATATTATCGTAACAGCAGCAGCAGCAGCAGCACCAGCAGCAGAAAACACGTACCTCCGTTGAGGCTGGCCTCCACGAAGATGCGGATGGCCCTCACGCACAGCGGGAAGTTGTCCGGCGTCACGTGTGCGGCGTCGCGCACAATGAACGACAGCGACTCGACGCACTTGGTGAGCGACTTGGTGTCGTGCGCGCCCAGCTCCTGGCCTAGGCTCAGGCTGTACTGATTCACCAGGGGCGAGGGCCTGCCGCCACCGCCACCACCGCCGGCCCCGCCGCCACCGCCCTCTACGTCATCCTTACCGACCTACGCAGGCCAAGGGGGCCAGGCGGGAGCCACAGACGGCGGCGTCACTACACGGCGCGCGGCGATCACCACCGCCCGGCCCTACGGGGGGCCGGGCGGCGGTGATGGCAGCGCGCAGGGCGGGGGGGGGGGGGGTTACAAGCGGGGACCGCTGTGCAGTGGGGCCCAGTTATTGCTGCTCCAAACGGGTGTTTTGGACATTTGCTTAGGGTTAATAGAATGCTGACAGAATAGTCGCGAATAGTGCCGTAGCACGCACAGGGCCCCATTGCTCAGGCTGCCAACTTTAACCCCAGCGCAGAAATGTACTAAGAAGCAGCAAAACATGTTATGTATGTCAGAAGGGGGTGGGGGAATGGTGGCACAGTGGCTTGCGCACTGCGCTGTGAAGCTGTGGCGACCCGAGTTTGATTCCCGGACATGGCTAACATCAGTGGCGAGTGGCATCTGAATCAGTGCTGGGCTCCCCCTAACCCTTTCACTAACGCGCACTGACCAGCGTGGATGGTTAAATGACCAACATGGAGTTGGGAATTGACAATGAGATATGAATATGGAACTTTATGGGAAATACCATAAAGTCTCAGTGACTATTAATAGGGGAATGCTGAAGCCACGCATTTGTTTAATGAAAACCTGCTCATATGAGCAATCTCATTGGTGGTTCTGAACCAGAGGTGACAATTCCACATTCTCGTGCTCGGGCCATTCCATCCATATAGTGAGTGTTGTGGACCTCATGCGAAAAGGCACAGCCTTACAAACAAGGTAGTCGTTATTTTCAAGACTCGGGGCATGAAGGGGTGAGATTCACAATTACTCGTTAAAAAAAGTGGAAATATCTACCTATAATATCCCCTTCTCACAGTGTTTGGACCACCTCATGTTGTGTGATAATCTAAATAAAAGATAGCACAATGGGACCTTTAAATGCATTGTACACATGTATGCAGGGAGGGAAAAGATAAGAAAACAGAAGCTTGCAACATGGAGAAATCACAATTACACACAATCCCAAAGATCGATGGAGCAACACAGGAACAGCACTGAAAAGCAACCGGGAGAGCAATGGATTCGATATGGATTCATTCAGCTGTTTTAGTTTTGACTCACCCAATACCACAGGATGGGAGCATTTCCAAACGACACTTCAAGTGTTTGAAAAAGCCTTCGTGGGCAGCATATGCAAACGCATCGAAGGTTTACAATTTAAATGTTTCGCTGGTTACGTAAATGCCATTAAATAACCAGATGCCCGAAGCCAACATTTTTCGCTCCAAGCAGACGGGCGGCAAGCGGTCGTGCGAAGTGGCGCGGACAGAGTTAGCGTGCGGCGGCGGCCGCCGAATCGATCCGCGATTCGGGAAAAATGAGAAGCCGGCGGAGGAGACGGAAGAGGAGGGAGGAGGAGGGGGGGGGGTTATAGCGGGCAGAGTCGGCGAGGCCATCGCCCCGTAGTGAATAAGTGCAGCCTCAGCACTAGACCAGCAGCCCCGCGGGCACACGACAGGCAAGTTTGTGCCAACCACCACGGAGAGCACTGCACACGCACCGCCGGACTCACGGCCCGCAGCCCTGGGGGCTCCGCGCACACGCTCCGCCTCTCCGGTGTTAGTGGTGCCCGCTAGTCGTGGAACGATTCACCGCCTCTGTGCAACCCCACCTGCACCGCCACTAAACCGAGCCATTCGATAAATTGTCGCGATTCAAGGTCGCGATTGTATTTAAACGAATCAAATTCTTTCTTTTCCGGCGATCGTCAGCGCTCTCAACGGCAGGTGACGTGAAGCGATTAGACACGACGTGCGAATCAGAAAACGTAGATTCTTACACACGCTATTTGACGTGTTCATCGTGAACCGATGAATCGGTATTCGTCAAAGAATGGACGCGTCATCGTTCCACAGCTAGTGGTTACAGGGGAAAGTGGATTTGGTGAAAAGGAAGCGCAGACATGCACGACCAGTGCCTCTGTTTAAAGGAATGACAGAACATTAAGGAATTGAACAAAAGAAAATCCACAGCTGTAGAACCCAGAGAGGAACTCAATACCTGTTACAACTGATAAAAATCATCTCACTTCATCAAAACTCACAATTAAAATTACTATGTAGTTAAAGAGATTTCACATGAAGAAAATATCCAATATATGCCAGTTCCATGGCATTTTACAACATACCACACTGTTTTAACTGCCCACCAACAAACATGTTAACTTGTTGGTAACCAAAATGAGCAAAGTATGCAGATAAACACAATATAAAGGATCCAATCAGGACAGACCAAAATGGTTACCACATAGATGTAGCCAAAATAGTGCCGTAAAGTCAGTGGGATCTTAAAGCCCATCTGTGCGGATCTTTTTTGGGAGCATTATCCCTTAAGGTGTATGCGTTTTATCCGGGTACTCTGGTTTCCTCCAACAAGCTGAAAACTCACAGTAAAATTTTACTCAGGCAGGGATCCATCCTTAAAAAAGTGCCTTTTCTCGGATAAGTAAGATTATTGTTATTATAAACATTAGGTGCCATATTTTTTAGTGGCTCACTCAGCTCAATCACACTTTCCCATTCCTGGAAACTTGAAAACGAACACAACACAAACCACGGAAAGCTCCTCGTCCTTATTCCTCCTGGACGTTTCACCAGATCAAACACGATGAAGGATGCTGCGGCTGCTCAAATGGTCTTAAGACTCAGTGAGGCTTTCTCGGGTAAATAGAGGGCACGATTATTTATTGTATCATGCCCTTTACTTTGGAACGTCGTACATGGCTTGGTGGTGAGCTGGGGCACAAACAATGACTTCAGCCAAGCCACCGAGAGCCAGATGGGAAGTTCAGGATCGTAACCCGCAAACCTTCCCTTGTGGGCCCCCCCATAACCCCTGCAGCCCTGACCTCTTGGTAAACACCGTCTGCCACTGGGGCCCGCACCTCCAAAATCGACTCCCAACGCCACGGTTAATGGTCTGGCATGGGCTCACGCGAGAACTTCATTTTTTGTTGAGGCTCGTGGCGGCGGAGCTGGGAAGTACACGGGTTTTCGTCGATGGGAAACGCTGCCCCGCGGTCGATAGGGCTTTGCGGACAATTTTACGGAATGCATCACGTGGGGTGGAGGGGGGGACGGGACGAGGAAACGATGTCAGAGTCCGATTGTTTTGAAACGAATGACAGCCGTGTGCGACGGTTATATCTTTTTGCATGAATATCTTATTTTAAGCAATGGGGATTTAGAACATGCTGTATGCTTGTTATTAAATATCAAATGTAGCCGTGGACACTTGCACACGTTCACCCCGAATATATCCCTATAGAACCGGTGAGAACACTGTCCTAAAGGCTTTGTAATTTCACAAATGCAATTTATGGATGGATTTCAGCACTTTGCAAGTATCGCCAATTTGCACTGAAATATTGCATTACCAAATGAACATTCACGTGCGGCAACTATCTGCCAAAAGTGTGAAGAGCGGCAGCAAAGAAACAAACCACGTGAATGCCGAAGTGTGAAAGGTGAACCAACTTCTGTGCACGAGCAAACTCAACCGGACAGGCAGGTTTCTCACCTGCTCTTGAAAATGTTCTGTTTTTGTTTTTTTTGTCATCGTCCCTAGCGAGCGACGCGCCCGTACGCGAGACAGGCCGTCCCTTCTGCGACGACGACGACGACGCTCCGAGTGCCTCTGCGCCTGTCACCCGGGACATTCTGTGCGGGGGCCCCCGGAGCCCGGCACGACGGCGTGAACGAAGCCGCTCCGACATAATCAGCGAGATTAGCGGCTCCGTCTCCCCGGGCAGATGCGCTCGCGGTGATGTTCGACAGGGACGCACGCACGCACGCACGGGCCCGGCGGCTCCCCGGCGCGGCCCGGCTCTAAGCCCTCCCCACGGCAGCCCTAATCCCGGGGCTTAGGCCCAGCCTGCCGAGAGCCCGCCCCGGGCTAATTCTCAGCCGGGCTTCGGGCCTGCCCGGGGATTTTAGCAAATCCTGGGCACAGATGAGCGGCTCAGCTCCTAACCCTCAAAGCTGTCGCTCAGCCATCACTTCGCCATTTTGCTCACGGAAAGGTCAGGGTCCGTTGATGCACAAATGGCTTTCTACATGTATTTTTTAAGCAGCTATTTCCACTCTGGAGTCCTGGCAATTTGCTCTCAGATCATAGCCTCTGGTGCTTTAGCTCGGCCCATCTTCCCTTCCCTCGATATATATTTCATATCGTCACTTCTAATGCAACTGGGCTTGGTGCGTTCTGTAATACTTTTAAAATGCTAAATACGACCACAGGGGCCCCCTTGGAAACACAAAAAGCAATTCACGTGAATAAAAACTACTGCAACATCTCCTGCAGAAATTGCGCATCAAATTCAGAAGATGAAAAGTAATTTGTTGTTCACATTTTCTATCCTGAAATAGAGAAACTACAGGCCAACACCGCAGCATATTCTGAAATCGTCTACATTATTTGATAACACTATCCAGTCAAATAATATCTGAATGGTATAAAAAAACACTGAATGCTAAAAAAAGTGTGCAAGTAACCTATTTGTAAAATGTACATTCATTTCAATTGGACGTAGCTTTTGAATGTAACCTAAGAAACAAATAAAAAGCCAATTCTGCCGTGCGATGCGACGTGTCCTCAGATGTACCACAAGCACGAAGGAAGGCGGGCAGGAAGCCTAAGACGCTGCCCGTCAAAACAATCGCGAGCCGGCCGTTTGAAGCGCTCGGTATTTGCACCTGCAACGCGCCGCTGCTTCTTTGACCGCCAAGCGTGGCCGCGCCATTGTGTCGACACCACAATTAGAATCGCGCACACACACACGGCGGCGGGGGGGGGGGGGCGGCGGGGGGGCAGAGCAGCCTGGGCGCAGAAAACCCAACACCTGACAGGTGGTGCGCCAGAGTGCTCGGGCCGTGGGGCCGGCTGCTGGGGAGGCAAAGCCAAAATGCAGGCGTCCAAACTCTCTCCCTGGAGGGCGAGCACGATGGCACTGAGAGCCGCAGAGATACTTTCGGACTTATGCGCTCTAAGGTATCGGAAGCTGCGACCGACTGCAATTCCCACTGCACATAATCAAGCTCAAAATGGCCACGGCTGAGCGTAAGTGGCTACGGGGGAAGTTGAGATTTCAATAATAATTGGACAACGAAATTGCATTGTTTTAGGACTGAAACCCCCTTTAAGAAAGAGCTGCACCCCCGCGCTAAACGGGAGGAGCAGGTGCACGACACTTGAATTGCAGCAGAGAGAGCACCTTCTTTTGACAGGGCGTTACACCACCGTGACCTGAAATTTTGGCAGGTCCAAAAATATCGGCAGAAGCATGCGAGATTTGTTAAACGGCAAGAAGGCGCGTGATTGAGAGGTGGGGGGGGGGGGGGGGGGACATGTTGGGGGGGGGGGGTGGAGGGATAGGTTGGGGGGGGGGCATACGAAGCGCTTCCGTGCATCAGGCTATGGTGTACGTCGGTGCGTTTCTCCAACCCATGCACGAGCGCTGGGCCTGCCGAGCGGACCCAGCGCCGCTCCACTCTGCTTGCAGCGGCGAGCGGCCTCAGGCTTTGGCCCAGAAGCGAGGGGAGCCTTCGCCGCCGGCCGACTCTCGGCCGGCACTTACCAGCAGCCAGCCGCTGCCACTGATGTCGAGGTCCGTGGTGGAGCGGTGCATCCGCGCCGGCTTGTTGTGCTCCGTGTACACCTCCGTGTCAGACGTGTAGCCGCGGTCGGACGTGACGCCGTTGGGCTGGTGTGATGGCAGTTCGCTGTCCGACTGCGCGCCTGTTTAACGAATTGACCAAAGGAAATAAAAAAGGGGGAATTAAACTTGACCGCTACAATTCATTAAGGGTGGGGGTGGGGGGGGAAGGACAAACTAATGTCCATCACCTGTGGGATGTAAAACAGCGGCAAGTTATGCATTTTACACAGCTAGTCCAACCACCAGACACAGCATTTACATTAGATTTTTTTTGAAGGACAATTTTTAACCATCTAGGTAAGAGGGCTTAATAAAAAGCCACATTAAATTTCCCCTGCTGAATTATGGTATAATACATGTGAAGAAAAGGAGGTGGCTGATTTGATACGGTGACAAAGTGGACAGCACGTATTGAGTGGATAAAACGCAGGAATTGACCCGAACTTCACTGCGATTAACTGCAAATCGTACAATTAAATGCACTGCTCACGTTGGACGTGGCCACTCTTGAACAGACCTGAAATGTCACATTTATCTAATCGGAGAAGAGCCTGGGTTAAGCTCTGAAACAGGGCTGGACATATGGGATGACCAATCCTAGCCGCCCCCCATATAAAACATTCAAACAGGCAGTGCTTTGTGGGACTGGTTGCGGTCCACGTGAGCGAAGGCAATGAATAAAGCACGTCTGCGAGAATACATTTGAATGGAGTAATTACACAGTTTCATTATAATTGCCATATTTTTTTCCCTTTAAGATGAGAAAAGAACAAATGCAGTATTCTGCCAGTTTCCATTGGTTGTTGCAATTAAGTCATTAACAAATGATTTAGATAATCTCTATTATATCTACAATATAACTTTAGAAATATATCTTGCAATGTCACTGTGAATAATAGCCTTGGTGAGAGCTTATCTTCTTGCCTGACCTCTCTTCTGAATTTCCTTTAATGTAATTTATTCGCATAATCTCATTGTAGTTATTCAAACTTTATAAAGGGCTTTGATCACTTAAATATATTTGCATTAATTGCCCTTGGAATAAGTATTCCAAGGGCAATTAGTGTGGGTAGACTGGATCAAAACGATGACCTAAAGAGGTGAGCGACAACAGGATGGAATACTTCTGTAAAACTGAATTTAATAATAAAAAGCAACATACCAATGTGACTAGAGAGGACATTTTTCAATCGGTGGATACTATCTGTTATGACATATACAACAGAAACACTGACGCTGATAAAGAAAACGTAACAGCGATGGAAAAGTAAACAAATAAGCATGGCGAGAAGCACGCTGTGAATTTCACTGAAACAGAAAGAGGAACGCATGGGTCATGAATCAAACGCAAATCGGGAGACACAAGACTGGCCTGCTGTTAATAAAAGTTAAGTGGGGCTTGGGCAAGAAACGTCGTCACTGGAAGGGTTGATGGGCTGGTGGGTGAGAATAACCAAGCAGTGGTTGATAGCCAAAAGAGGAACCCCCCCCCCCCTTCCCCACCACTCACCACAAGAGAAGGACCACAGTGAGACATAAGCGATGAGATAAGTTCATGTGCCCCTAACCAACCATAACTAACAATAATAAACTATTATCCTAACTAACTAACCGAGAGAGGATTGTGGCATGGCGGGACCGACAGGAGGATTTTTTGTTATCCAACAATGGGTGGAACCTGGCTAATGATAATAATGGGATAGTGTCCGTAACGGAGAGAAAGTCTTCCGCAAGGTAGAGGCTGGGTGGCTTAGAGGTCCGAGCGCTTGCTGAGCTGACACTGCCGAGATCCTGAATGCAAATTCCAGGCAGGCAACTGTAATTACACTGGGTTCTCAAGTGTAGCAAATTAATAATTTCACCTCAGTCATCACCATAAAATACATAAAACTATATTAAAGTTGGTTTTGCATTTAACTTGGCTAAATTTCAGCTCTCAGAATTAAAAATGTCACTTTGACGGTCACACAAAGAACATTTAGCTGTGCAGCATGGTGAAGGAGAAAGCGGGAGGCACACTATGATGGATAAGAGGTCACTTGAACGGATCACAGTAGTTCTGTGATATCTACTTCTGCAGGGTGTCGTTAAAATAAGAGGCTGCACTGCTCTGCGAGAGCTGTGAATTTATTCTTCGTATTTGGTAAAAAAAAAAAATCTTTCCAATATATTCCCTCTCGGTAATAATGATCTGTTTTTAAAACTTCAACAACATTGAAACGTCCTAATGCAATACAAATCCCTTTACAAAAGAGTATTTGGTTGAAAGATGCCTTTAAAAAAACAAAAACCTCAGGAAAAACACCCGACTCGTGACAAATAATAATCTCACACGAATCCACCAGTCCAAGAATCACACCTCCCATTACCACGGTTGGCTATGTGCGGGTACGAAAGAAGTTCAGCATACACAGGCACGCTCGCACCTCGCACAACGAGAGAGAGAGAGAGAGAGCGCGGCACGCAACGCTCGTTCGTTCGCATCACCCGAGTCGGCCACTTCGACGCCGGCCATGTACTGCAGGGAGGACGGGGGCTTGGCGCCGGCGCCGATGCACTCGAGCAGTGTGAACAGGGTGCTCCAGTCCTCCTGCGAGTGGATGTTGGCCGCGTTGGTCTTGAGCAGCTCGTGCAGGCCGAAGGCGATCTGCCGGCTCGCTTTGGCCAGCACGGCCGGCTTCATAAGCAGCAGCACGCGCAGGGAGTGCAGGACCTGCGGTCGAGCACGCAGCAACAACAGCCGCTGTTCGCCACTCGGCGACGGTGGCACCATCGCGTGTTCGCGCCAGGCTAGGTGCCCTCTGAGGCCAAGTGAAGTGTCGCCGGCTCGCCGGTAAGAAGGTGACCGGGAGAGGCCCGGGTGTCGTGGGTTAACCGAGAGGTGGCTAACGGACGCAACGCGTGTTCATGCACACACGCACGTGCATCCACATCCCCCGAATAGCTTTTAGATCGCCTATATACCCATCTGTTGGAACATAAGCTATCATTTTTGGGACACATGCTGTCATTGAGCATCTATTAAGGCTGGCCAGTACCACACATGGCCGCCTTTGTCTTCCCAGTGTTGGCATTTACACTCAAAATTAGGAACTTATTGAAGGTTCAGACGACCTAGGGGAGGCCCAGTACAAGTTAATAAATGATTTGGGAATTAACCATGCCTAGTGATTCAGAAATGACCTGCAGTGACTTGGAATCAAACTCAGGTAATTGGGTTCACAGCACACTTTGCCAACTAATAATTATGCCACCGCTCCCCCAACACATGCCCAATAAGTACACCCATATACACACCTAACATAGGTCTCCTGCAGTAGCTTTACAATTTGGAGAGTATAAGTACTGTCAGTGAGCAACTGTTAACGCCACCACAATATAGCTCGCAGAATTGGCAACGCTAAATATTGGTATTGCGATTCTTAATAACCACAATTACTGCAATTCCAGGATGCTGATGTATGCATGCGGAATTTATTTCGCACTACACGTATCCAACCGTGCTAATTGGGGGTTGGTGCCACTAATCCTGTTATTTGTTGGCTATGTAACGTTGCAGCAATTCGTTGAATAATACTGATTCTCAAGTTCACAAATGATGCGTGTGTGTGAATTATTATTTACAATGTATGCAATTTATAGGCAGATACGCCGATGAGATGGGACTCAGCTGTACAAACAAGACGGACAAAACTTAAAATAATACAAACCAGGGAGTAAAAACGAGACAAGAAACAAAAGTCTTGAACTGGACCACAAACTATGAACCACAAAAATTCATCAAATCATAAAGAGGGAAAATCTCTACGTCCATAGTGTCAATGGTGCCACATCGGATATCGGCGACACTTGGGCACAGTGCAGAAGGGAGTGAGAAGTGGCACGCGCGCACGAGTCGGGCGCGGGTCATGAGTGGGTGGCACGGTGCTGGTTCCTGCGTGCTATGAGCAGATGTGTGGCAGGCAGCGAGTTGCGCTAAGAACCCTGCAACCTGAGTTCGATTCCCGCTCATGGACAACACCAGTGACGATTATCTTAACTGGCCCTGGGACTCCCCTAGGTCGACTCAGCCTCAAATGAGTACCTAGTGCGGTGTGTAAACATCGCCACTCGGGAGTGCTGCTGGCCACATGACCCCCCTCGTGCACCATGCTGGCCTTCAAAGGTGCTCGCTGACAGCACTTGCCCCAACAGTCAGTTAAGGCCATACGGGGGGATATCTTTGTCTATGTTTGTGTACCTGCGTGCTATATTCTTGGTTCTTTCGGTAAAGTCACGTTGAAGGGAAACAATAAAATATATTATATATGTATTCATATTCTTGGTTCTTTCGGTAAAGTCACGTTGAAGGGAAACAATAAAATATATTATATATGTATATTATTATTTATTATTTTATTGTTTCCCTTCAACGTGACTTCACCGAAAGAGCCAAGAATATGAATCACTGCAGTCACGAAAGCTTTAAATCAAAATACCTGCGTGCTGTTTTCTTCGCGGCGCAGGAGGCGGATAGCGAGGCGCAGCAGCCCCACGACGGCGCGCTCCAGCAGGAAACAGTGCTCGCTCGCGTGCACGATCAGCTGGTACAGGTGGTCGCGCACCGTCTGCCACAGGCAACCCACGCGGTCCCTGCGCACCGCACAATTTCACAGCACGATCGATCGCGGTCAGCGGCCCGTTTGTCGCCGACGCAGCCATCGTCGCTATTACCGTAGGAGCCACGTCTCCGGAGCCCACCTTCCCCAACGCGCGCTGAACATCCTTGCAGCGGCACCGTCGAACAAAGATGGTCAACGCATTGTGAGCTTTCAGATGCGCTTCTGCGGCCATCTGGAAAGCTCTTCTTTCCGATATTAGGAAGTCACTGGAGCGATGCACTTCGAAATTTAGTTTGAAAACTCATTTATCGAGACCTGCTTTTTGTGTTTAATTTTGTTGCCCTTCCCCCACACCTCCGATAAGCGCGGTTGGCTACGTACGGTGCGAAATAGGTTACGCATACACACGAACGGCGTGGTATGGTCAACTGCCCATGACCAACCCAGCGTGGGGTGGCCCACATCCAGCAGTGGATTTAATACAGAGGCCCACATGTACACGTGTACAATACTGTACAGAATATATGCGTGAATGAGAAGAGCTACTAGGTCACGACTGTTGGCTGTTCCATTGGAATTTTTTCCTCGAAGTAACTTCTTCATTTGGTATTAAAATCTCCACTTGAAACACAAGCTGAACATTTCTGTAGAGGTAATTCAGCAATCCAAGCCAATTTCAAATATAGCTCAATCAATTGAAAATAATCTGGATCCATAAGAGTTTCACTCAATGTGCATGAATGCCGATTAATCCAAACGTTGATAACCTAAAGTGAAAAACGAATGTATATCGCATGCATATTCAATCACGACAACACTGAATACATCTGGCTCACTATTAATAATAAAACAGAAATCCACCTGCTTAAAGATGTAATTTGAAATACGAGCATGCGCGTACGCAGTACACACGACCTAAAGTGGACTGTTGCACATCCACCGTCTAATATTGGAAGGGGTCTGGTACACTGCTGACCACGTACAACTAAAGGGTTATTTATTTATTTAACAATCTCACTGGGAATGTGTGCGCAAAGTTCACGAAAACCCAGCGGCCGCTCTTGAGCGGCGATGCATCTGCCGACATCACACACAGACGCACCAGAGAGGCCCCACGGTACTCGGGAATTGTAATCGTGTGCGTGCGTGCGCGCGTGCGTGCGCGAGCACGCAGGTTTGCACACTCGCGGCAAGTACATGACGGTGTTACGAGGAATACACGAGCAAAAACCTGCACCGCCCGGTTGCAATCACGTGACGTGTATGGACATTGGCACGAACGGCCCTCTCCTATTTCTAATTATAGAACCCGTTTGCTTACGGTTCATTTGCCCGAAACATGTAAAAAATACTTTGCGTATTCTGTAATCAGTTACACTGCCGACAGATATATTTATTCACATTAAAATGAGAATGCGGACATTAAAGATTGCTCATTCATGTATTTCTGAAGTTGTTATCACAATTGCCGTTCACAGTATTTGAGCTGTAAAAATATTTTACGACTCGCAGAAACTTAACCGCGCCAACCGTCAGTTCCAATGACAAAAGTGACCCGCTGACACGCAAAGCATTCGGAAGACCGTCTCTCGTTCTCCCGTCTCACTTCCACGGTCTTGGCTTCTGCGAGGTGTCTTTTTTTTTTTAACCGAGTCGGCGCCGCGCCACGTCCGCGTGCGTACCCATAAACCTCGCAGCGTCGTGGGCGGGCGCCGGCAACGAGCGAAAAATAACTCCCGCTACTCCCGGACCCCACCACTTGAGGGACTCACAGGACCACAAAAGCGCATGCAAGGCTGCGCAGAAACGAGACCCACCTTCCAGGCAGGGCTCTCCACCGGTCAATCCTCGCCACTTTTAACCAATCCGGTAGAACGCAGCTGAGAGTATGCACTGCCACGGAAGGCCATGTGGCTGGTGGGATTTGTGGAGGGACGGATATTTTAAGGAGGCATAGTCTGCTGAATTGATTTGTTGCTTATATTCTTCACAGTCACTCTAATGGATATTTTGTGTCAGAATGGGGCAAAAACCCTTTGAGGTGACGTCTCTTTTGCAACGGAGGCTTGGGGTGAAATACAGGAGGTCCCCTACATTATGTGGGGAAATACAAACGTGTCCTCATCATTATGTGGGGGAAACCCATAAAAATATAAAACTACAAACAAAAATATTGCCAATTGCAGTTCTAAAGGCCCAAATTTAAGCGTGCAAAGCAGCTTATTAGCTGCGTCTCTACGCTGTGCAGAAACATCACTTGCCTGGCAGTTCGTACTGTAAATCTGTGGCAATGAATTTGAGCATCCCAGAATTGGCTTGGGCTACCATTATTTTATATCGTGCTTTATATTTGTAAAATATAAAATGAAATACAAATAACATTGCAAGCTCAAATGGGATCAAATTAGATGTCATTGAAATAACATATTTATTACTTCTTTAAGAACATTTATGTACTGGGGTGTACCCTCCCCCCACCACCCCCTGAGTCAGCCCAGTATTTTGTGAACACGCTGCACATACAGAGGCACATTCTGTAATGCATTCAAGTTAGGTGTGTGAACCTCCATCAGGGAAAAACTTGACCAAACCCCACAAATACTGAGCTCATGTTAATGATAATAAAGCCAGGTCATTTGTATCTAATACAACATCCGAATTTAACTGTCTCCCAGAATTCTACAGCAGCAGGGGGGGGGGGGGGGGGGATACATTAGGCTAGGAGGGTGAGGCCGCACAGCAGGCGTGCAATGGCATCACATAAGCCAGATACAATGCACGTGGCACGCTGCCGCCTTTCTTAGCCATTGTGATAATTTGGCATTGACCTAGCCCGCGGTCCGGCATTGTGCAGCAGCCCATGTGTAAAGCCTGCAGGCGACTCGATGGCGCTGTGTCTGGGTGCCAGCGTCAAATGTCTTTCACAGGGGTGTGATCTGTTAATGCCTTGTCGCACCGAGCAACTCAATGCTGTCACGGAGACTACAGCCTTTGATGTAATTGGTAAAAATGCATATCACAGCAATAAGCTATTAATAACTGTATGTTGGATTGGACCTGTAAACGATAGTCATCCAGCGCGCGCATAATCACAGAGCCATGCAGGAGCGTCCTCAGTGGCCAGTTGTGGTTTTCGGAGACCTCCGCTCAACTTGGTCACCGGGCAGTCATCAACAACACACGAGATTGTTTGTATGGAGTCACAAATGCAATTTGGGTTGTCATGAAGATCCCAACGGTGGAGGTTGTGGGCTGCACAACGACCTTTGCCCTGTCCGAAATCTGTTCAGCAAAGCCCGCTGATGGCATGGCAGGTTGAAACCAGGTGGACAGACTGTAGGATCCGCAAAATCAGCACTGATTTAGTGCTGATTTTGCACTCTACTCCTCCTGCCGAGCAGCCCTGGCGCGGCTGTTAGGACGACCGCACCGCGTGTCGTGTCGATGGAAAGCGTGTGCATCAGGTGGATTTTTGGAGATCTTCGTGTAGCGGTAGGCTTGGCTTGACGTTGATCTTCTGCAGTAGCTTGCTGGTCGCAACCTCCTGTCGGATGTGAGGGGGAGCAATGTTGCTCAGGACTGGAAGCCTTGGTAGGAGCCGATCGAAGAGTTTCCCGAGATGATGATGCTCATCATTTAGTGTAGCTGGGAATCGACGAGCTTGGTGCATGACAACCTACTGCAGTGAGCAGCACTCTTGCCACTGAGTAGGAGATGGCGAGAGTTGAGGCAATTGCACCCCATGATGGACCAGCCAAGCTTGTGAAGAAGGTTGTTGCGCGTCTCTTGACCTTTGCTGCCGTTTTCTTCAGATGTTCCCGAAAGCTCCGTGTCACTGGCCTCCTTTCATTCGGAATCACGTTTAAACGGCAGAAACAGGAGCTGCCAAGATGAGCAGAGATTCATAATTATTCCCCAATAGTACATTTTACAACCTGATATTACAAACACGTCACTGAGACGTGAAAACGTTGACGCTCGTGTGCCCACGAAAGTGACGAGCGCCCTATCGTTACGAGTAACCCCACACCATCCGCAAGGGGATCACGGGTGGGTGGGGGGGGGGGCACGGTGCCCCCTGTAATTCGAGCTAACTGTTTTGGAAGGATTACTTTGGAGGACACGGATAGGAACACGGACGAAGAGGGCCCTCTCTTGGCCCATCGTCTGCCCGCTTCTAATCCCGGCCCTCCCTCCTTCTCGCAAACAAATACAGTCGAGTCAGCAGCAATGGACGAGAGAGGAGAGAGAGGCAGCGGAGGGGAGCTGCGCTTTGATGTGGGTGTGTAATTACACGCTGGGCCCCCGCTTTACTTCTGCCACAATGCGCGCGTTGTTCGTGCCAACTTGGGAAGATTATGCAGGCCTCAAGGCTAAGGCCCACACACGCACACGGTCTTTTATTCCGCAAACGTGGGTTTCGGAATTGTTGTGTGCTAAGTACGTTTAGCCAAACTAATTCGCGGTGCTAAGACTGTGTATTTCTTTTTTGCGTGTGCGTGTGGCTTCTAAGGGCTTTCTGTTGGGAGTTTACATGAGCACGGTTGGTAAAAAGGGCTGGTAAAAACCGTATGTTATTGCTGCAAAGTCTCCGCAGAAATCCACGCCTGAATTGGAGAAAAACAAAATAATTAAAATGCTATGTGAACCAAACGACAGAAATGGAATATGAATATATTACGCCCGTAATTTTTATCATGAATATTTCAATCTTCGCACGGTGACTTAAACCTACTTTGATGTACCAAGCACGCGTAAGATTTCTAAGTGGTGCCTGAAGGTTTCAGTGAATGATAACAGTATCGCCTGCTCTGTCACTCACAATAAAGTGGGCGATTCAGACACTGCTGAAGCTGCCACACGTGTGTCGCTTTGCTTTTACTGGTTACGGACAGGCAGAACGTTTGTGTCATACCGTCTGGAACACAAACTCGCCTTGTGCAGGCAATTCTGTTTTAAGACCAGTAACCATGGCGCTCAGCGCTGCGCTTTCAAGCCTTGATCCTCCGAATGACTTCACAGGGACATCTCTTACTTAGCTCTGCTTACAATAACAGAAAACAGATTAGCGTTGTTTGTCTTCACCTGACGGTTATTTTTTTGGTCCTTTATTATTTTTCCATTACCTCCGAGGATTCGAGGCCTCGGTGTTTTCTTTTACAATTCTCATAAAGTCCTCCGCCTCGGCACGCCTGGAGGGCATGGCGAGGCGGGAAAAAGGGATTCTTTATTTTACTTAACGACCCAAGGAAGGCTGGCAGTGGCTTACAGAGCAGATTAAAATTACGCTGGATTTATAGAAAGGGGGGTCCCGCACAGCTCAGAGAATGTCTTCGAGCTTGGGCCATTATTTTTTCAGAAAACAGCAATTGCAGGCCGCACTGTGTGCTCCTTCCACGCCTATCCAATGCATACACACTGCGCGGATAGAGCCAGCAAGGGCAGATGGAGCTGGCGAGGATGAATCGGGGAGGGGTGGGGGTAGAGTGGTATGGGCAGCATTGAGGGGAGAGAGTGCACACTTTGTGTGTCGCCCAGTGTTTGTCACCGCCGACAAGACTATGACCTTTGGTTTTATTCGGTAAAGTCACGTAGATAAAATAAAACAAAATAAAACAATTAAATCACGACGTTTCGGAGGCAACACAAGCCTCCGTCTTCAGAAGCTTGTCAGATATTCTGCTGTGACTATTCCACCTGAAGACGGAAGCTTGTGTTGCCTCCGAAACGTCGTGATTTAATTGTTTTCTTTTATTTTGTTTTCTTTTATTTTGTTTTATTTGAGCTACGTGACTTTACCGAATAAAACCAAAGAGTATGAATCCTTGCAGTCACAAAAGCTTCAAATCTAGAAAGACTATGACCCACTGAATATGCTGGAAATTAAACCTCTGTTGAAAGCGGGCATTTGCAAGCAAAACTAAAACATTTAGTTCGTGCGGTTTTCAAGCAAATTGGAAATCTTTAAGAAAACAAATATGCAGGGGAAAGAAAAATCAAACGAAAACCCACCGAGTACATTTTTCTCATCCTTTCTCTCGTGTTTTTTTTTTTAAACCAATACTAAAGATGACCCTGGCTTCAGCGGCTATTGAAGAACTGCCAAAACAAGGAGGTCGAGAGTGACTCCATTACGCCGGCTGCGCGTGCGTGCGTGTCGGCATGCGCGATGCGCGTGAGACCGCAGCGGCCACGAGCGGTGGCGGCAGTGCGTCGCTGCTTTCTCCGACATCCAACTGTGGACCCACTTGTTCTGCAGGATGATCTGCAGCAGCATCTCCAGGTAGAAGACGGCCGCCTCCTCGTCGTACCCCTCATCCTCCATCGACATGGACGACAGCGCCTGCGAAAGGAGAAGAAGGGGGTGGCGAGATCACGTCAACCCCCCACCCCCCGCTCAAGACTCGCGCGGCCAACGGCAGTGGCGCTCGGACGTCACGAACACGGAGCGCACCTCAATGCGAGAGGACAGGAAATCTACAAGCTCGGGACACGTCTCCCTGAGTCCTTTGCTCTCCCTTTGTCGAGTCGGCCGTTCTCAAATTAATTCGCTGACGGAGGAAGCTGTTTGGCTGAAATCGCAGAAGCGCCTAAAATGTGTCCGGAGTTTTGAAGGAACACGCTCAATTGTGTTGCGCGAGTTGCACAAGGCAAGGGTTTAACGAGATCAAGGGTTTAAAGTCAATGAGCCGTACACTTATTGTTGCGGCTCATTATTACCACAAGGAAAAGCTGCTCAAATTAACTTTCTAATTACTGTTGTAATAAGAGTAACCAACAACACCTACAATTCATGGCTGCATCGGATTGCATTTGTCGAATAAGAATTACTCGTGATATTTGACAACCGTGTTATTTGCAAAACTACATTTCAGCAAATTAAAATAAAACATTTTATGTAAAAAATATATACATATTTCTCCCCAAGACACTATGTTGAATATTGAAATTTTTTACATGTATTTTATTAGCTCAAAGTCATACGACCCAAAACATTAAATTTTAGCTCATGCTCTGAAAGATATATAACGCACTCCAAGAATATTTGCTTAAAAAACTATATAATACCAAGAAAAAAAATCACAACTATACAGGTATGTCAAGACCCTTAAAACAACCATAAATGAGATCACACACAATAAATAAATAAATATTTCGTTACATACGAATAACCTAAATACCTACCAAAAACATGCACACATACAATCTAAGGCTAAATGCAACGCTAGGTTTATAGGCTACACTCTTAACTGGGGTTAAGATGACAACCTTTCAAGTGGCCACCGGTCTAATTGCGCCTCATCACGTCGTGCCGCATTGCACAATCCACGGTGCTCCCGTTGGCATTAGGTCACGGCTCTCCTTCCTGCTCGCACGCCGCGGCAACAACAATTACGAGCTCAACGAGCGGGGTGGGGGGGGGGCGGCCCGCTTTGAGACAGGCCCCTAAAATCCCAGCGCTAGACTCATGAATCATTCGCGTCCCCCTCCGAAGCCTGACCACATGAAGAAGCGGGGCAGGCGGCGTGCCGAGCCGCCTCTTAGCGCGAGCTTTGTGCCGCGCTCGCGATTCCAAGCCCCAACAAGCTCGCTCGCCCGCCCGCCGGTGCGAGGCTTAAGTCAAAAAGCGCACGCTGCCCGCACGAGGCTGCGGACACGTTGGAGACCTCGATGCAGGCAGGAGCCTCCAATGAAGTTCGATCAGCTGTTAAGAGTATTGGCCATGGGTGCATGTTGGTTATCTTTCCCCTTACCCTTTTTCCCTCCCCATATATATGTATATATATGCATATATGTACATATATGTGTATATATGTATGTATATATGTATGTAAATAGTAGTGTAGCGGTTAGCACATTGCACTACGAACCTGGCGACTTGAGTTCGATTCCCACTCACGGCCAACACCAGTGACAATTATCTGAACCGGTCCTGGGCCTCCCTTAGATCGACTCAGCCTGATATGAGTACTTGGTGAGGTGTGTAAACATCGCACACTAGGGAGACAAAGGCAGCCGGGCGTGATGCTGGCCACCCACCCCCTTGTGTGTTGTGCCGGCCTTCATAGGTGCTCGCTAGCAGCACTTGACCCAACAGTCTGTTCAAGCTATGGGGGATCTTTTTTTTTTTCCACACACAATTTATACCGGATGTCGCAGAAATTGTGACAGCCGTGAAATTGCAATTGACACGGGACACTCGGCTTTTGGATGGCTCAATGGAAATAATCCAGCGACGCGTGGATTGTGAATGCTGGATTAGAGCACCGTGTCTCAGCCAACAGAGGGAGCAAGCGGTTTGCGTGTCTCTAATTCTAAGCAAGAGAAAGCTTCTCATCCTCTCCATCGCAGCCTGCGATGGCCCAGGGCACAGGCTGCAATCCCATAATAGCACGTTAATCTCACACGTGAATTCATTAGTCTGCTGTGCAATTTACCCTCAACATCCAATAAGTGTTAGGTAGCGTGTGGTGCTGTAAAGCATGCTTTTAAGATTAAAAAGGAATAAACGGACCTTCACAAAGACAAATACATACACGTCATGTCATCGGAAAGTGGTGTTAGGATTATGAAAGGTTTGCTACGTCTTTACCGTAATTTTAGCGTCAATTTCGTTTCAACAAATATGACCAAGATGTTTTTGAAACCGTGAGCTTTCCCCTTCTATCGTAGCCATAGAGGAACTGACCTTCATCAACTCCTGCAGAGATTCCAGCCGCAGGAACCGAGACTCTGTCAGCAGCTGCTCCGGGTGACATTCCTGATAACCAGAGCAGTGGAATTATTTTCAATAAAAACACGGTTACGCAGGCACTCAAGCAATCATTTGGGCAAGCATGCCTACAAAGTGCTCTCAAATACGGTATCATCTTCAATCATCACAGCGAATCCCTCTTATCCGTCGAGTCCCTCTTAGTGCCGCAAAACAATAATCTGCGCGTCTAATCTTCCTGTGATATGCATTTTCCCACAAATAAGAATTGCTCAGAAGCATTGGCAAATGCATCCTATTATCCGTGTTTATCCGTCGATAACTGCACAGATAACTGGGGGAATGCCAATTGCGGACCAACAGGATTCGCCAAAAATCGCTCCCCACGGCACCCAGGATGCGAGACGTTTCACTGGAGACGCGGCCGCCAATAAAAGTTTAACAGTGGACGTTTAGCCTAATATGTGTCTGCGACGTGGTGGATGATGTAACGCTGCCGGACCCCACCTCTATGCACTTCATGGCGATCTTCTTGAACTCCTGGTCCTCAGCCGAAGGTCCCCTCTGGCCGGACTGCTCGGGCCCGCTGAGCGTCAGCCAGTTCACAAAGCTGAACATGGTCGAGTCAGAACTGCAAGGGGCCACATGACGCATAAAAGCCGCTCAGTCAAAGTCGCAAGAAGTAGCAATGTAACGGTCATAAATTGTACTTTCACTGTTTATTTTAAAAACTGCGAACTCATTTAAACCTGCGCGTTGTTTATACCTTTTAAAGGTTTGGTATAGGTGTCATCGTATGCCACGTTATGAAGAGTAACAAAAATTAAGCTGTTAAAATGTTAATCTTTTCGAAAAGGCAGACGAGCAGACATACAATTTCTTGCTCATGCAACTGCTGGCCAAATCGCCTCTTAAAAAGGGAGCTGTAGCGAGCTGTGCCTGAGTAAGGCTTAATTTATGGGGTGCAGGAGAAGAGTTGTACATCTCCAGTCAAGCGGAGATCAGGTTTACGAGCATCTCTCTTACCGCTGGGATGGACTCTCTTCGCGGAGGATGGAGATCCTGCCGTTGGGGTCCACAAAGTCCTCCACCTGCCACGAGACAGGCCACGTTTCATAATGACTCATCAATTATCTAGCACTCGGCTGATTTGATGAAATTCAATTGATGCAAAAGGCCACCTTGACACCTGCATAAGCAACTTCAACAACACACATATCTGGTTTAATTTCACATTTGCCAAGTGGGCACGATACACAGGTAAACTGTTCCAGTGTGCTGATTAACTCTGAGCATGCCCAGGGAAAGAAGAGGGTGGTTAATGAATCTGAACACCCGAATAAAATGTATATTTTACGAACTCATTATTAGGGGTAGGCTCGGCCAAATCTAGCCTTCTCCATTATCATTTAATGTTGCTCTCAGGGGTGTAATGTGTCACTCGGCTCACAATTAAAAAACTCGTGATCAAATTTGGAATCAAGAATGCATTTATTAACGCGGTGGTCAATGTAGTAGCCTCAATTGGCGAGAAGGTGGCCATGGGGGAGGGGTTGAATGAACCCCTTACATACATTACTTTAAAAACAATGCCTCTTCAATGCAAGTAGTGTGATCTGGAGTCTTAATAATTGATTAATCAATGCATTGTTACCCAAAGCCCCCCCCCCCCGCCTTCTCCTCCTTGGTTTCCCCCATAGTTGCTATCCAGCGTTGTGAATGGTGTGTAATGAATAACACGGTGATGACGCCTATCCTGAGTGCGGTATGTGGTTGTGCTCCGACCACACTAAAACTTCCGAGGCATCTGCACAAAAGGGATATTTCCTTTCAAGCACGTGCAAAAACATGCAAATCCACGCGCACGTGAACACACACGCAAGGGGCACGTACCTCCACCATGGATTTGGGCAGCAGCTTGGCTCGGAAGATCTGCAGCATCGAGTCCATGATGTTTTTCCAGCCCTCCCTCAGGATGTCTCCGTGCCGGTGTGCCAGGTTAAACACCGTCTTGGCAGACAGCTGAGCCTTCGGGTTACTTCCAAACATCACCGGCAAGTTATCCACAGACTGCTCGCGCCAGACAATCGGAAGCAGCAAAAAAAACAAACGGTGGCGCGGTTAGTGGTTAGCGCCGGACGCCTCTCGCCGCACACGGTTCTCTCTTTGGCGATACCGGCCACTCCGGCACGTCCGCTCGCACACGCAGCCCTCTGCTCATCATTGCACATTTGGCCTCATTACTTTATTTTTTATTGAGGGACTGTGTGTTGGCATGGTGTGGTCTGGGAATGTGTTTGCCGTTGTTTTCTCCCAAGCTTGGGAAATTGGTGTACTTATGCAATTTGAACTTCAAGTATTTTTAGTGATTTGGTTACCTTTCCTATACTTTGCATTCCTGATCGTTTTTTGCACTGTTTGTTTTTAGTAACTTTCTGACCCGCCCCTACTGAATTGCTTTTCTTTAGAAATGCTTCGTTTGTTGTTCTTCCCCCCCCCACTTCCGATTAGCATTGTTGGCTACGTATGTGTGCGAAACAAGGTTCAACATACACACATACATGTTGGACGTCTGTGAAAAAGAGCTTCACAGCTCATCAGATTTCTCCAGGATAAATAAAATTTCCCGTGGCCAACTAAGCTGTTGCGCTATTGAGCCTGGACCACGTACGCTTGGGATGGACGAACCACCTGTGGGGTTACGTTGTGAGGAGCAGTGGGGCAGTGCAGCCAAATCCATTCTTGTACAGCACTTCTACGCTTCCACATCAATGCTGCCTGCCTTCCCGCCTTCACCGACCTACGCTGACCAGTGTGGTGACGTACAGCCAAATGACCCCCCACCACCCATACAGGGGGCGAAGGAACGCCTCCTCCTCATCCAGCAGTGGATTGGCAGAAGGGCAGTATGCGAACAATAATAAACAATTGATTCTTACAAACACAACTTTCAAGCATTTATCGTGAGTGTGGAAACCAAAATTAGTTGATGCATTGTTGAATGTCAGTTACATGTGAATGTATAAAAAATGTCATTAAATTAAAGTATATGTTCATTGTAAAACTTCAAGCTTGTCATTTTAATTTACAAGATATGTAACTTATCTCAGGTTGCAAGTGATAAGACAGTGTTTTTTTGTTTAGTTTGTTGTCCTTCCCCTGCACCTCCGATTAACACAGTTGGCTACGTACAGTGGTGTTGTCATCAGCGTTAATATTATGCATGTTTTCAAAATGACCCATGCCATCCATGGATGTATACGATAACATTTAAATATAAACTATTTACGATTTTTTTACGAGGTAAGGTCCACTGAGCTATATAACTTTTTTTCAGAAGCGACCTGCCCACAAATGATAACTCAACAAAGTGGCTTATCATGTAGAATTCCATAGCAGCCAAATACTCTAAAAACATGTTTCTAAATGTGGAGGGAAAAGCCGGAGGACCTGGAGAGAGAAGAGAAAAAAAAAACACGACTTCCTGAACACCTGGCGAGGGAATTAGCATCTCGCCAAAAGCACTGTGACAACCCGCAAGGAGAAGTTCATTAACACGTCCGAGTTATTTTTTTTCCAGGACTTGGTCATCTTCTCGACCGCCCACGTCTCTCTGCTTCTCTCCTCGCACCGACACCTCCATTCCCCGCTCCCACCAGACCCTCCCCCGAGCTAACAATCATTTGTAACGGTCAGCGTTATCTAAATGCTCACGATGCTGGATCCGTCCCAGCTGGATTCCTGCTGACTTTACCAGCGACTCCGAGATGGGATAAACACTACATGGAATGCTGGATATACTGGTGTGCATTATTAAAAAGAAGGAAGAAAAATATTACAAAAGCAAAAACATTCTACGTTCCAAAAAATATTAGACACAATAACACGACATTATTATTTTTATGGATTCCCTCTCTTGCCGATTTTTTGTTACACTATCGCAATGTACAACTTTTGAAAAATCCATGACATTTTTCAAAAAAGAATAAGAAAGGCTTTGAAGTCTTTATTACTTACCTCATTGCTGAGCATGGTGAACTTGCAAAGGGAGATGATGAGATTATCAAAGACGTCACTCAAGCCGTAGTAGGCAGAAATCATCGCACACTTCCTGCGAGACAAAAAGAGGAGCACATCCCACACGTTCCATATTTCCAAAAGCATTTTTGGCATTTCTGTTCAGCGAAAAATGGATGGCTCGAATTTTTTTGTTATTGCGGCTACAGGTAGAGTAATCTCACAAAAAAAATATGCGCTACATCAAACACTACTCTGATGGGCTTGCTTAAAATCTCCCTGCTTATTTGACATACACAGATAATAACAATGCCATTTGTGTCTCTAGGAAAGACTCGCTGAGTCTTAAGACTCTCTTTTTTTATGATGGCCCTACATTAGAATGGTTGGAGAATGACATTAATCTGAAGAAATCCAAGAACCTGTTGGAAACCCACGAATTTTTGGAAGTGATCATAATCAGAATATGTATTTATACTGGAGGAATCCGATGAGCTATGAAGCTCTTTTTTCACAGATGTCCAGTAAGGGTGAGTCAGTGAGCTACAACAATAAACAATGCAAAAATGGAGAGGAGTGCCAAAGAGAGAACAGGTGAGCAAGTCACTAAAAACATAAATAAATAATAAAGTGCAAATTTCATAAGCTCCACAAAGATAGATTTAAGCATCCATTGCTGTACTGTGATCTCCCAAGCACCACGCAGACCAGCAGCCTTGGGAGGCAATCATCACGGAAATGATCAACACACAGTATACAAGGCATCTAAATAAGCTTTTGACAAGTGGACGCCAATGACCAGGAACCACCCTCGGAATGCATCCGACCTTATCAAGCCTTGGAAGCTGACCAGAGTTAAGCATGGACAGCGCGACCACCATGCATAACATGTATTATATGCCACTGTAGGGTTAAATTGTCAGCAGAGGGCAGTTCAGCAAATTACATCGTTGTTCTATACCACACTCCTATAAGCTCATGGGATTCCTCCAGTAAACATAAATATTCTGATTTTATGCTCCCCGCCTTCAGCAACCCGCACGGACCACCATGGAAAAGTATGGTGAAATAACCCCCCCGGCGCGCATGCCATTGGGAGGCCCTCACCCAACATTGGATTTACAAAAGGGGCTGTACAAGTACACGACACGTGGACAGGAGGGCAGGTGTCGTGCAAGCATGTGGGCGAGCGGGGAAAGACGGCACCTGAAACCAGAGATGGCCTTTTGGATGATGGTCTCGTCGGTGCTTTTGTCGAACACGAAGGACAGGGCGGCGATGGTGGGGCCCCAGCTCATGGTGAAGAGGTCCAGGTGGTAGGCGCCGCCGGGCACGTGCAGGAACAGGCCCTCCTGAGACACGCCGCGGTGCAGCAGGAGGTTCCACATGTAGTTGTCGCGCACGAGGCCCGTGTGCTCCTCCGGCATCACGATCTCGTCGTTCCTGCAAGCGGTGTTAATTCGATATCAGTAATTAAAATATCCACAAATGGAGAGATCATTTCAAAATATATATTTCATCAACGATCAATGACGATCAGTGGGCATAAATCATCAAGGATGTCCACCAAACACGACTATGACGAGACGAAATTAACGAGCCTCAATGGAGACACAGACTAAGATCATGATATATTACTTAGGACTGGAGTGCACCGAGGTAGACCGAAAATGGTAAATGGATGTACAAGCACATCCAGAGATTACCGAGTTCATCGACTCGCTGATATTGGGTGCCCTTACCATACACATTTATAAACAGAGAGGATAAAAAATGTGACTGCTCGAGTCACCCAGACTAAGAGAACGATTCATTGCAATCCAAAGACCTAAGATGGGACTAAAATTCTGCAGGTTGTTGTCGACAAAGCTGAGAACGTGACCAAAGATTTTTAAAAAACGCTGAATAAATTAAAGGTTGCCTGCAACATCACGGCGTGGCACACGCGGGCACGCCGGCCCGGCATACGCGGAGGCGGTCCAGGGGCACGTGGAGACCGACACGCAAAGCAAACCAATGGCTTCACTCCGCCTCTTAACAATGGCTCTGCCCAGCTGCTCACTCCCAAATTATTTCCGTGCAATTTCGCTTACCGTTGAAATAAAACCGACGCGTGGATTGAAAAAAATCTGTCTTCTGGATTGGTTATTCTTACATAAATAACCTCCACGACCCGCCCGGCTTGGAGATGCCTTCTCATCCAGCAGTAGATTGACAAAAGGGCCCTCTCCATGTCGTGTGGGTCCGTAGGGTGTTATTTTACCATACTTCACCAGACCGGTTAGTACAAATTTGTGATGGTAGGAAGCATAGACAGGGGAGCATAGGTTTTAGAGTGCAACAACAGACATTGCTGCAGTCCTTTGCTGCCCACAATGTAGCCTGTAGTCCATCACACCTGGTATGCACTGTGGTCGCCCATCCAAGCACTATCCATCCAGGCTGACCGCTGCTGAGTTTTGACGAGATCAGGATAATCGGGCTGATTTGGTCATAGGCTGATTACTAAGTCATTGCACCAATATATGACCTAATGGCATGCTTTCTTATTTCAGGCTGTGTCCAATGTGTCATGATTAATAAAAAAATGAATGAAATATTTGTGTGTTAATATTTGCGACGAGATTTATATTTGCAACAATTACAGCACATGCCTCCAACAAAAACAACGTGATGCAATGGCAGTATTTCTATAGGAAATAGGTTCTAGTTATATTTGAGCGCAGACTAAATGTGCAAGTAAAAAGCCTAAATTACGCGGGGTGTATAAACATTTTTTTTTTAACATTATAAACCTCTGCCTATTTTTTATAGTTATAATGGGTGTGTGTATTTGTGTAATACTGACACAATAAAGAGAGTACAAAGTTTTGTTGATACTTCTGAAAGTCGAAAGATTAAATGTTTCTTCTTGGATAAAAAAGTAAATCCCTTCTTGAAGGATAAGTTTGTGCAGGATTAACAAACTAACACCTGAGCAATAAACATCTCCCTCCAAAAAACGCAATCTGTCAAAAACCTTGTTCGTGCAAACAAGACTTCACAAAAGTTTTAATCCCCTAACAAGTGTTTCGGATACCTTTATAATTCCTTCTAATTCCAGGAATAACAGATTTGCCTGATAACAATTGTCAGGGGAGGCCTTCTGTGCAACCGGTAACAACACAGACCCGTAACGGAGCAGAGACCACTACACTCTGATATCGCTGGACCGTGCCCCTTCAGCAATTATCTGCTCCGAGTAGCCCCCAAAAGCCAAGCGCTGATAGCAAGAGACAGCGTGTAGCAGTCACTGGAGGTGGCACACTTTTTTGCTGGGGGGGGGGGGAGGGGCAAAGAGCCATCTCTACGCTCTTACGGTCCCTATCGGCCCAACGAAGTCGCCAAGCCTGCTGGAGAGGAGAGCAGCGACGTTGGCGTGGCGAGAGAGCCGCTGAAAAGGCCACTTCTGTGCTAAACGCGAGCTGAAAGTCGTGACGCATCCCCCAAGTGTTGCTGAGCGCCGGTCAATTCCAACTAACGCAGATTAGATTTTTGGCACCAGTCGCAGTGGGCGGGATCAGTATGAGCCGGTCCTAACAGAGACAAATTAGGCGCAGAACGATGACCCTTCAGAGGTCAGACGATCCATATTCTTTATCTTTAACACCATGTCAAATGGCTTTGCTTCCCGGGGTCACTCAAAGGACAGCAGCCGCATAGGCTTGTTTGATTAGCGCACGCCAATACTTCACAGAAACCAGTGCTACCCTCCATATGACATTCAAAGACTTCCTCCCTTAAAAAAACAACTATTGGAAGGAAAGTATTTTTATGACAAGAATCTTACTCGTAAGCGCTGCATAATGTAAGACAGTCCCCTTAAACTAGAATAGGGTAAATTGGTTAAACTAGTGAAACTAGAGACCAAAGCTCAATTCCTGGTCCTGGCTAACACAAGTGGCGGGTTAAATCAGAACTGGTCCTGGGCTCCTTATTTCAACAACCCTCCACTGGCCACCGTGGTGAAGCAAGATTGGGATGTCGTTGTTGTATTAGAATCTTATTTCCCATTAGAATATTGAATATTTAACAAGCTGTAGCGTGTTATACTTGTTTTTATTCTTCACCCAAACAGCACTAATAAGTTTGTTAAGAGTCACTTATTTGAGGGAATGTCTCCCTTGAACAAGGGACTTGTTCATAAGAGGTTTTTTTGGGTTAGATCGCGTAAATATATAAATGTGTCGTTAAAACATGTCACCACCCGACATAGCCAACACACCGGTTAGTGCTGTACTAGTGACGAATTGGCACGTTCTGTTTACATGACAACCCTTATTAGTTGGCTGTGTCGGGTGGTGGCGGGTTTTAACGGCACAATTATATATTTATTTACATTCATATATTTATGCAATATAACACAAAAAACCTCTATTATGGATGATATTGGTCACAAAAGCCTACCTGTTGAAAGGCACTTGATGTCTGTTGGCTGTTACCAGTTTAAATAAGGTAATTTGTCTGTAAAAAAAACTTCTAATCAGCAACCGGTTATATTAATTTAACACTACACACGCCAATGGATTGAATTCCATTATATAATATTTAGCAAACATACAAAGTATGATATTACAAACAACAGAGAACATTTTTAGATTACAACAAAAATACAAAGCATAATTAACATAAGGCACACTCTACAATAAATAAAGAATATAACTTTAAAAGTTAGTTGAAATTGAAAAAAACCACATACTTTCCGTGAAAAATTCTGCACATATGAAAAATTGCCAAAATAAAAATACGTACAAAAACACACGCTGCATGAACTTTTCAGTTCAAAAGGAAAAATAAAATAAAAAGTGAATCGACTTACTGCACGCATGTATGCTTCTTATCAAGTTTTAATAAAAAGTGCTCTATTTCACATCGGTGAGATTATCCCTCGGCTGATCCGCGACGGCGCGAGGCAATGATCCCCTCTCCAGCGCTCGCCCTGGGACATCCTGTGCCTCTCCGTGAACTCGGAAAGAAAGCAAGCCTCCTGCCAACGGCGCGGCCGCGTCGGCAGCCGGCGACGCAACGACCCCGCGCTTGGAGCGCCTCCTGTAGCCAGCTCCGCCAGCGAGCCCAGGCTAGCCTCCAAGCGAGCCCAGGCTGGCCCCTGAGCGAGCCAAGGCTAGCCCCCCGCACGGCTCTCCCCCCACAGCCCTCGGACTGAGCGGCGAGCCCAGGCTAGACCCGCACGTCTCTCCCTACATCCCACACCGGCGACGTTCGCTCCAAGACGCGAGTGGTTTCTCTCCAAACTACACGGCTGCGCTAGGCGCAGAAACCGTTATTTATAGCAAAGCGTGCGAATAAAGCGGCCATCACATAATTTTTTTCTACTTATTCAACCGATTACTAGTTTGTAAATCCTTGATTTTAAAATAAGCATATGCATATTACCTTCTGAAGATAGATAACTATGTAAATTAAACTGCTTTGAAGTGTAATTAAATCTGTCGAACAATTTAATTACTTTGAGGTCAAGAGAAGTCTTTCAAATCGACGATATTTCCCAAAAACTCGGGAGGAAAAAGAGAGAGAAAAAACAACAAAAGTAAACCGGTATACCAAAAATAAACGGCGTCCGTAGTGGGTTAATGCCAGCCGTCTGGCTGCAAACGCCTGATATGCGAAAGTGTTTTAAGATGCGGAAAGCGCTGCTGTTGATTTTCTAGGATTCCTGCTAAAGCACCCGCGCTTACTGTCCACCTGACCAAGCCAGCCGGCATCGGCAACAACAACCGTGGCTCTGTGCTCAAGCGCGGGCAAAGAAAAGCGACCGCCATGTGGCTCTTGTTTGGTTTCTTTACACTCGGCTGAAGTGTCTTAAGATACTAAATGAATTATTGCCCTTTGAGGGATTCACCATTTCGTTTATTTTAATATATATACGATCAATACGCTGGACGTTCAAGAATAACACATGCTGGCCAGCCAGGTCTTCTCTCTGAAAAGAACATTCACACAGTTTGGGACGGGCATTCTCACCTGGTTCCAAAACAGTTTTTTTCATTCATTCGCGTTCATAGAATATCGCCGCGGTGCGTCGTAGAATCCTTACATCCACATCGGCAGAACTCACTCTCACATAGTGAAACTGATACATTAAAAAAACCTGCTTGCTATCCCGCTTCATACGGGCCACCCCATATAGCCCCCCCCCCCGCAAGGACGACACATCACGCACACGCGAATTTCTCTCAAAGCCACCTCCAAAACCCTTACTTTTCTTTAAAATACGCAACATGATTTGCGAACAAGGGCATCGGCCATTTAAAATCCCAGCAAAATCACTTTCACCCCTTCAAACCATTGGAACGACGGGGCTGTCAAGCACATCGTTTATCACACCAATTAATCTTCATGCCAGATTATAGCTAGCCAGTGCGTGTTGACCTAACTTTGGATTAAAAGCTTGCCCCAACTCAGCCCCCTGCGCTCAACTGTGTGCACAGGATGGAGGATTCCTGAGCAGGGTGACCACTACCGCTGCTCTTATAATGCACGGAGGGAGAGACGGAGAGAAAAAAATCAATATAAACACCGATTTGCCGGCACTGAGATGACTATATGTTGTAGCAAATTTCCTAGCCGAGTCATGCAAAAGTCTTAACTGATTTGCAAGTGATTCGAGTTAAGCCCAGTGCTAAACCCTGTTCCTATAACATTTTGTCAAACGGGTTTAACGTTCTGAAGGGCACATCAACGTTTTAAACATCGCCGGTGATTCCCATTGCAGTGGACATGTCTTGCTTGGATAAATTTTACCACTTTAAACGAATGATGTAAATAACAATAACAAACACGAATGGGGTTTTCCACGCAAAAAAAAAGAAAATATAATTGAAGTGTTTTTAAAACACTGCTGGAAAGGCCGTAGCAGTGTGTTTTAATCAATCTTTTTTATAGCCGTCTTTTCACCACTGTAAACAATCTTCAAAGCCTGCAATAACGAGAAACACGGCAACAGTACAAAACTGAAAGTAAATAAACAGCTGCAGCCATATTTATATTTGAACAAATACGCATCTCACAAATGAATACTCAACAACCCCGTTATATTTGCTTGATTTTCCTTACCAGCCTTTGGCCAAAACCAACAGGGGTGCAGTGTAGACTGCTGGGCGACTGGCCACAGCAAGGGGATCTGCTGTGCTGATAAACTGTGTGACCCTGCAGTGCACAGGCAGAGCCATCACCCGCACCCACACGTCTGGCCAACAACCCCGTGGCAGACGCCACAGGTCATAATAAACGCAGGAATCTCAATTGCCTTAATAATGATTGTACCCGCACGATTGCCGACGGGCACATGGAAGAAACAAAGAAAAAGAAACAGAGTTTGTGTTGAGCCTGAACGGGCCTTTTGGGGTTGTTGTTGTTGTTTGTGAGCTCCTATCGAGGGCAGTATGCTGTAGAATAGGCGCAACGACCAAAGTACATTACAGAAATTTAGGCCGAGCTGATCTACTGGCGGCTCAGACCGGACTGCATTAAACAATTGCCATTGCTGTGCAAGGCCGGGCATCAACCATGTGTGGCTGAAACCAATAAACAAATACCATGTCAATACAATTACAAAGGTACTGCTATCCATTTAAAAGGCAGGAGATGATTAACGCTGTGTTAAACAAGCATTTAAAAGCCAAGAATCTTCACAGGCTTACAAGGCAAAGCTTTGCAAATATATATGATGCAAACACGACCAATTGTTCAGAGAAGACTGGCACACAATGACAATTTGCACACCTGATTAATAGTTAATGAGAAGCTTTTAGAAAGTGGGGCATGCAAAATAAAAAAGGTTAAAAAACATGCGGTTACATCATGGCAAAAGTCCAGACAGCACCCAACTCCTGGACAACCAATGACTATCCCTGCCCACACTTTAAACATCAACCACCCAATCGTACATTTCCTTGCCACAGTCTGTCAAAGGTAGGGGGGAGTGGTTTATGAAGTAAGGGACCAACAAAAGAACGTTTATCAGAAGCCTGGCAATGATGCATGTCCCACATAAATAAACCAGCCCAAACACTGCACGAGTAGGGTTTAACCCCACAATGTAGACTTGTACCTTGGATTATTTATGAGCTCGAGCTCACAGCAGCAAATGAATGACTCTCACAACACTGTAATGTTATGAAGTTGGTACACATTGGCCTGTTCTTCCAGATGAAGACTGTGAAGGCGATTTGAAAGAAAAGTTAGACCACTTCGAAAATACATTCCTGAGTTACGAGATGGAGATAGGATTCCATTCAAGGGACATCGGTAAATGCACATTGGTACCAAAGTACCCGAATCACTGCACTATCTTAACTGCTGTGTCACACCTTCAGCATGCGATTACAACCCCCTCATGAAGCTTTGAGAGCTGAATGGAGTTCAAAAGACCTCACAAACACCTTGTGAAAGACCCAACGCAGAATATCCCCATGGTCCACCCTAAACCGCATCCGCACAAACCATGACAGATGTGGATACCTGACGCACAAATAGAAAATTAAAAACTCTCCAGTGTGCTACAATGTGGTAACTCAGAACAGACCCGTACAACGTATAATGACGCAATGCGCGATCCACAAATACGAAAGAGACACCATGGCAAGGACACACTCCGTGCTCCTGAAAGGATTATCTGGCATGACCACCTGAATGTGACATTTCAGTTGTCGCTCTGCATCCACATCAGCTGTACGACAGCAAGAAGTGTCACACCACCACCTTACTGCTGTGGGACTGCAGTGCATTTACCAAGCATGCACACACAGATGCATATCTTTAAGTGCTCCACGTGGAGTTGTCACAGCAGCCACCAGACTTGGAAGACGTGCGTGCACTACGGGCTAATCGCAATCACTCTGCTGTCTCGCCCAACAGTCAACATAGAGTATGTTCTCTAACGAGGGGCGTGAAGTACTCAGCAGACCCGAGATTACAATTCACACATCCACCCCTACACATATATATAGTTACATCGCTACGTGTCGCAATGTGCGTGAATACAAATTGTACGGAATTCAATGAGTGTAGTGTCGATTTGCTGAGAGTAATATATCGTGCAGAGGTCTCTATCGACCTCCTGAACCAATATAATTTCAGCAAGACTCTGAAAGTCAAAAATGTTCCAATGCTTAGCAAAATAATATCTACCACCAAATTTGGGATACTTGAAGAACAATAATGCCATGTGTCATAGCAGATCGCACGTTGTCCACGTGCCTCACACAACATGGAAAATAACACTGAAGAACGGCAATTTCCAGAAACGTTGTGGTACTATTTTTCTAAATGAACGCTATGGCGGTTGAAGCGCTACGTGGTGTTGGTTTGCAGAATTCCATTTATGCTCCACATGTGTCAGCAAAAAGTTAGCTTTAAAATGTTTTTCGTTGAAGCGTAACGGGAAAAGTCGTGGCCAAACAATCTGCAAAAGTGCAGCCGTAAAAGTGTCTCTTGCAAACAAGCTACATTTACGGTCGCACAATCAGCGAGTTGCTGAAATTAAATAATGATCATCATAGAGTTCTGGGTGAAAGTGACAATCCTTTGAGAAACGGACAGTGAAAAATTCAGGGTACAATTGGTTGATTTGAGCATTTACGCCAAGAAACAAAACACGATACGGGCCAGCATGGATTGCGTCTGACTTCAGAGGCAATTTCATTACAGGGTTTTCTTCTTCAATTTGCTGCACTGGGGTTATGTTGCGAGCAGAGCCGCCCTGCAACGAGAAAAACAACTGTATGGGGGCGACCGACAGCTGCTAGGCTGGATACAGTGCAGACAATTAGAAGGCAGCCTTTGATCATTCGATGGAGGAAAGGACAGGCTGTACGCAGGGAAAAGTGGAAATGATGATAACGACGCTTTTTCTATAATGTGGTTTGTGAAAATGATGGTTATAATTATGCATTATAATGTACCTTCAACTTCTTTTGGAACTGTACGTAGCCAACCGTTGTTGCTTATCGTAGGTGCGGGGGAAGGACAACAAACTAAACAAAAAAGCAGTTCTAAAGAAATAAGCTTTCAATCTATATTTAAAAGTGCATAGCGCCCATACGACAATTTCATTAATTGGTTGTGTCAGGTGGAGGAGGGTTTACGACACATTTTTACACGAGGACGTCACCCAAAAGAAAGCAATTATCGAATGATAACATTGGTCACGAAAGCCTACATAAAATAATAAAAACCACCGAGAGTTAGCGTTAAATCTCTCAGGCCGACAGCAACTCTTTCTCCAAGCAAACAGATGTACTCTTGAAAAGCTGAAGCGGAGGACATTTTCCGAGCATAAACAAAATGTAAAAACCCACCGTTAAAAGCATCGTTAATAAAACATAAAAAAAACCTTCACGCAGCAAAGGTTTCATTTATATTACTGAACATTAGTGCAAGTCAAATCAAAGCAGGAGTCACAGAATTGGGAAATTTGTGGTGCATAAACTTGAATCTTTCATTACATCTCTCTAACATAGCATGCATATGATGTGCTGTATAAGGCACAGGGGGGGGGGGGGGTGTAATTTATGAGTTTCTAAAATGTTAAGTGTGCAGCTTAAAAATCACTCACTTTGTATTCTCTCACCCACCAGAGCCGTATAAAAACACAGCATTGCTCTATAAATATTGGGGTCCAGAAGGCTTTACAAAAATGCATTTACGTCTGCTTGTGTTTTGCTTCAGCCAAGCTCCGTTATTTTACTGGCCACCATGACAAGGGTGATGCAATTATCTTACATTTTGCGCGTGAAAAAAATACGAGTTTTTAAACACAAAACTAAGTGCTCTATTAGATATTATTAGGATTTGCGTTGATAGGACTCAATACAAAAATACATTTACGATACATTTAAATCTCAGGTTGACATGCGGTTCGTGTGAATATCAGGCAAGGCATAAGCAAAATAAACATTGCCCAGTACCTGATGGCATTGTATATTTCTTCCAGCATGTCTTGCTCAAAGTCTTTTGACCCATTCACTCCTTTTAGGTTCTTCTTAAATTCCTATAAATGAGAGGCATACAAAACAAGAAATATTTAAAGTTGTCAGCAGTCCAAATCATTTCCGGATCAAAAGAACAATACTAAATGTTAACCGAGCACCTTTAAGCTACACAATTTCGGATTAAACTTGGCTCATGAGTTGTTAAGTAAAAATACATTCATGAGTGGGGGTTATCGTAGCTTTATTAACTTTCAAATGGTCATGGAGGTCAGTGTTGTTACATCTGTCATAAAAAAAGCCCCATTTAAAAATAGTTGCTGTGATGTTTATTTCCCTTATTACTGCATTTTCTAGGCTATTGCTCCACATCTCTTACAGTGAACCAACTACAGCTTGCATCATGTATTTACACAGAAAGTACAGAAATAATCCCATCCATACCGACAACATTGTTATTTTCCACCACCATCTCACACACCCAATGGCGTTTGACAATAAACTTGCTGTTCCTGGTAAACTCTCTCATACACCAACTCTTCAAATGTACAATAAAAATAGCTTTCCTAAAGGATGTAACACTGTGCTGCTTACTCACAAAGGCAGAATACAATTGAGACACCCTCCTTTAATTAGTCATCTCATTTGCACATAAGCACACTCATTGCATATTACAAACACACAAACACATTTACGCAGCACAAGCTGGAAAGGATGGTCTTACTAAATCTCCCTGGACAAACTGACTAACAATGGTTGGGATGGAGGTGGGGGGGAATGCCAAACCTTTTTTATGATAATTTTTGTTGCACCCATCAAATTCATCAGCTGATAAACTTGTGACCTGCTCACAAGCTGCAAGCAGATAGGCGATGCCACCCACAACACAGAAACAGGGGCCACACATGCTTTCGCTCAGCTGTCTCGTCTGACATGCATTCGAAAAAAAAGCCCTCCGGCTGCTTTTAACGCGACTGCCTAATGTCACCTACTGCCGGGGCAGGCAATGGGACCTTGGCACTGGGCTACAGAGACCAGGGCCCTACTCAGATGCCGCTGCACTCACACCTCCGGTGGGTAGTGGAGATGTGAATGTTGAGTTGAGTGCCTCCTGTGCGGTTGGGTTGAGTGGCTGGGTGGGTTGGATTGAGTGGGTGGGTTTGGTGGGTGGGTTGGCTGGGTGGGTTGGGTGGGCGAGCTGTGGGAACTCTCTCGTTTCCACGCGATGAAGCAAGATTACCACTTGACCCGCCCGTCTTTTCTAACTGGCTGCTGCTCTCTTGGGCTGAAGTAAAACACGAGTGACTGTAGCCTTGAAAGGGAATCCTGATCATCTAAGTGGCGCAAAAAATGTTTTTTTTTATGCCTGCCAGAGTCCCGCCCTCTACATCAAACACTGAATCAAGGAGCACAATGGTTTCCAAGCAAGGTAACAAAAATCACAGCCTATCTCTAATCTCCCAACAGCACTCTGGGATTGATCTGGATTTAGCAGGTAAGGCCTCTTACGGTCTGCAAACCTACAATACACGCGCCACTTGCATTATTGTTTTGTAAACTTAGAATAAGTTTAAAACGGACCATATGTAAACGTAATTAAATTTTGCATAGACTTCTTTTCAGATTACATTTGCATTTCTTTACGTGCAACTAATTAAAATAAACACACAAGTAAAAAAAGCGGACTTTTTTTTTACTTGTGTGCTCAGAGATGTGGTAAAAAAAAGGAAAGCCATGACACATTGTTTAATTGCTCAAGGTGACAGTTTCATCTGCCACGCTGTGTTTACTGGCCATGAAGTTTTTTTTTTTAACCTGGCTACAGTTTACACAGCTCAACCAGCAGCCTCACCATGTGGCTCCAGAGACGAGGATTAATGTTAATGAAGTGGGCCTCTCACCATCAGATTGCAGCAGTGGCTTTTGCCCACTTTTTTTTATCAATAGCTACCTGTTAACGATTCATCGAACAAACAGCCTTTAATGCTTGCAAGCCTGGACTGCCGTGAAGTTGACAATTTTTACGTGTGAATTGTAGTCATTGGCTACATTGCAACGCACGACGGGCCACGCTTGTGTCCCTGGATGGTGGCTCGGCTGTCGAGCGAGTGGCTCGCGAGCGGACGGTTGCGAGTTCATATCCCGGGATCCCTCCGAGATCAATAAAAAAGGAGCACTTTGTGGGGGAAGTGAGCTACCATTATCCCATGCAAAGTCTCGCCCAGCACCGTCACAGGAATGTGGAATTTCCATCACTGGTTCAGGTCTGAAAAATGGACGAGCACGGCCTCAATACCCATTTGAGCAGGAATTCAGTTTGACGTCTTCTGTAATGCAAGGCACTTAAGTGTAGTGTTTACAACTATGCATGTATTTTGTTTAGTTGATGGATCTTTCTTGTTGTTATATGTTGTAATCACTTTTTCAATAATGATGGTATTAATTATTGTCACCTTTCTTTAGCTCTAATTATAACTTGCGCATGTAAAATTATAAGCGATGTATTTGAGTGTGTTTAAAGCAAGCCTGCGTCCCTTTCTAAATTGCGAGAAAGAAGGAAGAAAAAGGCTGAGCCAGCAAAAACATGAATAATAAATTATATTTAGTACCCCTCTTACAGTTACAACATAAACACCGAAATGCATTAACGCAATAATCAATCATAAGAATGCATTTTCACACACAAAACATTCTGTAGGTGGACAGTTCTAATAACATTGCTGGGCTGATCGGTTAAACTAGAAACTAGTCCTAGCCCGAGTAAAACAATGTTTATCTAGCAGAGCCAAAAAAAAATACTACAAAAAGAGAAAACATATGCTACGGAGTCCTGTTAAGTTTCTATAGTAAATATGTTTTTTCATGAAAAGAGAGAGCTGGCATAACATTTATCAATGGCACGAGATGTTTAATGTTCGTGGGTTTGGTGCAGGTGGTACAAAGGAAGCCACGTCATCAATCAAAGTCTCGGGGATAGAAGGATAAACAGACTGACGCAAATACATCAGCCCTTAACTGATGATGTGCCGCTATAGAATTAACAGATGTATTTTGGGATAAATCAGATACTGCCAAGCCCATACTTTGTCTCCATGGACTGTACAATGGGAACCATCAAACAATCATCCACACATGTGCAATATCAACAGGAAGTTCTTTTCCTAAAATCCAAAATAGATACACTCAACCATAGCCACCACCAAATTCTGTTGGTGAGCATCGATTAAGTCCAGCACGACCAACAACACACACACACCCCGGCTTCCCGTGCCTCCCCTGCAGTGATGTCAGTCGCACCAGCACACCGAGTACTCATTAGATTGAGTGGAACTAATGGGAGGTCCATGCTAAGCTCAGACACCAATCACCACACCGTAGTGGACAAAGAAAGCACTGGTTACTGGGATAAGGGTGCAAATGCTAATAATCACTGCTCCACGCTCTGCACTGCACAAAAGTTAACATACAAGGTGTAAGTGAAATTTGACAAGACTAAAGAGTAAACACAGCAAACGGTGTGGCCTTACCTCCAGAGTCATGGGCACGTTCTGTTTGCGGACGTTGTGGTTGTGCTGGTCAGTGTTGAGCATGATAACCGCGTAGGCCAGGGCAAAACACGCGTCATTGTTCACGAACGGGCTCCCATTCATCACCTGCAGAGGCATACGCACGTCTTGTCAAAGTGCACACTCCGCTGCCCTTGCTTGCACAGTGAACACAGGCAGTGATGGTAAGGAGCAGTCAGGCAAGTCACCGTGGCTTAATATTGGCTGTGTGTAGTACACCGACAACCCTTTTATCAATCCACCGTTGGATAAGCGACTTCCCATGTTGTACACGTTCCATGGGGCTATTCGGCAATACTTTACCACATTGGTTTGTGCAGGCTGGTGGAGATGGGGAGCATTAATGTGGAAGCATAGATCAGAATAAAATCATGGATCTTGCTGTACTGCCCTCTGCTGCCAAGCCACATAGCCCTGCCTATAACAACCTGCTGGGCATGGTGGTTGCCCGTACCTAACATTAAAAAAAATATTTTACCAGGTAAGGCCCACTGAGCTGTATAGCTCTTTTTCAGAAGCGACCTGGCCACAAATGATAGCTCAATTAAGTTGCTCACCATGTGGAAATGTATCGTGGCCAAATACTCTTACATGCATGTTTCTAAATGTGGAGGGGAAAAAAACCAGACTTGGAGAAAAATAAAATGACCATGGGGAGAACATGCAAACTCCCAAAAATTTGCTTAGCTTCCGAGATGCGAGACAAGATAGATACCAGGTGATTTGGCCATAGGTGGCTATGTAGTAGAATATTATAATTTGCAGTGTATCAGTCAATTTAATCATCACCATCTTCCTTATGCTAAGGAAGGCTTGATGCATGCTCAGATTAGGCCTGATGCACGTTCAGTATAATGTTTATGGGTCCCAACTGATTTAAAAACTCTGGGTTATATATCCAAATTAAGGCATAGTGAATTTTAAAAAAACCCGGTGAACTTGAAATACTTTTCACGATTTACAATTCTATGAACACATTTTTTTTTATTATACAACCCAATTTTCTGCCAAGCTGCGTCCTTGGTAAGAACCTTGCAAGAAAACCATGCAGTATTATATCCCCATTAAAAGTGAACGTAAAAAGGTTTACTGAACTTAATGGACGTGAAATTAATCCGTGTATTCTTTAAAATATCATCGACTGTAAAGCGGAGATTAAATTCATAATGGATAGCATAGCCTTGCCGGATACGATCTCCAGCTTGAGGATTTATTTTTTATACTGCGAGTCAAAACAAAAGCCATCATGTGCATTAAAAGGCATCTTGAAATTGTCTTATATCAGCACACACAAACCAGTCCTGTTATAAGAATATTATTACTTCCAAGGCGACCTACACATGTAAAGTGGATTTTTTCACCTAACACTTGTTATTTCTCCAATCTGAAACTCTAGCAAACCCAATTAGCAAACGTTTCTTTGTAGATATGTACATGTGAGTGTCCCTGGCTGTGTGAAACTAGTTTTGCTAATGAAACTGTTTTTATAAAAAAATACCATCACATAGCTGTCAACCCATACGGTTTACCCTATTCTTGAACAGGGAAATTGAGTTCAGGTGCAAACGGCGTACAGCCGTTTCAATATGGGCATTTTTTTAATTGACGTTTTTTTATATTTTTCGATTTAAAGCTTTCGTGACTGCAGGGATTTATCTTATTGGTTCTTTCGGTAAAGTCACGTAGAAGGGAAATAATAAAATAATATATTTTTTGTCTATTTGTTTGTGTTTCTCCCTTGTGATGGGACTTTGTAGGATGACCGTTGCACGGGGTGAACAATATTATCTGAATTGGTCTGTAATAAGGTAGGCCCTGGCTAAGGGGTTGACAGGTATGCCATCATGATTTAATGTCTCTGGTGACATCCCTGCATTGAGGTCTTAAAATTATGGATGCAACTATGCATCTAAAAACGTGAATTACAATTGATTCATAGCTAATTCTACATGCTTCAATAGTGCGAATAAGAATCAATTCATTCCCATTCATGCAAATTACATGCACATTTTATTCTAATCATATATATATACCCAAGGAATATACAAGCATTCCAATGAGACACTACAAACGGAAAACAATACAAAACGGGAAAAAAGCATACATTCTTGATTCAAGTTGTGGTTCCAAATCATGATAATCCATAAAGCTCATGGGAGGAGTGAATCGTTGAGACACCGAATAGAAATTTACAGGAGTTGCACCATTACACTGCTATAATGACAAACTTGACCGTGACTTTATAGTTTCTATTCTAATTAATAAATACACAAGCTATTAAATGCATGAAAATTATCTCATCACTGTATCTCATCACATTCTCGCATCACACTCTCTCTCATCACTTTATAGCATCACTTTATCTTGCTCTCTCGATGCAGCCGTGTGGAGTTGCAGATGCAATTAGCTGAAAGCCAAAAATCGCAGACAGCAAGTTCGTGCATAACGAGGAGGATACTCTCACATATTTGTTTTTTTACTAGTTTATAAACGGCAGGCACTGCACACCGCAGTTGTACGCGCCCTCGACGCAGAGTTCACATGGCGCCACGCAAGAAGTTACGGGGGGGGGAGGTTCACCGGCGCTGCAAAGGGGCCGGTACACTCACATGCCACTGGTCAGTGAAGGCCTCCAGCAGACGGTGAATAACGGGGGCCTCCCCGGACAGACGGAACGCCTCCAGGTAGAGGCGAAGACTCTCGTCAATACGCAGCGTCTCAAACGTGAACGTCCTGCAGCCAAAACGGACGGGAAGGTTGGTTCGTGCGGGTGCGTGCGCGCCACAGACACACCTCCGATTGAGCGCGGGTAGGCCACGAAGGTTGCGAAAGAAGTTCAACATACGTACATATAAATATGTACACTGACACACGTGCAGGGATTCCCCATGTAGCTTCACATACCGACGAGGTAAAAAAAGCTGTTCATGAGCACTGATTAAGGCTGGCTCGGCACAAGAGGTCGAGGTGTGACTAGCACAACGAAACCACCTGCAGTCACCAGTGCTTGTGTTAACCACACCGCGGACAGCAGGTAGTCATTTTCGGCTGAATATACCCAAAAAAGAACCGGGCTAAGTTCACAAACCAAATGGAAATGTGCACGTGGCATGAAACTCCAATCCAGATTTGCACAAATAACTGCAGCCTAGTTTGAATTCGCCTAATTTAAGTGCAGCACCAAATTGCGATTATTTTGTGTGCGGCCACTGGTGACGGGACTGAAACTGTCAACTCACTGCATCTAAGAACCAGATTTTATCACAGGTGGCTGCCCAGATTTGAACCAGGGATCTTAGCGGTGCCAGCCTCAGAGGCAATGCATCAACCTGCGGAGGGGAGGTGAATCGATACAAGCCAAAATATGATCGAACATCAACAAACAAAACGAATGAAAAATGACCGATGGTACACATTTCCGCACGCCCTGCATTACAATACACTGCCCATCCGAGCCCGGCGTGTCCCTCGCGAGTGGTGCCCGAGGACGGGCGTAAACGGGGAGGCGGGCGACTGACTTGACGAAGGCGCTGAGCAGCTCCTTGTGCTTCCTGTCGCTGACGAACTCGCCGATCATCTTCTTGTCGAGGCGCGGGTTGTCGCGCAGCCAGCGGGCCACCTCCGTGCAGTCCATGGGCGTCGCGAGCAGCTTGTTCTCCTGCAGGAACTCGATGCCCGTCTTTGGCTTCACGTTGAATTTCTCCGTGCCTTTCATCAGCAGCTGCGGGGAAGAAACGCACAACGCGGCGTGCGTGGGTGTGAATCTGCGTACGTACACACGCGCAAGGATGTTAATTAAAAAGCTTGTGCTGTTTAATGGAGATGTAATCCCTTTGTCCGGTATGTATGTATGTATGCTGAACTTCTTTCGCACCGTACAGAGCCAACCGTGCTAATCGGAGGTGCGGGGGAAGGACAACAAAACAAAAGTAAAGCTTAGCCGTGTCTCGGGATGCTTTTTCAGGCCGTTTATGCATGTTTTTACATTTGGGAGGAAACCGGAGGAGTCGGAGAAAGCCCATGCATTCACTGAAAGGTTGACACAGATGGGTTTGCGGGCAACTTTTGCTGAACTCTTATCTCCCGGCCACCTCGGAGGCCGGCGTGTTTTGGGAGTTTCACAAATCTCCCAGTAATCCATCAGCCCTCGCCTCCAAAGCGCTGGATCACGTGCGTGTGTCACGACACTTGGTTCACACTTCATAGGTCTCTCGAACAAGCACTGCTAAGCTAAAGGAGGCTCAGGACACGTTTAGATACCAAACCATACTGGTATCCATTCGCTGGGAGTACAATGTTGGTGAAGAGGATCATGTCGGTAGTGCACTAGCGGCTATAACATAGCTCCAATAAACACATTATTGTAAATGAGCTGGGGAATTTTCAGTGGCACGGAATACCCAGTGATATCGGACTCGTAATTCATGCAATTATTGCTCATTTATTTTTTGTGACTCGCTTAGCATATTCTTTCTTTTTGCACGCCTATCGTTTTCTGTATTCTATGCCATTGTAACTTGCTGACCCGCCCATACTGGACATCTGTGAAAAAGAGCTGCAAAACTCATCGGATTCCTCCAGTCTAAGTAAAGATTCTGATTCCGATCCTGATATCCCATTCACAAACTATTAGGTCAGTATTTAGTTTTTCCCAGGCAGGGGGCAAGTGTCTTCCATGCAACTACCTTTCGTCATTACATACGAATCGGTGGGTAATGTAAATATACTTGCACATTTTTTTTTTATAATGGAGATGGTCGTTCAATGCATAAAACAATTGAAGGATTGTCTGGAGATATCTACCGAATTCCAAAAGGGATGGTCTGTGAGCTTATACGGCAAGACAACAAAAATGCGTTTGACCAAGTTTATGCGATAGATCAAGCATTGTTGAATAATTTTCTGTGGTTTAAAAGCATATGGTGCATTGTTGAATGTACCTTCTTCTTCGTCTTTATTTGAGCAAGTTCCTGAGGAGTGGGCAGGCAGGAAGAAAATCTCGCTGGCTTCTTCGGAGGTTTCTTTTCAGCTGGGGAAACAAAGTCGTCCAAACGTGAAAGAGAAGAACGCGTCAATAGCATCGATGACAGCCATGGTTGCTCATGGTCTGAGGTTAGTGGAGCACAGGAATGACAGGCAGCACCATCTATGCCAACACAGCAGTTATGCTGCATGAACAGGCCAATCAGAAACCTATTACCGCGAATATGTGCATTTTCAGTATATATGACCGGCGCAGGCTAGCTACGACTGTTAACCACAACCGCAGTGAAATATGAGACAACCGTTTTCAGATGCTTAACAACGTAACACTTTGCTGGTCTTTAAATGTCGGCTTATAGTTACAGTAAGTTACAAACACAGTCATGTGATCACTAATACTCACAATGATAAATGATATCTCACGTGTACTCAGTGAAGCAATGCAGACTATATAGGCTCTTACGTGAAGCAAAAGAGCCTTATTTGTAAAATAAGGGGCTCTCATTTGGAACACAAGGGTGTGTTTCTATTATGCTCATGAACAGCACCACAACTTGGGTATTTTAACATTCCACCCATCTGTAATGCTCCACAAAACAGGGGGGAGCGCGTGCATGAGCAGGAACTTAGTGAGCGAGACACGGAGTGCTAAGCGGCGAAGGGCAAAATCAAAGGGGGGCGACGTATCTGTCTTCATCCTCACAAGAGTTCTTGAAAGGGCACCTCACGCCCCACGACTTGGGGTTTAACGTTCACAATCAGGGGGCCGGCTACCAAGCTCCCTCGCGCGCACAATGCAGCAGCAGCAGCAGGGCCAGAGGCAATTAAAATGCGGAGGGAGCATCTGCATAAAATAATACCCTGGCCCTGTTTAAATAGCACATAATTCACTCTGGCAGATAAATCAGGGCTTTATTTAACAATCCACTGGATTTAATCTTCAAAAACGAAATTACTGCACAGCACGAGGAGGTCCACATGCAGCTGGTATTTCACAAAAGGCCCCAGATATTTAATCACAGCCCAATGTCTGCTGGCCCTGCATTCATTTTAAACCTACGCCGACACCGACAATGACAATTAAAACCTACGGGCAGATATATACACACACACACACTTGTGCGCATCTGTACATGTGCGCACGCAAACACACACAGACATACAAGCACACGTCCCTACTGGTGTGTGGTAGCAGCAGCAGCATGACAAGTATGTTTAATTTGAAGCTTTACGGATTTGCTTCTCATCATGGAATTGATTTCCTATTTATTAGTAGGCTTTAATCAAGCATGGTAATTTAACGAATTCAAGATATTCGCATTCAGTTTTATATTGATGCACCACAATGCTGCACCGATACAGCCCTTGGTAAAATAAAAAAAAATCCCCAATGTCCTGCTGCTATTATTTATTTCCAGACACAAAAGTCTTCATGCTAAACTGACTGAACTGGAGTAATAAAAATAATCACGGAACATACACAAACATTAAATAATTATAACAAGTGTTCTTGCTTAGGAATTTTGTTATGAAGCAGATGTATTATTTCAAACTGGAAACAAGCGTTACTCCATTATGTGGTTTAGTCTCTAAGTAAAAAAATATATACTGACGCAAAGTTAGGATGAAAATGGCGTAAGCGGCACTTCCTTTAACAATATTAATTCTGGTCAAGAATGTTTTGATCGAGACCCAAGCTCGTCCCTGAAATACAAAAAGTTTCATCTTGTGGTCAATTTTCATCAAATTGTTCATTCTACATACTGAAAGCGTTAGCTTATGACAGACTGGATTTAAAAAATATATATATATTTTAAAAACACAAATACAGCAATTCTAAATAAAAATCTCTCAAATAACAAAAATAAATACTTTCTAATATTGACCCAACATAGCTAGTTTGGTGAAACATTTAATATTTGAGCACTACCTAAAGGCAAAATAAATGAGACTGCCTTTTAGTAAATTCCAACACCTACAATCAGGGCATACATTTTAATAAGTGTGGCAGCAATGCACACAAAACCATGAATCCATCACCACCTCCAGCTTGGCAAACAACACTTCCTACGAAAACGTTAAGTTATGAATGTCAAACCGTAAATTGTGGGCACCACGGGAACTGTGGGATTCCAACGGCAATAATGCACAATCATGCACAGTGTCAACAAGCAGCCTTGTAAGGTCAAACAGCTCGACTCATTACGATGTGCAGGAAAACACATGCCGGCTTTTTTTCTTTATGGTGTCCGGAACAAGCGGGGCCTACGACCCCTTATCAGAACAAGACGTTGCCAGACGAGCGGCTTGCTTACGTTTGCTAGCGTCCGTGGGAGTGTGAGCGGCGGACTTCATCCTGGAGGCCATGAGGTGCCCGCTGGTTGGAGGTTGCGGCGTGCCGGTGACCTCCTTTCTCTCGGCATTCGCCACGAACGTCTCCAAGTCTCCGCACGGCTTCCCAGCTGTGAGAATGAGCAGCAGCGTAACATGATAATTTACTACTGTGGTTTTTTTTTATTATTACAAGTTATTATAAATAATTTTAATGTTTTATTTACGCTGGAAATCTCACTCTAAACTCTTTTCAGGGAGAGTTCTGCTCGGCACGCTTGACCAATTTTCATTTTATTAAAATAATTCTGCACTTGGGAGGTTATAATTTGGCACGATAGGTTACATTCACACAAATGGAGTCCTTGGAAATTTTGTAGGAGCTAGCAATGCCTTTATTCATTGATTAAAATCGGTTTTAATGTTCGCGATACACGTGTGTTGGGAGCCATGAGATTTTTTTAAAATAAATAAATATTAATTATGTAAATTATCTTAAATTACATCCTAAAATGTACAATTATCTTCATTCTACAAACTCATGGAAAAAAAAGAGAAAGGAAAAACATTAATCAATAGAAACAACATAAAAGATAACTTTTGTATGAAATCGTGACTATGAATCATGAGTTACTGGGAGGGATTGAATATTTACATGGCTCCTGTTTTTCATCTTCTTGCACCAATTCAATGTGATGTACCATTGCACCTATATTTATCCCAGGTTTGCACTCTAAGAAATGTGTTGTCTTAAGGAGCTCTCAAGCTGGATTAAATTAAAAAAAGTTTCCAAGCAAGCTCATGGTGAAACTCAGTCCAAGTAAAGGGCATAACGCAGCTAAACTCAGCTGAATTCCACTCAGAACAAGATAAAGTCCACTCACTATTTACTTTGGTATTATATATATTTACGCCTGTTATGTTTCAATCATAATTATTCAAAATGTCCCCTTTAAAATCACAGTATCCAGATTCATATCCTATCAACAACCTCTAACTACATGACAAATCGAGCATTATTTTTAAAGAAAGGATTTAGATAAAACTCTTCTCAAAAAATGAATAAACTTCAAGAGAGTTCTGCATTGATCCAGACACCAAACGCGCACATAAATGAATAACTAAATGCCTGTGTGTATTTATCAAACACTGGAAATATATTGCCTTGGATTTCCGTGATATTTTTTGTCATTGAGGCTCTCCAAAATAATCTTTCAATAATCTTGCAGCTGTGCATGTATGTGTGTGGGCACAAGAACTTTTGCACGTGCGCGCATCTGTACGAATCTCCGCGTATTAAAATGTGCGCACGTGCGCATGCCTTGTGGTCCGTGCGGGGCTTTTGTGTCTGGTCTGTCCAGAAATAAATGAACGAAAACCTTTTCTTTTGAAGTGGGTTGAAAGTGAAAGTTAAATATTCAATAAAAAATGAAAACCACAGCATTGTGCTTCATGTAATAAAATTTCCACCGATGTTGACATGGCTGGTTGCTAAGACAACAATGAAAACTTCCAATATTCCTGAATGAGTGACAAATCCAAGGGAAAATTTTGGCCTACTTCAGTTGACTTTTGCAATCGATGAGTCACTACAGTCCCCGTCTTACACTGTTGTACATTCACTTTCATCGCTATACCACAAGCACTGCAACTCAAGGAATTGACGCCTTGATACTTTCATCCACCTTAAGAACTCTACCGGATGAACTGTTTTATCTTATCCACACTGTGTTCAGCCATGATATTAAACGACATGACACATCATGCTTTCCTTATACTGGCTTGGCTGTAGAACTCACTCCCATAAACTAAATTCTCAAGTCCCTATAACCTTGCTCAATTCAAGACATGTGTTAATCCTTTTCTAATATACGATCAGTGATGCGCGTAGTTTCTGGCCATTTGATATTCTAGGACCTAAAATGAAATAAATACCGGCGTCTGTGGTGCTGGGCTCTGATAGTTCCCCAGCCTTGGCTGCGCTGCTGCTGGTGGCACGGGGCTGGCAGTGCGCCTCGATGCTGTTTATGACCGTCAGCAGCGCCTCCAGCGACAGCAGGTGCGTCGTGTACAGCTGCCCCGTGATCGGGAACGCATTCTGCTCGCAAGCAAAACAAAGACACCCAACTTCGTTAGTGTCGGCAAGCGTTTATTTCATGTGCAACACCGTTCGTCTCTTCTGGTGAAAATAAATTGACATATACAAGATTGCACGGGTCGTGCTCCAAGTCCTTGGAGACCCGTGACCCTTGTGGTTTAACAACGCCATGGGATGCTGCACCACATATTTTGTTTTAGGTTACATTTTACTTTGTTGAAGATACCAACAGCTCAATTTTAGGTCTCGCTTGGATATCAGTGGGGTGTCGAAGTACGGATTTACAAAACCTCCACCAAAATCAACTTCCACGCGGCAGCAGCCTTGAGCGTGCGTAAGGAGCATTTTAAAAACCTGTTCCACAAAATAAAACAGCTCCATACGTGGCGCAGCATCAACAATTATCCATGTCTTTTGTTAACTTGGATTTTTTGTTGTACTATGGGATGCAACTTGGTGAGATGCTATAGCGATGGGGTGTTAAAAAAAATGAAGCGGTCTAAGAACACAGTAGCAAACTCAGTGGTATAGGACAAAATCAAAACGTAATAAAATGAACAAGTTGTGGGCCACTGTAATTTCTCATCTTGGCAATAAAACTTTGGCATATTTATGCACGCATTTAATTTGTCTTGATACATTCACCAGCTTGTATCTGCTTGGGTCATGCTGACCACTTCGCAAACACAAGCAGCGGAATGGAACGAGAGTGGGACGAGTGTTTTTTTGCAATACTGCTGGTTATGAGCACAATCCCATCTGCACCAAGCCAATGGCGCATCTGGCAGGTGAGCCAGCAGAACACTTGGCGATTCACCACAGGCACGTGATGCACCATCACGCCAATGCCGTGAGTGTCATGTGTTTATTGCCTTGACATGGCAATCTAACCCAAAAAAACCCTATATTATGGATGACAAACTGTTCACGTAAAAAAAACATTGGTCCTGGGTTCTTGAAGAAGAAAAAAAGCAATGGATCTGGATGTTCCATAATCAAACCGATGTGATCAAGCAAAAGTTGTCAGTAAAATAACTGGGTCTAACGTACACATTGAAAATCAATGAGCACGTTAAATCAATGACGATTGCACGTACCCACAACTAGAGCTGTGACATAGATGAGTGCAGCACTGGGTAGGGACACCAAGCATGAGGCTATTGATGATGGACAATGCTAATTCATGCTCATTACAAAATACATCCCTAAAGAACTTGCGGCAAAACTTTTGAGAGTTAATGTGGTGAGGTAAAGGTCACCAGATGATTGGCAGACTGAAATAATAAATGTAATGGGACTTAAACTTACAAAATTTTAATCAGCGAGTTGCACCGAGTGCAGGGCACAAACATCAACGACGCAATTTATTTCAAGAGACACATCCTTGTCCAGCAGTGGCGGAGACGCCCAGCAGCACTGTGGTGGTAGAGCCGGAACACAGGCGGACCCGCCCCCGGGCATCCAGGAGACCTCACCTTGGACAGGAGCTTGGTGAGCTCCTCAAAGAGGTTGGAGCAGTAAAAGTCGCAGTCGTAGTTGATGTAGAGCTCTGTGACGAGGCCCGGGATGCGCCAGAGCTGCACCACAGCCTCCAGAGCCATCTCCTTCATCTCGTACGGCAGGCGCGGGCTCTCCGACGTGATCACGTCCATCAGCTTCTTCAGGTACATCTGCACACGGCACCGGCGACTGCTGTGACTCGACGTGGAACTCGCACGCAAAAAGGGGAGGGGGGGGGGACCCTTCAGAAGTGCTCCCGTGAAAGCTGCTTCCGGGAGATGCTCTCTAAAGCGGGGACGATGCACTGCTCTGTGAGAGTTCACAATGAGTTTGAGTTGATTTGAGTTGTCACATATGCATGCTGAATTTCTTTCGCACAGTACGTAGCCAACCGTGCTAATCGGAGGTGTGGGGGGGGCAGCTGCCTAGTTATTCTACATCGGAAATCCGTGGTGCGTGAGCACAGCAATAACAACAAAAACAAAAGATTAAAAATAAAACACCGATATGAATAACGTATCTCGTGACATGGTACCGATGAGCAGATTTGGAATCAAACTGTGTAACGGAAGCAGATGCCACCTGAATGATCGACAAGTGAAGAACTAGGAATGCATCAAATGGAAAAAAATTAAACGAAAAAATGATGCATGCTGACTTGGGTACATCTCTCCCCCGTCTTCTATAATGTCCAGTTGGTTGCCTTCACTTGGCTTTTTCAATAAAAGGCTTAAGACAGGTAGGTTATTGCTACCCGTAGTGATTCTATACACACGCCAAATATAAATATAAGTCTACTTTTTATTTTCAAAGTAGTTTTTTAAATAATAATAACAACGAAAATCTATAATAAAGGTTTTTGGGTTAGATCGCGTTATTTATAAATGTGTCGTAACCCTCCACCACCCGACACGGCCAATCAGCAAAAAAGTGTTACGTTGACAAAAGACAAATAGTTCACTACTTTAGCCCGCCGGTGTGTTGAAGAGTGAATCCACAACATTTACAGTTTGAGTACGACGTTTCGCCGGTAATTGCATCCAGCATCATCGGGCAATCCGCCCACATTCTAGCAATGTACGTTGCACAATTTGCGAAGTGTGAACTTGAGCGCTGAACGAGGCTGCGCACGTTCGTACGTGACGGTGGAGGGGGGGTCGTTTTTTCCCTTCTCTACCATAAATCACTTGACATGGAGACATTTTAAAAAGGCTTTTTTTCTAAGAACTCGTTAACGATATTGATTCGGTCGTCCAGCAGGCGCAACTTGAGGTTAGCCACTGTTCGGAACAACACACTTGTGAGGATTTGTTGGTCAGGAATCTGTCCGATAAACAATAACTATGAGCCCAGAATTCACACGCTGCTCAGTGTGGGCTGGTGGCTATACAGAGATAGAAATGTCACCGACGGTAGTCACATTTTCCCAGAGGGGAAAAATACAGATATAAAAAAAGGTGAAACAAAAAAGAGTCTTATAATAAGCTTTGCCAAAACTGAAATACTTTTAGAAATTTTACATACACGATAACACTATAGGAATGTAAACGAACAAGCAAGGAGTAAGACACAATAGAGGTTGGTTTTAAATTGACAATCGGGTGTCCGCGGAGCATCTGTGCCCCCTCCCTTCGTCACGAGATATATGTACTTTGTACTGGGATCATGTTGTGCCATCATAAAAACAATACAAAAAAATGTACAATCGGGTGGGTTGTCAGAAAGATATGCGCCTTTACCTCCAACTGGAACTTGAGATGCTCTCTCATGCTCTCAAAGAGGAGCAGGCAGACTCGGAGGGAGGCTGCAAACAGCCCCAGCCTCTCCATGCCCAGAAGCTGCACGACACGCACACACAAAGACAAAGATCCCCCGTATAGTCTTAACAGACTGTTGGGGCAAGTGCTGCTAGTGGGTAACACCTATGAAGACCGGCACGACGCACAAGGGGGTGGGTGGGGCCAGCACCATGCCCGGCCGCCTTTGTCTCCCCTTTTGGCGATGTTTAGACCCTGCTCCAGGCACTCATTTGATGATGAGTCAACCTAGGGGAGGACAAGGGCCGATTCAGATAATCGCCACTGGTGTTGGCCGTAAGCGGCAATCGAATTCGGGTCGCTGGGTTCGTAACGCAGCGCGATAACCGCGACAAGACACGCACACTCACACGCACACACACGCAGCAGCTCCCGTCAGCACGCATGCTGGAAAATCTGCAGTAGCAGCAGCAGCACCTGAACTGCATGGCTTGTGCCCACACTTTCATTGAGCGCGCTGGGATTGCCGAAAGATTAAAAGAACATGCGCACTGCAAGCGCCATGTCAACCGCTCGCTCGGGATTACCAACTTTCCCCACTTTTTGCACAATCTTTGGCACGGAATTTTTTTTTATCGCATTTGGTTATCGTGCATTTGCTCTCAGAAACGTCTCAGCACTGTAAAGTTTAGTTGTGAGCCATCTGGGAAATGTCTCGGGCACACTTGCACGCTTATAGAGTGAAATATCTCCGCAGAAATGCGAAGCGTCTGTACTTGTTTGATCATTAAAATGCAGCACTGGAAAGAGATGTGTGCTCGATGTTCTGCATCATATTTTTACATTTAACGTTTTCTTTCCGCTTTACGTGAACAAATCTATGCTAGCCTTTAACCTTATCCCATTTTCAGAATTCACACACACACAATATGATGGTTGCCCTTGCACAAGTAAATTAGAATTAACATTATCTTGCAAAAGAATTAATGAATGTAAATCAATTTAGTTTTGGTGTAGCCTTGCAAGCCTTATTTAATTCTTAAAACCGTGCTTAACAGTGCAAACTGCACTTTAATATAAAAAAAATATAATTCAAATTTTCGGTCCTCATATTTGATGAGGGCTTAGTCAGCTAAGTATATATTTAAAGCACATTCACCCCCCTCCCAGGGATTTCATCAATTGTCATGATTCTGGTTTGCAATTCAATTCAGGAATCAATTATTTTACGCCTTGCCTTTGCCATTTAGTCTGTATTGTGAATGATTTGTTTCTGCATTGTGCAGTTCTGTTATCTGGATTATCCAACAAGCAACACTCGTGCAATTTAGACATCCCGATGCGTTTAAAGTGAGCGTACGAATCAATTTGAACGAATTAAATGACGCATTGTCACGCAGCCAAATGCCTCGAAGGATGACGATACCCTCCGAGTAAGCCCAGCAGAGGGTGCTCCATGGGTGCTGGCTCTGAGCCCTGGCCAACAGGTGGCACAGGGGAGAGATCCCACGGGGTTCGAACCTCGTCTGACAACTGCACCACCTGTCACTGTAGCCCGGGAGGTCCCCCCCTCTCTCTCTCACTTGGCTCGAGTTCTTCTGCGAGTTCTACGCTCAACGGCCGATGCCAAAACCACCAACGGTTAAAAGGGAAACTGCAGAAACAGGATATCTCCACACATCTGGCTGTCCGCCTGATGATGCTAGTTGTAATTACTGGCGAAACGTCGTACTCAAGATTATAAATGTTGTGGATTTGGTCTCCAACACACCGGTGTGCTGTACTAGTAACAAAGTGGCACGTTCTGTTAACGTGACAAACCTTACCATTTGGCTGTCGGGGGGGTGGCGTGTTTAACGATACATTTATATATTTACGCGATCCAACCCAAGAAAAATATGGATATTATGGATGATTTTGGTCGAAAGCCTACGTGTTAAACTGACTAAAGCTCGACAAACACGGCGAAACATCTAGAAAGCAATGCAAAGCGAAAGTGCCCAACGCACGGTGTCATCCCAGGCACGCCACTTTACAACGCTCAGACTAAAAACGCGGCTAATCTCCCGTCCACAATTACCGAATTAATGCGTTAAAACAATGAGTGCAATGTTTTGTCGCTCTGGGAGCAGTTTCCCACCAAGTGTTCTCACACTTATTCCCCCCCCCCCCCCAACACGTAATCCACCTTGCGGTGTTTGCCCAATTTTGGTGGTAGTGTTATGTGCACGCACGCGCCTCGCTTGACGCAGAGGCCACACACCTGCTGTGTGAAGCGTGGGGGCTGCATCTGGACTGTGGTGGGTGTGGGGGGGGTGTGGCACAGCAGGGGGCGGGTGGTGGCGGCTGCAACAAGGACGCTCGCACAACAGGCCTCTGTTCTTGCCAGGCATGAGATAATTACTTGGATAGTGCCAATCCGTCACCGCCTCGGTAAATTACCGAAGCCCGCTTGCCAAAAAAACCGTTCCGCGCTCGCACTAAATTTAAGCATGACGCGCGTAAAACTTTAAAGAGTGTAATTTGAATTTCTTGAAGTGGTGGCTGGGACACTGCACAGCCGTAACTTTATTTATTTTGGTTTCCATTCGCCGTGGATTCAAATGGCGACATTTCAGTCGGAGAGTTGGCTTAAAAGCAGACGTTGTGCCGTCTCAGGAAGTTCCCAGGAAGTTCCCAAGCAGTCCTGGAGTGACCGCGACAAGGCCTTTTCCAAAACGCATTCTTTCTGGCGGACAAGGCACTCGGCTTGAAGCGGCACAAGTTTTGCACGAGAACAGTGGTGACGTGACATTCTGGGCTTTTGGACCTTCACTCGGCAGCAATTTACGAATTACGTAAACACACTCTCGGCCAGCTCTCCACCTGGTTTCCACGCATAAGAGTAACCAGGGGGTTAAAGAGGACCCCGCCCTTGCACTTGGGGCACAAGAGGACCCCGCCCTTGCACTTGGGGCACATATCGGTCCGCATGTGCCCAGCTCTCACCTAACTATTTTTATTTTACCAGGTAAGGTCCCACTGAGCTATATAGCGCTTTCTCAATAAGTGACCTCGCCACAAATGATGACTCAGCAAAGTGGCTTATCACGTGGAAATGTATCACAGCAGCTTAAATACTCAAAAACGCACGTTTCTAATTGTGGGAGGTATAAACCGGAGGACTCGGGAGAAAAATCCACTCGACCACGTGGAGAGAGACATGCGGACTCCAATTATACAGCAGGCGTCAGGGTTGGGATCAAACCCATGACCTCCTGTACACCAGGCGAGGTCGCTAACATCTCGCCACCATGGCACCCACCTGGATGAGGTGGCGGCACAGGTCGTCCTGCACCAGCGCCAGCAGCGAGGCGTAGTGCGCCACGCTCTCGTGCGCCGTCTCCATGGCCACGGTGAGCAGCTGCAGCCCCATGTGCACCATGACGTCCGAGTTGTGGCGGTCGTAGAGGTTGGTGAGCGACACCAGGAAGCGGAAGAGCTCGCGGACGCAGGGCAGGCCGTAGGGCAGCAGCACCGTCGTGCCGCCTGCGTCGCGATCGCCCACGGAGAGAGGGGTAGGGGGAGAAACAAGACTCCTCGATGAGTTGACGGTGGCGCGAGTGTGTTGTGTGTGTGCTGCTGCTGCTGCTGCTGCTCTGGCTGTCACTAGAGGTCACCGGTGGTGGGGGGCCTCAACTTCCCAAGGCTGCCATGTGACTCAAGAGTGCTGCCCTGGCTGCCCCAAAGACACGCTGGTGATGGACACTGGCTGTCCTGGGGCTTGCCCTGGTACTCTTTGGTACTGCTCTGACTGTGCTTGGGACTCTTTGGTGATGGGTCCTGCCCTTTCAGGACTCGGCAGGCTCTGGTTGCTAAGCCCCCCCTGCACTTGGCCTCACTGACCCTAGCTGTGGCGCAGTGCGGCTTCCCCCCCCCCCCCCCCCCCCCGTGTGTCCCACACCACCATCCCCCACCCCTTCCCATTTCACCTTCTTCCCTAACATTGTCCGCCACTTATATAAAGCGTACTGAGAAGTGGTTGGATCTAGATAACATATAAATGTATTTTACTTTCATTTTCTATAGCGTTATTCATGCTAATAGCATTCCATAACGCTGGACATTAACTATATACAAGGGGCAAATCCCATATACAGCCACTTTCAAGCAAATGAAAACCCTACAACCAAGCAAAATTTTTTTTATAAAGTGCAGTTGCTGCACAAGAGGCTGGCACAATAAGGAAGCCATTGATCATGATCAGATACAATGGCAAGTTCAAATGCGACCTTAGATAGGCTGTAACGGGAGCATAACTAGTTCACACGTATAATGTGTTTCCACGGTCTCATTTAATGTTGCTTTGGTAAATGTTGGCATGGAACAATTTGCCGTTTAATTGATTAAAATCGACTCTTTTATCCCCGTGGCCACTAACTGAATGGCCCGCGCAGAACATCCATCGCACCGGTGTGGTTCTCCTTGCTGGGGGCGCTCTGTGAGAAGTTGGTGAAGCGAACCCCGCGTGGGTTCACGTAGTCGAGGTCGCGACCCTCGTGCAGGGGCGGCTCGCACGGTGACTCCTGGCCCTCCGAGTCCTCGGGAATCGTCTCCCGAGACAAGAAGTGACCCTTCCCCCCTCCCGAGGTGTCGGCTGCGTCGTCGGGGCATTGCTCGGACACCACCTGCAGGAGAGCGGTCGTGCGAAATACACATTGGGCTGGTGGGAAGAAGCTGGAATGTCCGAGGATAATTCTCAAAGCTCCGCAAAGATTCAAAAATCCATCGCTGTACTTGCCATCCGATGATGACGATGTGGGCTCATTAGACGACGACATTATTCCCGCTACTTCTGTTGCATGACAGGAGACCAAGACTCACGTCTGCCGAGGTTCTGTCTTGCTCGAGCATGTCGGCCTCTTGCTGCTGCTCGTGCTGCTGCCCCCGTCCCTCCTCCTCGCCGATCTCACGTGCCCCCGCGTGGTTCCCAAGGCGGCGGTCATCGGCCGCGGCGGCGGAGTTGAGCAGGCACCTGTCGCTGACCAGCACGTCACCGAGGCCGCGGCGCGGCGACGGCGGCGGGTCATCTCGCGACGCCTCCTCGCTGCCGCCCCTCCCGCTGTCCATCGCCAAGCTCGCGGGGTCCTCGCCGGACAGCGGGGTGTCCGGCGAGGACGCCTGCTCGCTGTACGCCAGCGACGGGTCAGACGGGCAGCGGGGTAACCCGGCCCCCACTGCGGAGGACGAAAAGTATAATTAGCGAGAGGGAATGGAACGGGTACGTGGCCCGGAAGGCAGTAGCGAGATGGCAAGTGGACGCACAAGAATTTGCTTTGAAGCTGCACCAAGTAAACTACACCAACATTAACCTTTTGCTAATTAGTAAATAAAAATTACCACTTTTTCTTTAAATCTTAGAAGTCACTTTGTTTCTATACCCTGACATGTATTATGAATGTTACAATTATAAAGGGAGGAAAGAGGAGTAAAATGGTCGTGAGAGATTATGAATAAAAAAACGCTAAGGGATGGTAGATCCTCACAATTTGCCAATCATCTCTGTTGAAATAAAAATGACGGTTAAAAAAATATTAAGATAAAGCCATTACACGTTGCATGTGCCTGATGATTACTAAACAAGCCCCACGTCACAAAAGTGTGCCGATTCAAACTTTAAATTACATCACCGCTCTCATCGTGTTAACAATCAGGCACATGCAGCGTCGAATGACTTGACTGATATTTGGACATCTGTGAAACTACTGGACATCTGTGAAAACGAGCTTTACAGCTCATCGGATTCCTCAAGTAATAATTAATATTCTGATTTGAACAGAGATGATCCGTAAACGCGGACAGAAAACCCTGCCCTCAGAGCACAATGCAGAATTAAGCGAGGCCCGTGTTTCCGGCTCTTCGTGGAGGGTGGCTGCCCACGTACCGGACTCTTGAGACGACGTGTGGTCTGCGGTGAGCTCGCTCGCCGAGTCACAGGCCGGCTGTTCGCTCGGAGACGGCATTCCAGCATCGCTTAGCGAGCCCTGCGCTTGCTCCCGAGCCCTGGAATCAACGCAGGGTTGCCCGGATGGCAGCCGACTGCTGCCACTGCCGGTGCTGCTGTTGCTGCTGGCGCTGCCACCGGCGCCTCCTCCCCCTCCGCTCCCCTTCCCCGTGGAGCCGGCCGTGGCTGCATGGCGCGACGCGCGAGGAGACCGTTTCTGCTTCTTCCACTTCTGGTCGACCATGCCTCCCGCTCGCATCTTGAGCTGCATTTTCAGGCAGAGCAGGGGTAAGGGCTCGCCTGACGATGCCCGTCGTAAATCCACTGCAGCTTATGAACAAAATATTTGTAACGCTTTCCAACTGAAGTTGAAGGCGTTTATGCATTGGCTCCAATCGTCCGTCTAATACTGGATGTGGCGGAGCACTGCAACGCTTGTAAAGATGGTCCAATGTGAACACGTTTTAGTATAACGTTGCTCGTAGAGACTTATGCTATTTAAAACTGGCCAAACTGATCAAAAGGGGTGGCAAAAACGTTGTGGCACAAACTACAAAAAAAAAGGACAAGAGCCTTTAGTCCTCACAGCTACCCATCGGCGACATGTTGAAAAGCGTTACATAATCCATACGTATGAATGTCTCTTTCAAATGTACTTTAAGGTTTCACTGCACTGCAGTTAACTTTTGGAAATCTGACCAGGAACACAGGAGGACTGTGACAGCGCACACGTGTGAGTCAAAGCGAGCAGTTAATCACAAAATGTCTTCTTATTCATAAACTACTCACCAGGGAGGAATAACAAAATCATTTAAATGCATAAAAAAAATCCAATACTGCTTATTATTAATAATGAACAGTGGTTGTACATTTTTTTTAAATTAATATTTACTTAAACTAAATATTACAATACAAAATTGTATATTTACAAAGTGTCCAAACACACGTGGTTATAAATGCCATGCGGGGGGGAGTGCAGCAATGAGAACACGTTATTTTTTTATTTCATATTTATTTTATTTTACCAGGGAAGGCCCACTGAGCTATATGGCTCTTTTTCAGAAGCAACCTGGTCACAAATTATAGCTCAACGAAGTGGCTTACCATGTGGAAATCCATAGCAGCCAAATATTCTAAAACGCATGTTTCTAAACATGCAGGGAAAAACCGGAGGACCCGGATAAAAAAGCCACACGATCACGTGGAGAACAAGCAAACTCGAAATATACAGGTCTCAGGGTCGGGATCCAACCGACGACCTCCTGCATACCAGTCAAGGGAGTTAGCATCTCGCCACCGCGGCGCCCGGTAATTCACGTTCAAATGTCGCAATAATATTTTAACGCTAATTTTATTTACTCGCACACCCATCCCAGTCGCCACACATCACCCCCAAGGGCATCCAGCCGGCTGCTAAGACACAAACGCAGTCACAAGTTGGGGTGGGGGGGTGAGACACTGATGATTGATTGGAGCTGAGGCCTATTCATCAGCTGTAAGTATGTGCACCAAATACTGTAACAGGAAGATTACTAAGCGATCAGACCGAGAAAATAGCCCGAGCAGCTGTACGTGCCCTGTGGCAAGGTTAATCCCACTCCAGACAAAAAGAAGGTAATATATATGTTGTACATTCTATATTTCCGTATTGCAAAGATTATTTTGTGTTTGGGGATACTGTATACCTTAAAGGTGTTTGCTTGTTTGAACAAAAACTGTGGCTAAATCTTAAAAATTCAAATATTAAAAGTACTAAAACTGACCACTTCATTTTCCCCAAAAATTAGAACCCCAGTATTACATGACCAGCTCATAACGATGCTAACTTTAACAGAGTGACATTTCAAATGTTCGTTGTTTTTTTAAGTTGTCAAAACCAAGCAGCAAACCATCATCCTGCCTGTTTTTTTTCTGTGGATGTGGCGATGCAGTCCCTCAGCGCAATGAACTTTAACCCCTGACCTGTGTTCGACAAGTGGCATCTAAACCAGTCCAGGGGAAACCCTATCATTAACGTGCACTGACCAGCATGGTGAAGTATGGCAAAACAACTTCCATAACCATTAGGGGTGGCTTTCATCCAGAAGTAACATTTACAAAAGGATATTTATTATTTACTGTAACAAATAATAATAAAGTCAACAAATGACGCAATTGTGTAATGCCCTGACACAAAACATCTCGGATGATACCTTGCACACGAGGGAAAGACGCATGACATCTCCTCGCGTAACTCCGATTACTTTGGAAGGGAACAAAGGGTCTAACACACCTACTGACAACACTGACAAAGACTGCGCGAGCCTCACAAAGTCTTATATTTTTGTCTCGTCCCCTCACACTGCCCCACAGCATGCAAAAGTTTCCTTTCAGGCAGACCACAACATCCACCTAATTTGGAAAAAAAGCCTCTTTCCAGAAAAATAAATCCCAGTAGTGTTCTATTATTGCACCATGCTGTTAACGTTCCTTAAGCATGCTCATTTAGTTCAGTAAACGAAAACACTTTACGTAATTAAACGGGGGCATTCGTGCCGAATGCAAGGCTGTTAAAAGGCTCCACATTAATGTAATTCGAACGCTTTTAAGGACGGAGCTTCGGGACAACCTCTTACCTGAACACGTTTATTTTTCCACAACACAGTGTAAGCCTCGAGAGAGAGAGAGAGAAAGCAGAAGGGTGGGAAGTGTGTTGGGTTACAGCGCACAGTTAATGCGAGCGGTCCACTTGGGTGTTCAACAGACGCCGCTGCCACCATCGCCACCAACCCGGGATCGGTTCCGGGTACAGTCCCGGCCAACATACACCAAGGGCGCCACAGTTTGCGAGATGTTAACTACATCGCCTGGTATACAAGAGGTCGTGGGTTCGTTCCCGACCTTGACGCCTGCTGTATATTTGGAGCTTGCATGCGTCTCTCCCCCCGTGGTCGAGTGGATTTTTCTCCGTGTCCTCTCGTTTTTTTCCCTCCCACATTTAGAATCGTGCATTGAACTATCATTTGTGGACAGGTCGCTTCTGAAAAAAAGCGCTAAAGAGCTCAGTGGGCTTTACCTGCTAAAATAAAAAAGTTGGTTCATAGTTATAGTTAGCGACGAGACGGGCTACAGCCCCCGAGGTGCCAGCGGGCAGTGATTATCGGCACGGACAGGCTACCGCTACGAGTCTGCATTGCGCATGCTCACTAACGGTAAGGCGGTCCATTCTGTGCAATAGTTGGCGATGCTCCTTAAGGTGAATACAAAGATGCACGAGGGCTGTATTTGTACATTTTACCCAATGTCACCATATCGATAACGCATTTGATCAGATTAACAGCAACTGTCTGTTTATTTATGAACAAGTTCTGGTGTAATATTTTAATGTATTAAATTTGCTATGGTGCAACATCAATTTTTTTTTAGTGATTTGCTTTCCTTTCCTATATCTTGCAGTCATACCCTGTTTTTGTATTGTGTGTTGTTGTAACACGACTGAACATCTGCGAAAAAGAGCTTTACAGCTCATCAGATACCTCCGGTATAAATAAATATTCTGATTATTCTGATGCTGCGTTCTCTACGCAAGAAGCAAGCTACCATCAGCAGCAGCAGCAACAAAGCACACTGCCACATAAAAAACCCCTCGAAATACATTTCCTTCCCACACTGATACCCACTAAAGAGGGCGGCACACGTTTGACTGCGGCCAAATACGAATTCGGTCAGTCCGTGTCGCTTCAGAAAATGACATCGGGCTGCCTAATCCTACACATTTTGCGCGAGAGTTAATGCGATAATTCCCATTAATTCTCTATTAAAGAGGGCGGTACCCCTGCACGTGCGTGCGCGTCAATGCCGGCCGCCCGACAGCTCTGATTTAGTCATTGGTGCGTCTCGGGCTCCTCGTGACATTTGACGGCGCTTATCCTTAGATCAACCCGTGGGTTATGCCCAGGCAACACCTCTTCGACTCCTTGACTGACTCAATGTCATTCGCCCCCGCCAAGTGCGCCTAACCACTAAGAACACACCCTTTGTTTTTATTCGCATACCTTACTGCGTGAGATTCTCAACCAAAAGGATCAAGAGGCCGATTCAGTGGCTGTATACGCACATGCATACTAACGCCAACATGAACAGCCATTGGACTTGCGAGACAAGCAAGGGTGTATCCAGTAGACAAGCCCACATCCCTTCACCACAGGGACTGGTCTCGACAAGTACGGATGGCTGCGTACGGTGCAAAAGAAGTTCAAAATACATACATTCCCAAAGATATACGTGTCATACAGAAATTGTGATCTCTCTTTTAAAGTGTGTTGGCCTGGCGATGATTGCCTAGTTATGAGCCGTTAGAAAAAATCCCCTACGCATGACCTTTGATGGGACATCTTGGGCAAAACATATGAATTTGTCTTGCCGAGGTGTGTGGCTGGAAATGCATTGAAGTTAACAGAGCAGCGACATTAGAGATGGTTACTACATTGCGCCAAATGTAGAGTCAGAGCATCTGACAATCATTTGTAGAATGTATTGTGAAAAACGGAACAAAAGGAATGTTTTATTATTATAGAAATGTTCCAACGCGAACTAGAAAACAAAAAAACGGCCCACTGGCATTGAGAATAAAAGCATTTTACACGTTGTGAAATAAACAAGGGGCAGTGTAAGATGTCAAGCCACAGTTTGAGATATGCAAATTGGAGACTTGCATATTTTAGGTATATAGTACCATGGAATTCCTTACCAAAATTAAACGCAATTTTGTTACTTGATTACCACATGAATATAGGACTAAATGAGAGCCATACAATGAAGTGGGTTTTACTTTCTTTAGTTTAGTGCCTCTCGTATGTATGCTGTACTAGTAATAATCCCAAGTTAAATTTTATGCCTACTTTGAGAACTCCATAAACTAAACAGTGCTTATAATACTTCCATACCAAGTACTTCAATTAAACATTCATGCAAACAAGGACAGATTAACAAAACAAATACACAATATTCGACTACATTTGGCCAAGGTATTCTGCAAAAAAAAACAACCCAAGGGTGATATGTTTTTTATAAATCGAGTGACATTTGATTAAGTTAATGGGAACCATGGACAGTGTGGGCTTGCGTCCCATTTTCCAACGACGGCAGGCACGTCACAGCGGAGTAATCTGACAGCTACCTGGGACCGCAGAGTATTAGAACAAAACTCCAAAGGCTGGCACCAACACTGGCGTTGCTATAAACGCCAAACAACACTCTGTGGCAATGGGGGGGGGGGGGGCACCACCACCGACATCAGCGCCGCAGGAACGTGACCAGCCGGTCCCCGCGCATAACCCCCCTCTGTGCCATCAGGGACCAACAGGGATGGCCACAAACGTGAATGCGGCCAGGACAGGCAAACCCTTAACCACGAGCTGATGCAGTGACCCCGTGTCAACATCCTGTACACCACCTGTGTGGATCTGTGCGAGCTAATTGACAACACCAGGTCTTGGCTACGGTTTTAGAGCAACAAGCTATGCTGATGAGTGACCAGTCCAATAGGAGCCAAAAGCCCTCTTTGCTGGACAAAAAAACACTCATCCACTCTGCCTTAGAGTGACCCCTAGTGACAAACTTCAGAGTGCTACATTCCACTGACTGAAGCTATTCTAGATTCTTTTCGAGCTGGATTTAAATGTAATATCACATTAAAGTCCAGGTTTCTGCATTTAATTTGCGTACCAAACTTCGTAGTGTTAATATTCAGTAACGAGCACGTTGCCAGTGGTTTTCGGCGTCGGTGTTGAGACTTTAGTCGGAAGATTATTACTGTAATCCCACAGTAGAGGGAGTAGAGAACACATGTTGAGTTTATTGGCATATCTGTATTCTTTTTTTGCTTTAATCAAAGGCTCTATTTTATTACATAGAGAAAATAAATTCAAACTAATTTACTGCTTGTTTCTGTTTAGTTAATACGTGTGTCATTTGTAAAATTGGACTTCACTTTTCAAACTTGATTAACTCAATTTGTAATTAATAAGTGAGCATTAAAACAATCCAAGTCCAACATTTCTAAAATTCCGATCATGTAAATTAATGTTTGAGGTCATGAGCTGGCTTTCTGGTTTTTATTCATCCAATCAGATAACCGTGAAGGAATGTGTCCCATACGTTTCCACCCTTTTGGCATTACTGCGCAGCCCTTGCAGTAATGAATACAGGGAAGAGCGAAGTACGTTTTAAGTTAAGAGCACGTGTATGGGAAGGTATTATGAGGAGGAGAGGAGGCATGGCCCAGTCATGAACCCTGCATGAGGAATTCGTGCAAGAGGCAGCATCGCAGTGAAGAGAAAACTACGGGCTGCCAGGAAGTGAAAATGACACGGGGGGTGTGCATCTGCTGCTCCATGTGCAACGGGGTTTCGTAGGAAATTCAACCACCGCAACACTTGTGCGCGGAAATCCACTAAAGCGGCAAGGGAAAATCCTCTCCAAATGCTCACGTGGATTAAACACATCTGAAAATTAAACGGTCGAGTATTGTTTCATCGTTATTCAACAAGTCTGTGACGCACCCCCTGAATGGGGTTTTTTTTATGCGTCACAAATGAAAACCACCAGGAAACGATTCTTTGAGAGCTGTAAATAACAATAATAATGTGAGTAATAATGAAAATTAAGTAATTGCTTTTAAATACCTTTTTCATGTTCGTGACAATGAAGCTCTTGCTTTCCTCCTTAAACTCTGGTAACCTGAAAGAAACAAAAGCGTCAGTGGATGTTAAAGAGAAGCGTGTGGCAGTCTCACACATTCACAACCACAGCGTGATCCCAGCGAAATCAGAGTGACACGTTAAGTGTGCGACGCTGAACTAATTTCACGTAAAAACCAAAACCTTACATACACCCAGGTCATTTGGCTCGCACGGTTGGCTACGTACGGCGTGAAATAAGTTCAATATACATCATAGTTAAACAAAAATCAATGTTAATTTCTGCGTATTGCTCTTGCCTTGCACATACCATCTCATACTATGTCAGCAACGATTTTTTTTTATTGTTAGATGATCATGTTTATGTTTTTCGGGTGAAAATATTTGATCTCATAATGCTACAACTTGTAATGTAATAGCAATTTAACTGGGTAAGTTTGAGTTTAAGACGTAGCTGTTGTTCTTGTCAATCCCCCTTTCAGCCTGTAATGACCAAAATAACGGTGCAAAGCGGTCGACTTTTTCATGTTAGAGCCTAGCAGGTACATGGGCCACAGGCCAGGGTTAAGTGCAGGAATTTTTTCAAAAGCTTTTGCACCATTGCCTTCAAATCTCCTCATTAAACCCGAAGCATACAATGCAGGATAACGCAGGATTTGTTTTTAATTCAGCCAACACGTGGAGGTTCTGCCGCTGAAATGTAAGGATTTCCAGGAGAGGATCTTTCCCAATCTTGCCCCCGTGTTTGCCTCTAACCTGCTCGGGCCCGCCACACTGCTTCCCTGTAATCCCCTGCCTTTCTGCCGACCTAGGAACTAATCATTTCTAATGCGGCCGTGTGGGCCTACGCTGCGCCGGCAGCTAATACTACATAATGCCAGCTTCTCTACTAAACCTGGGGGGCGGCGGGGGGGGGGGTCCTGGCTGACAGGAGCCGTTCCGGAGCCAGCAGGAACGGCGAGTGGCTGCGAGCTGCTGCCCGGGGTGCGTGCGAGAGAGAGAGAGAGAGAGGCCCCCCCGTTTTTTTAATTAGGCCATCCCCGTGCTGCACCGTTGATGGCTTTGTTGGCACGTTCCGAGGGATCACACAGAATAATGATTATGTGCTATTTCTGTTCATGTGGATTTGTTGACTACTTGGCCTCCTCCACCGCCTGCTGCCCCCCCCCCCACTCCCCGCCCCCTTTCTTCCTGCGTAACAATCTGAGGGGGGGGGGGGGGGGTAAAGACGCGTGCGCCATCAATGCAGTGCGGCCACGGTGCTGGGTGCAAAGCAGTGGCTGGTCTGCCGGCAGATGGGTTTGTTTGCGATCATGACGATGCATTAACTACGGCTCGGCACTTTCATTTTCATTTTGTGTACGCTCATGTATTAATTTACTGCAGGCATTAAAAGTGATCAAGTAAAGACAATATTTGCATTATGGTGATATTGCTGTGATGGACATAGTGCACAGTAAATTACCTCTTATGAAACTATAGGCTATTATAATTATAATATACAAGTGAAAGGAAATACATTTAAAATGAACAAGAGATTTTCCAAAAACAACCAAATGGGAATGCATTAATTTATTTATTTTACAATCCACACTAGTCTAATTGTAGCTGAATGCTATAATTTGTGCCATTACAGATGGTGGTGGCCTTAACTAAAATATTAATATTTCCATAACATGCCAAAGAGACCATATGCCTGTTTTCAAAACAATAATTTTTTTGACAGCTCTGGGCTCTTTAAAAAAAAAAATACAAAAAAAAAACTTGCAATGCAAGGTCTCGAAGTTAAGAGGTGGAGGCTCTTGTACTCTGAATGGTTTTCAGGGTTCCATCTCCATGCAATCGTCAGCTAAACCCACTGCTTGCAGCGACGACGTTAAGACACACGCAATGCCATTGCTGCTCTGTCCGCGCCGTGTCATCGTTTGCACTGAACGCACCGACGCCCGAATAAAAGACACGGCTGCAGGCCACTCAAAATGCTGAAGACAAGTTGCACACGAGTCGGCAACAATAAACGTTTGGCCAGTACAGTATTCCCACGTTATTCACGACCTTGCTGTCCGTGAATTTGTCGATCCGCTATCCGTGGGCCAATATCATTGTCCGCGAAATTTGCTATTCACGTGCATCTCCGGAACGTATCCCTCGCTCGCCGTCAATAACGAGGGAATATTGTAGTGCAAAGAGCCCTACTGATCAAACTTGCAACGGGCCACTTAAGTGTGACGGGACAATGGAAAACCTAACCATTCATTTCAGAGAATGTACAAGGCGGAAAGCATCTATTGAATCGTGTACTAGCCTCTCAAATATTAATACCTCTCCCGGTTTGCACGAGGCCACCGTCACAAACAAGGTGCTCGCACACCCTGGCCGAACCCCAGTAAAGGTGTGGTGACCGTGAGCTGAACTTTTGCTTCAACAAGCCTACCTACCCCTTAACCTTATCTGAATTCTCAAAGGGCATATGCATGTCTCCTACCTGGGTGTCATAAAATTACAAGGCATCCAATTTCCAAGACGCTGTTCCAATGTCATCCCTCACGGTGATACTGCGATGTGTTATACGGGCTTAATTCTCGCGAGCGATGCCACTCCTCAACACCGCAATTGTTATAATGACAAGCGGGCTGTGACTTGCTCCTTGCCATCCACAGGATAATTGTCTCACTGTAAAATTATCCAGCTATACTAACCATTAGGCTGGATATCCTAGTGGTTGGCGAAAATACCACTGAGCCAGTTTTCATAGGTTTAATGGTCTGGATTCTGTTATTATCCAGGTGCGCTGCTTTCAAGTGGATGTTCAAGGCGCAAGGACAATAACGCGTGATAATAGGCTTTGTGTGGCTATGTCATGACTCAAATGTGCCACATTTCAAAATGAATATCAAAGACAAGTTCTGTGTTACAAAAAAAACTGCTGTACAATTATAGGTATTTCAGGGGATCTATCCAGTGTAAATGTTGTTATAATAAATAGCATGATGGACATTTCAATTTATTTGACAGGAAATAGCTCCAACACATACACATTAAAGCTACTTAACCACGCAAATTTCACCGGCTTCTTTTGTACACATTCCAAATTAACACTTCTTTTTTCTGAAAGTGAATTCAAACGCCATTCAACGTCTATTTTAAAAGAGTCTTCATTGCCGATCGTTTTCCGCAGACTTCCAGAGAAAATGTACACACTTCAATCATTAAGTTCCAAAATGTATATATTTTTTGCAGTTACTTAAAAAATAAAACTACATACTGAGAAATACCGCTAAATGAAACAAAAGGAATATGAATAATATTTATAAAGAAATGTTGATGTAAAATACTAAAAGAACAAATGCATTATTTTAATGATTTTTCCTAAGCATGCCATCATTATTCCCAACAACAACAAAAATTGACAATCTCAATATCCTTTATTAAAAATGAATGCATTCAATTGCACTTACTATATTAGGTAAACACATTCTAATGCCAAAATCCATATGCAATAATCTGTCTGCCTCTCTTGCTCTCCCACCACTCCTTGGTATGTCCCATTCAGACGCCAAATGGAAACACCCCTTTATGTATTTTTAATCGCACTTTGGGTGGCTAGAAAACTACTTTTAGGTTTGCATTAGCTCCCGATCAATATGCAAAGTAGAAGAAGTAAAAACAAAAGCATTTGAAGCCTTCCGCCGCGAGTGACGAGGCAGACAACGGGGAACGAGGATCAGCAACCACGCGTTCGACGCTGAACGCTGGGCTGGCTGGAGTTGCACGGATCGGACACCTGATGGAGCCATGGCTCCTGGTTGCAAGGCTACTACTACTCCTCCTCTCCAGCAGCGCAGCAGCTGCCCCGTCTCCTCCACTTTACTTCAGGGCCACACACTCGCGAGCTCAAATCGTCGCGCACCACACCGGAGTTCTCCGCGATGGTCAATGCAGATTTGCTAAGGTAGGAAGCATAGGCGTGGGAGCACAGATGTACAGCACAACAACAGATTTGCCCTACTTGTGTCTGATGCCCACCATGTGGCCCAGCAGTAACATCTGCTGCGTGCATTGGTCGCCCGTACAAGCTTTCAAAGACCAACACGATTGGGCGCATTCCGGGTGATTTGGTAATTTTTTTCAAGATTCTCCGAGTTTGGCACCATGCCTCCGAACATGTGTCCACTCGTAAAATGTTGTACGTGATGCAAGTTGTTTTTATAACTATTATTTATTGGCGCCGTCAATCAATGACTGTGAAATATACAAGGCGCTGAAAACAACGTTGGGGCCAACGTTGATTCCATGCACGCAGTGCATGGGGGATTCACAGCACCCATCGCCCAGTGTCACACCAATGCAACAGCAGCTACTTTGCTACGGTCTAGTTCCATCCAGACACCCCAGAGATGACGGATATAACAGAACTGCAAGGGGGGCTTTGTAACCCCAACGTTGTACATCCATAATTATAATAATTTGGTGCGTTTGGTATGCGTGTCATTCTAATAGCGCAAGGCTACTGCGAAGGCGCGGTGTTTTAAGACAGTCTGCTGAAGTTTCACAGTAGGGGGCGATGGGGTACGTGTAATCTCAATTGAGTACATTTGCAGGTAAGTATTTTCAAATGTGGCAAAATAGGACGACGATGCCAGCACACATAATGACCTACTCTTGTAAATGTCACAAGATCATCCAACGTCCACTTCTGGCAAAACTGCCTGATGAAGCTGGTTGCAATTACCAGCAAAACGTTGGACTCAAATTGTAAATGTAATCTCCAACACACAGGGGTGCTGAAGCCGTAACAAACTGGCACATTTTGTTTACATGACAAACCTTACTAATTGGCTGTGTCGGGTGGTGATGGGGTTACAACACGTTCATATTTACACAATCTAATCCCCCCCAAAAAAACATTATTACGAAAAATATTGGTCGCGAAACCCTACGCGTTAACGTGGCGTGTCTATATATTTTTTTTATTTACACTGAATACGCACCACGGAGAGTGGGGGAACGCGCTTCCGATGGCCCACGTCACCACCGTTCGGGACGCGCTGCTCCTGCGTGGCAAAAGTGCCCCAGTAGAGACCGTGGGTGCCGCAATTTAAAAAGACGGTTACCGCATCGCGCGCTTTCAGATGCGCTTCTGCGGCCATCTGGAACGCTCTCTTCCTTCCGATATTAGGAAGCCACTGGAGCTAAGCACTTTTAAATCATCGAGATTTAAAACTAATTTCCTTAGAACTGCTTTTTGTGTTTAGTTTGTTGTCCTTCCCCCGCACCTCCCATTAGCGCCATTGGCTACGTACGGTGCGAAAGACGTTCAACATATGTACATTGAGAAGCTTCGCTCAAGTGAGCTATCCGTTCCTTCGACCGTGTTAATTTACCTTGCGAAGAGGAGCTGCACCATATCCACCAGCGTGTGTTCAGCGGATTTCCTCAGCAGCTCTGAACAAAACAAGCAAGTTTAAAAGCATTTGAGAGCTTAATTCAGAGGTGCATAACTAGTAACATGTAAGGAGCTTAAAATAGTGAAAATTTTATGCCCCATGAGAATTTCAGCACACGCTTACAGAGTTGATACGTTTGGAAGTAGCAAACCAAATAACAAAACTGTGCAAACAATGTTGATAATGTTTTATGTTTTACAAAATGCGGAAATTCTGTGAGAACACAATAGCCCTTGAAATAAAATCCGTATCCGTAAAGATGAAATGCAAAAACTACGCAACATAAAATAAAATATCCAATATGAAATGACCAAGCGCACGGCTTACAACAAAACACCTTTATATAAATAACTAAATACCAACATATCTATTTGCACGAAAATAAATACGGACTCGCTCGCCGCACGATTGAATGGAAGTTGGAGATTGCAATGCAAAGACATGCAGGCAAATATATAAAATATACAAATAAGGGTTTTATCAAGAGGCCTGACATTATCACAGATCCCCCGGGGAGAGGAGGCGGAGAGTGATGGCGAACGCATCTGTTTACTCGGGATTACGCCGCCAATATTGGCAGCAAGCGACGCGGCGCTCGGCGCGGTAATAACGGGCGCTTCCCAACGGGGGGCACCAGAGAGTGTGCTGCCAGCGCTGGTGCTCAGTCTGTTTGAGAGTGGGATTAAGCCAGCCAATATTTCCCCTGCCTCGAGCCCTACCCCAATCTTTATCCCGCCCCCTCTCCTTCTCTCCCCCCCCACAAAGAAAACTCGCATCCCCGCACGCATGCACGCACGCACAGCCAGCCTGCCCGCCCCCCCCCGCGCCACCGCCAGCCCCCGCACTGCCTTCCCCTCGCCGCGTGCAGTAATAAAGTACGCCTCCCAAAGGGGGCATCGGCGCACAGCAAACACCAGGGTCAGTTCCAAATTAAAATTAACTTTCATTACCCATCCAGGCGGGGACTAAATTACTTTCATTAACGCTCACGGTACCAAAATGATTTTTTAATTTCATCTTGGAGCCAATTCACTACAGTCTTGTTTGTATATTTTATAAATATGTAAAAAAAAAACGTTAATGTTATTTCATGAACGACAATTTTTTGTTTATTTTTCTCAAGGCGAGAGATATATATATAAAAGAAATACCTTTTGCATGTTCAATTACGATAAGCAGATCAGATTTCCAAAATGAAGGGCCGGTTTTACAAGCGGCGTGACCGTTTGCTTGAATCAAACTCTGCATTAAGCGCGAGGGTAAAAGTTTGGTGAAAACCTCTCTTGGCGAGCACGTAGCTAAGAGTCGGGCAGTGTTTATTTGAAAAGGTTTGCCATGATGCAAATAGAAGAGGCAACATTCCGCTTGCAATCCAGTCCAGGTGCACAAGCATTAATACAAAATTACACCGCCTCCCATCGCTCGGTAAAAAGGATTTGCTTTGCGCTTCACATTTCTAGCCAATGTCACTTATTTATTTCAACATTAAATTTGGCCCAAACGACTCTGTGTGTTCCAGGCTGAGGTTATTTAAAAGCAGGGATGTTTAATATAAACATAGCACAAATGAGTGATGTTGCCATATATTGCATGTTTACTCAATTTATACGATACTAACTCAAACAAAAGGCTCGTACGAGTCAGAATAACATCCATTAGGAAATAGGAATGCATGTCTTGTATTTGTCGTGTTTTGCTGTTTACCTGTAGTCAAGAAAGTGCCTTTGACCTCTAACAAGCATTGGGTGATGCACTCTCCATTACCATTTCCAGGTCAGTCAAGGAAATTCAAAATATCTTTTGACAGGGATCAGCCAACACAAAACAAACACTGCCAATTTCCTGTCAAATGGTGTTTTTAGTTGACGCAAAGGATGGTGGGTGACCTGAGCCAAAATTGTCCGGGGCATTACCTCACGATTTCACAATTGGCAACAAGGCATTCAGAAAATGAGCGAATTAAATTTATCCAGAGGTGAAGATTAATGTATGGCTGCAAGGTGATCAAATAGATTGCAGTATGACAACGGATTCTTCAATCTATCTGTGCGAAGCTTTGAGTGTTACCGCCCCCCCGTGTGTGGATTTTACCTGGGCACCCGAATTTCAACGCACTTTTGAAAAATATATGAATGAATTGCAAGATCCTCTGAAACACAGACTTGAGACTACGTGAGGCTTCCGTGGGTTAAGGGATTTTTTAAAAATGTATTCTTATTATTATGGTAAACACTACCCATTGCAGGGACACACATGTTTTCCTTCCCCCACACCTCTGATTAGCACGGTTGGCTATGTACAGTGCGAAAGAAGTTCAACATACATAAAAATGAAAAACATATCAGACTCTTGTTTACATAGGGCAGGTATTGAAGATGGCCCGAGAACAAAATTACGAAATAAATTATTGAAAAAGAACAGGGTAGTTGAGACTCATGATGGAATGGCAGCAAATGGTGGGAAAATCAACGAGCACAAACCATCACGCCAACTCCGCTTTTCGCTCACCATCAAACAAGACGGTCACCACATTGCCCGCATTCAGATGCAATTCTGCGGCCGTCTGGAACGCTCTTCCTTCCGATCTGAGGAAACCACTGGGGCTATGCACTTTTAACTCATCTAGGTTGAAAGCACATATCTTTAGAATTGCTGTTGTGTTTAGTTTGTTGTCCTTCGCCCCGCACCACCGATTAGCATGGTTGGCTACAAAAGAAGTTCAACATATGTACGTGACAGTAGGTCCGCCTCAGCGATGGAGCGATGAGTTTGAATCCTGTGGATTTTTGCATCGCCAGACCAGGACGAATGGCAAAGGTTTGAGGCGGCCTAAATCGACCAGGATAAATCATGGATGTGCAGGTATCACATTTGCCATGGGGTAGAGACTTATATTCTTGGGTCTTTCGGTAACGTCACATAGATAGGTTCAAAGAAAATAAATAAAAATAACAAACTACGATTGCTCAGTTTGTATCCATCTTCTCGGCTGAAAATGTGTCTGTGTCTATATATTTGGATAGCTTCATGAACGAATCTTTGTTGGTAGCCAGTGGGCTTGCAAAGTACCTTCGTCTTAGAGGTTTGCAGTGTACCTTTGTTTGAGGTACTTTGCAAGCCCACTGGCTACCAACAAAGATTGAGCAATCATTGGAAGGACGTTATCAACAAGTTTAAGTCATAATTGGCTGTGACGTTCCCATCCTACCACCTTCCGATCTTAGTTGCGCTTTACACCCATTTCAAACTTGCGCTTTCACAGTCACTTCACGTGCCGACCCCTTGGCTGCGGCTCTGCGATCTTCCTTTAAGTCAAGGGTAGAGACTTGTAGCAAGTTTTGTACCATGGTACAACAGGGCACAAATGTTTGAAAAAATAGACACCTCAGAGTACAACTCAGTTGGCCAATTCTCTACACACCTAACAGCATACGGGGCGACAGGTCTGATGGAAAAGCCTACAAAATCTCCGCCTTGAAGGCAAGCGCAACATCTCTGAGCCCAAGCACTCTCACTCACCCCTCCCCGACTACCATGCAACCCCCCTCCAAACAACCTAACACAAATTAAAGCTACTACAGTGTGCGGTAGCTTAAGACTGTGCAGTAATAACAGCAGTGGGTTAAGTAGCCCTACAACATCGCTAAGCACATCGTCGTATGGATTAAGAGTCTGTGTGGGCGAGTTTTCTCTCTTTCTGTGTGCAGCAGGCCATTCCCAGCCGTGGCGGTTATCGGGGCTTACCGCTGAGGCGCGACTCGAAGCAGATGCGGAAGCAGGACTGCATGATCTCACACACCGACTCGTTGGTCAGGTGCGACCCCACTGGCGTGAGCAGCAGCATGCGCAGCACCTGCAACGGAGACAAGGGTCAAGATCCACAGCGTAGCCGACACAGACCGCTGGGGGCAAGTGCTGTTAGCGAGTGCGACCGAAGGCCGGAGAGGCACACCGTGGGCTCGTGTGGCTAGCACCGCATGTAGCCTTTATCTCCAAATACCAAGTACTCATTTGAGGCTGAATTGACGTAAGGAAATGGCCCAGGACCAGCTCATATAGAACATTGACACGAACGTAAGCCGCGGCCGGGAATCGAACTCAAGTAACTGGGTTCGAGCATAGTACGCTAAAAGCTGGACCCGCAAGGGCTTACAGAATGGATGAAGGGAGTCAGCACTGCATGAAGCAGTAGCATAAATTGTGGGTACCTATTCTTATTTGAGCCCATTTAGGCAGCAGAGAAGAGGGATATTGTACGTCTCTGGTGGCATGAGTTTATCTAATGGGCAAGCCACGGTGACCAGATGTTAACTCCATCACCAGGTATGCGGAAGGTCGTGGGTTCAATCCTCACCCTGACTCCTTCAATATTTGGAATTTGCATGTTCTTCCCATGGCCACGCGGCTATTCTCCGGGTCTCCCAGTTTTTCCCTCCACATTTAGACATACGTTTACAGTACTTGGGTGCTATACATTTCCACGTGATAAGCCACTTTGCTGACATGTCATTTGTGGCCAGGTTGCTTCTGAAAAAGAGCTATGTAGCATGGTGGGCCTTACCTGATAAAATAAAAATGTTGTCGTTGTTTACCCTTAAATTCTGTTTACTGCAGTCTAGACTCACAGTCCACCTCCGATTAGCACGGTTGGCTACGTACGGTGCGAAATAATTTCAAAATATATAGACAAGTATCTCAAAAGTAAACCAAGTGGCTCTCCTTCAGACAGAGACTGCAATGTACATTCACTTATGTAAGGGGTAAGAAAATGCCTCACTCTCACACTCTGTGTACTCGGGGTTGTTAACTGTACACCCCTTAATGGGAACACAATTATCTATCCATACTCAATAAGATGAAATCAGCTGCAGGTGTGCATACACGTTAGTGTCTTGCAATATGTATTCATATATAAGCTGATTGTCAAACAAACACAAAACAATGAGACACTGCATCCTTGTTGGTTTGATTACAAGGTACCCTGCGCCTACACTTACACAGCATGCAAATATACTTGATGAAAATAAATACAACTGTGTGTCCGCACACAAACACAAATGCCACAATTAAGTCTCGAAGGCTGTCAAGCGCAAGTGCTGATAGGGAGCATCGCTTAAAGTCAGCGTGGCACAAGAAGCGCTGGTCTGGCCTGCAGCCAGTGCTTGTGTCAACACCACCGCAGCAGGCAGTCATTTTACGCCGGGTTGATCTCGGAGAGGTCAAAGTCAGGTGCAGATACCAATCGCTTGTGACTTTCATGGCCAGGAATCGAACCCAAGGCATTAGCATGAGACGCAGGTGTGCAAATCACTTCGCTACACCTTCGACATACGCGCTCACAAACATACGTGTCTCTCACATGCGTGTGCGCAAGGAATCACGTGAGCGCAGAAGCCGAAGCTAATTTATGGTGTTATTCTTCGGGATGTGGGCACCGCTGGTAATCCAGCGTTAATTGGCCATCCCGAGTTGCTCTTGAATTGCTGGTGGCCTTGTGGCGACTGTGCCCCCACAATGCTATGTGCCACGGAGTTCCAGGATTTCTGATCCAGAGATGACAAAGGAGCGGCGATAATTGTTTAAGTGTGGATGCTGCCGTGACTTGGTGTACACGCAAATGCAGCGATGGGGTGGGCAGGGGGACATGCTTCACTCACGGCTTTAAATAATTTCCTTAGGAAAATCCTCCAAACCCCTGCAGGTTATTTATTACACTAATGAAAAAAATACGGGGGTCCGGCAGTGCCGAGAGGATTCCTGCAGGGATCTTATCCAAATATTTCACTGTGGACGATTCCTGCAGGAATCACGATATCTCTGTGGGCAATAACCATGAAAAAAAAATTATTCCCTTTTTTAGGATTCACAACAGGGATTATGTCCCGGAAAAGAGCGATCTAATAGAATGCCATTCATGTGAATGGAGAAGCAGGCATTTATATTGCAATAAACGAGATTGTCCAAGAGCCTGCGAATCACCGAGTAGAATCGCCATTCATTTCAAGGGCAAATCCATGAGCCTGCCCAGGTTCCATTAAATATTACCTTCTGGTGTGAATGGCACACAGGACCTGGGGTAGAATCGGGAAAACTCTGTAACATACGCATGGGCCATACATTTAAAAGGCGATTCCCCTTTTCCAGCCATGACAGACTTCAGCCTGGACTCCCCACAATTCCATTAATCCTATGAGAGCGTAAAAGAATAATAGTCGCTTCCAAGAACCGCAGCACAATTCCAGACTGGGAATTATGAACGTTCCACTACTGTAGTGTCCAGTAGCAGTATGCCTGTCGGTAGCATATGTGTATACATCCATCAAGCATAGGAATGCATGCAGATATGTACATTTTCAAGGTTTCAATGTGTATATGTACGGGTTCACATTAGCTGACATTATGTTACTGCTTTCGTTTATATTTGGCAAATATGGCCGGAAATAATGAATGAATTCGGCTAATTGATAGCAGTCCATGCTCAAATTGCCTGGAATGTGCCCAGACTTGCCGGATTTCGGAAGTTTCAACAGAGATGAGCGCGCAAGGTTGGTTACTTAGACAGGAGACCAACAGGAAATGCCTGGTGTTGTGAGCTTGGGCTGTGCAGTGGCCAGGAGATGAGAGGAGAGCAATGGATTTTTGAAATCTATCTCTCTGGAGCCATGAGTTTAACTGCCTCCAACACGTGGGTTTTATCTGTTTCCTTCCACATACCAAACACTCATTGTCATAATTGGCCAAACACTCCAATGTGGAACCCTCCTGGATGAAGAAAGGTCTTGAGACTCAGTGAGGCTTACCCGCATTAATAAAGGGCATTATTATTTTTCTTCTTACAACACATGTTTAAATGTGCATCTCGTAGCGCACGGGCATGGAAACAAGCCACTGAAAGAAATTCCAGTTCCCCCCCCCCCCCCCCCCCAGTGTTCGGAAGGAAAAAACAATCGAAAATATCAGGCTCCACTCGAAAGGGTGAAAACTCACGCCAGAGTCAAATTTCAGCAGCGAATTCCCCCCTATCCCCTCCCCCAAGCCCTAACACCCACAACTCCAGCACGAGCGAATGCGTTGTTTTTTTTTCAGAGAAAGTGAAGCGCGTTTATCTGGTGCCTGTAGCGTACAGCTCAAGGATAGCCAAGGATGGCGAGAAGCAGACCGCAGTGATTGTTGAGCATTTACTACGGCCCACACAAAAAATATAACACAAAATACAATCAACGGAGCCGGGGGGGGGGGGGAGTGAGTACAATATTCATTGAAAAATTAGATGTGCAGAGCCATATCAATGGCTTGATTGAAATGTTATTGGGATTCTGATTTTACATAACTGGCCTTGATCAAATTCTAAAGAAAAGCTTTACTCTAACTAATCCCAGCTTAAGCATGCTTACTCTTGAGTGCTTTCATATTTCTAAAGATGCCATAAAATAGGGTTGTAATGTTTTACAGCAGAATCGTAAAGCAAATATTCAAAAATTACATGTTAAAAAAACTTGAAATAATTTACTTTTTTTTTCCCTTTCCTGCCTTTCACTTTTTTTCTTGTTGTCGTCAATGAATCCTCACGGATAAAGCAAGGTCTCTCCAGATGTGTAAAATAATTACTCAAGAGCGGAACCACAAGCAGAGAGATCACAGTAACGCTGTCTTCCCCACACACAGTGGTACGCTCCAAATTACACACTACACATTAACATGGGGATCCCGTGTCTGCACAGGTGTGGACCATACCACCTGAGACGTATGGGGTCAATGTGGCACGCAAACCATCATTCATGTTGGTGCAAAAGCCATCTATACAGAAATATTTAAATTGTTTTTAAATACCGCAAGTCCTGTATGTATCCACAAGACTTGGGGTCCTACAGTCTTACGCTCCTGAAATCAATGAATGCAGAAGGCAAATTGTGGTTTCTCCAACGCTGCCCAAGCGTTGCCTAAGCCCAATGCAAAGCACATGTGCCGGCCACGACAGGATGAAAAACGGGGGAACAAATGCGATATGCCTGTCAGAGCGGGCGGCGTTAGACACGCTCGGCACGTCAGGGCGCGAGTCGCTGCCACCTGTGAACCACGCGTGCCAGCCCACAACTCAGTCTCCACACAACAGCTCCTCCAACCGGCGAGCCAGGCAAGCCGGCCCACAACTGGTAGCCTCCACACCACAACAGCTCCTCCAACCGGCGAGCCAGGCAAGCCGGCCCACAACTGGTAGCCTCCACACCACAACAGCTCCTCCACCTGCGAGCCAGGCAAGCCGGCCCACAACTCGTAGTCTCCACACCACAACAGCTCCTCCACCTGCGAGCCAGGCAAGCCGGCCCACAACTGGTAGCCTCCACACCACAACAGCTCCTCCACCTGCGAGCCAGGCAAGCCGGCCCACAACTCGTAGCCTCCACACCACAACAGCTCCTCCACCTGCGAGCCAGGCAAGCCGGCCCACAACTCGTAGCCTCCACACCACAACAGCTCCTCCACGTGCGAGCCAGGCAAGCCGGCCCACAACTCGTAGCCTCCACACCACAACAGCTCCTCCACGTGCGAGCCAGGCAAGCCGGCCCACAACTCGTAGCCTCCACACCACAACAGCTCCTCCACCTGCGAGCCAGGCAAGCCGGCCCACAACTCGTAGCCTCCACACCACAACAGCTCCTCCACCTGCGAGCCAGGCAAGCCGGCCCACAACTCGTAGCCTCCACACCACAACAGCTCCTCCACCTGCGAGCCAGGCAAGCCGGCCCACAACTCGTAGCCTCCACACCACAACAGCTCCTCCACGTGCGAGCCAGGCAAGCCGGCCCACAACTCGTAGCCTCCACACCACAAGAGCTCCTCCACCTGCGAGCC